TAAAAAAGCTTCGACACAAGTAAAGCTCTTTGCTTTGTACTGTCAAAATGTTGTAATTTTACTATAAGTATAAACCAAAAAAAACGTATTACGGTCAAAATAGAGCGGTGTCCTCTTAGAACACTAAAAAAGATTTTTGTTTAAAAATAAGATTAAAAAAGCCAGTACAGTGGGGTCGGGGCATAGTGGGGACGGAGAGGTCACAAGTCCACAGATCTTATTATAACTGAAAGTGATTTTATCACTTTTAAATAAACGCTTCGATGCGAATCTCTGGATAGTATGTTCAAACTAATTATGTACTTAAAATTTAATATTTAATCTTGTGCAGGGTGGATGCGATACAATATACTAAACATATTTTCATTACCTGTTGACGGTTGATTCACTTACACATAGCAACCTAGAAACTGACTACGGCCAAAGTGTTAATTTACCCTATTTTTGGTGTTTTTCCTTAATAAAAAAAAATTTGACTACAAATTTTTGAAAAATTTGTATATGTTATAGTTTCATTTTAGATCTACCTTCGGTCTAATTTTCAGATCTAAATCTCTAAACATTGCTTGAAAAGTAAAATAAAGAAAAAAATTCTATCCCTTCTAGGAGAAAGGGTTTATGATATTTTTTTGGTTTGTTAATGTTTATCGATAGCACTATGTTTGAAGAACAATTCATATAAATTTGGAACTTTTTTTACTAAAAGTTATAGAGAATCGTAATTTTAAGCTGAAAAATGTGTACATTTTTTGTGTTTTTCTCGATTTTGATGGGGAAGGGGTGACTTTTTTTTTACATTTTTGGCTTATTAAAGTACCTTTCGGGTATGACTTCTGATATAGAGTTGCTACACGAAAAATCGGTTCAACGGCTTACAAAATATCGTGGGTCCAGACACAAAAAATAAAATAAAAACACATCATTGTAAAAACAAAACCTTCTCAGCTCCGCATCGAAGCTAAAATAGTAATAATAAAATATGTACTAACCGAATCGATACATTTGTGTTCAATCAAAGTTGAAAATCAGTTATTATTTATAATATATTTTAGTTAATAATACAAATAATATATTCTAGCTACCTGCGAATGTCACACAGTATAGTTATGAATGGGCTGTCGAGACGATGTGTATTCAGTGGATATCCAACTGATTCACATTTAATTCTTAGTATCCCTAAAATATATCAGTCTGTAATAATTGTAATGCGCAAAAATAATAATTGTTTAAAAAATGTTTATTACGTTAACAAATACAACATGGAAGCAAATTTAATCGATTTCAGATGTTTAATTTTTTTTAAATTTTACAGCTGTTATAAAATACAGTGAAAAAATAACAGAAACACATCAAATTATTATATAACAAAATGTTTAAAATTAAAATTGTATGGGAGTGATTTTTTAGTCTAATTTTAACTTTAACATATTATATACATGAACTCCAGATGTATAATGTGCGCGTTTGTCGAATATTGTCAATCTTTATTGAAAAAGAGATATATGTACATTAGTCGGTCAGCAACATATAGAATGATTCAATGATTGTAATTTAAAGGACTCGCATACCTATGCTCTATTTTCCACTCTTATTCTGCCTTTCTTTTAAACGCACATACGCACGACAACACGGTCCAACAAGCTCGAATAAAATATGTTCCGTTACATCCCAAGAATTTATATCTGATTGTATGAATTTACAACTATACAAGCGTGTCGGCGATGAGGACAAAACGGTGCAAAAAGGTTTTCGCCGCTCCACAGTCCACACGCGGACCTCGTGATTTATCTACAGCTTACTGAACTCGGTGCCGGTAGTGCCCGAAATGGGATGTAAAACGCAGTAAATAGGAGACGGGTGCGACAAACTTACCGCGAAATTTTCGGTCCAGGTTATGTTTCGACAAACTCGTTTTGCAAATAAAATAAAGCCGTACGAACTTAAATAAAAAAGGTAACTAAATAAATGAGAGGTAACACGCATATATCCGGTGGCTAGCTAATCCGAAACAGCGGGTACTTAATGGACTAGAAGTATGCGCCGCAGCCGTTGTTATGTTATATTACTATATTTTACTTGCTGCCACATACGTTTTATTATAATAAGGACAAAATAATTTGATATCTAGCGGATTCATTGTACATGGGCTTGGAAGATAGTATTAATATAAACTTCACATCGTTCACAGACGGTAATAGCAGAAACGATGGAGGACAACATATATGATAAAGTATAATGTTATTTTGCACCGCTCATGTCAGTAGTTCAGCTGTTTGCATAAGAATATTAGCCTGGTCGAATATAATATAATACAATTATAGTATAGCTACGGTAAAGAACGGAGAAACACGTCCTAGATATAAAACATCATTGTCGTTGTAAATTGTATGTGTATAATATCATATTTATTAGGGTTGTATTCAAGGAAAACAAAATGGTAAAATGAATGACATAACAATATCGTTGGCTTTGAAAAAATATATACAAAATAATTAAAAATTACTTTAAGAAAACAACGGAAATGAATAGACAACTGACGAACACAATCTAAACTCTTAGATTTGGAGCCGAACTCGAGTTTGAAAGCAGTTGTGACTTGTGGAGTTTTAGCCATTACACTATACTATAGAATTTCAAATTCAGGTTGGCTCGTCGAATTTTAGCCCGGAGTCAATTTGTAAACTTCACACTCATTCACGTCGCATAAACGATCCAAGATGATGATGAAGCTCCTTTTTGTCGTTACAATAGGGGGATGGGCTTACGCGCGCGTTGATTGATGGTGGCGACATTTCTACTACTCCGAAATCGTTAAGCGCCCCGTACACCGACTTGAAACGCTACCCTCCGCTTTCCCCGCGCTCTCTTAACTACATTGTAGCCCAAGATAAGTGGAAAACTCCCGTGTCAGCCGGCACAACAAACAAAAATGGCACTTTTAAAAGAGGGCCTGGTAAGTAAAATATTTAAATACTCGAAAGGGATTTTAAAAATTATTTTATTTGAAGTCGAAAAAGAAAAGCGGTCCAAAGAAAAATGTTTGTATTTTATCAGAACAAAGTATAACAAGGGGGCACGTTTATTGGAGTTTAAATATTGGGTTTATTATCAAACGAACTGTTTTTCGATTTTCTTTGTTAATATCAAAACTCCAGTAGTGTTGGTATTTTTCTGAATATTCTGTAAATGGTATACAAAACATTAAGAAAGTGAATTGCACCCTAATGATTATCTGTTTTTTAATAGAGATTTCTAGAGAGTGGAGTGGAAAACGTGAATAGATTGGAATGCTTAAAATAACATTCATAGTTTATGTTAATCTTATCTGTCAAATCTCTTTTCCATTTAAAATCAGTATAATCATAGTCTGTATGATAGTATGTACATATAATAAATACGATCGTCATAGTATAATTAAGCGTCAATTATTGGTTATACAGATATACCAAGTGTGTGTTAAAGAATACAAACTAAATAAATTATTGACAACTTTTAAGCCCTAAGTTATTTTCTACTATTGTTAGATTTATTCAAATTAAAAAAAAACATTTCTCGGTTTCTTTAGTGACAATATGTTTTGTGGATAAAAATATCTAGACATGCCTTTCCTGATAATTGACGAAATAAGTAGACATAATAATAATATTTTTTAGGAAATAAATAAGTTTTATAAAATATATTTCTAATAAAGTAAACTAAAAAAAAAAAAAAAAGTTTATAAAAAGTTTTTAGCGCTGTCATTTTTTAATTTTTTTATAATAATTTAATTTAAGACATAAACCGTATTAAACGACAAATCTTCAATAGTAGTTACGTTTTTACTCGAGTTATTTAGAATTTAGTGACAATCGTAACCGATAAGCCGGGCTATCTTGCACATATTAATTTTAAATGGCGCGTGCTACTGATGTCCTCTTCCCGCCTTCGACAGTAGATACCTATACGATTTCGATTATAATTTAAAATAAACTGTCAATATTATCGTTACTTGGTTTTAACAATATTTACATATGTACCCCATATATGTGCGTATCATATTAATAATTTATACATATTTAAACTAGAGAGTCGGGAAATACACCACGCTGTTTCTGGTTTCAGCACGCTTTCCCCTCCCCCTCCTCCCGGGATCAATACGCCGGCCGGCCACCGAAGGGTAGCTCAGGGCGTGGCGCTCTCATATGGACCGGCCGCCACATCTTTGCCGCCCATTCCGCTCTCCTTTTTCCAGACTCTGGTTATCACTGCCGCTCCTCGACTCATCCGACTATCACCTCCTCTTCCCAGACATCGCGTAGTTTTATCTTTCACCGCCGCCGCCGCCAAAGGGTGTGTGAAAGGAATCTGTATCCTAATTATACGAAAGATATTATTATGCAAAATTAATTTATGCATTGTACTCGAGAAATGAACATAATTTGCATTACACGATTGCCTATTGAATAACAAGAAGACCTAATATTCGCCCGTGAATCTACGAACCGCATTAGACAATTTAAATTTTCCTACCGGGAACAACCACCACTGCTGTGCTTGTATTCCATTCATACACACTCAAACCTCGCTTTCCAGTGAAAGTCATTATGGCGTTATTTTGAAAAGTTGCGGCGTTGTCGATTTCATTGTTTCTATAACCTTCTACATTATTCTTGTACATTTTTCGGTGGTTAGTAATCGAAAAAGGCCAAGAAAATCCAATAAAGCGTTAATTAAATACTTAGAGGTGTATTTGTTGTTAATTAGTTATTAGCTCACTTATTGTTAACCATGAACCGTGAGAGCAGTATTGGTAATCTGAATTGTCGTCTGGTTTTCAGTTGACATAGTTTAACAATTATAATATATATTAATTATCAGTAGTATATCATTGTTATGGTTATATTAATTAACTGATACGAGGCTGGTGCACATTTATTATTCACTATAAAATATTGATTATAATAATATGGTATTTATTATTAAACCATGTACTAAAATATGTTGTTAATATTTATTTTTAGATCCGCCAATAGAGGGAAAATAAATCACTAAATAGCTACCGAAAATTGTTCTTCTTGCTGTAATACAGGAGTGTCAATTCGTTTAATTGTATTGAACCATATTCATGTTTACTGGTGAGTTATTTAATTGGTAAATTGAGTTTAGATATAAGGATAAGTGCGTATAATTCTTAATGCAAGTTCCAATAAAAATAATTGGAATTATACCAACTTAAATTTGATACTATTTATTACAAAATAGCTGTTATTCTGATAATATAATGGAAAACGGATATAGTGGTTTATTATGTAATATGTAGCATTATTTTTTTTGTTTTCAATTTATATTGTTATTGTAGCTTAAATGTTAAAATAGCTGTATGAGATGTAAAAAATATTTTGAAGTGTCTTTAATTCAGATGCATGTGAAAAGTGAATCCTTTTCATATCTTTCAGAGAAATCGTCTAAAGAACTTGGTTTATATAAACTGCAAAACCTAAACTACACAATCACACAAACTTGTTTTAACTATTTGTGTAGTTACAGTTTGTAACTATAATTTTAATTTATTCATTAGAAAAACCTTTTAATAAGAATAAGTTTGCTTAACATGTTTTTTTCCAGATTTTATAGTGTTATAAACTAAGCTGAAAATATAATATTCACTAATATCTTCATTAAAATATGAAATGATGATAACATTTTTAATTGGATTTTGTTAGATTCGATTATGATTAAATGCTAGATGGTGCCTACGAAATCGCCCTTTCGATTTTAAAAGTTATTTTACCGTAATTTTAATACTTACCAAGTATTACTTTACTTTTGCTTCAAATGCATTAGTAAATTAATTAAATTAATATAAAAACTATGATCACAAATCATAAAAATGTTTACACATTAATTTACGATTCCCCTTTTATTTAGTTTGGTTATTGAATGCTGATGGAATTTTAAAACATTTTTTTTTTTTATGACTTTTATTATAAACTAACTTACAGTGATGAATATCTGTTAATTCAGAACAAATGGCTGAAATTGAGCTACTATTTTCTATTTACATTTTTTGACAGTCGACATACCCGTAATATATTGTATGAAAGCACATAGAGTAGTTTTCGTTCTATAAAACGGTCTAGTCCAAAGGGACGTGAGAAATTCGGTTTGTTAAAAAAAGTGAAGTAAACAACCGTAGTGCATTTTTTTCTGCTATTTTATTAAATAGACTAACACATTCACACAGGGCTTGCGGATATTAATATAATAGATAACTCATAAATAATTTATTTTTTATTGGAAGCCACAGTTAAAAAAATGTGTATAGAGTTAACCAAATTTTACAAATACTACTGCAATATTTTTGTTATTATCAGTATATTAAAATCGTGCCGAACTAGTCCGATGGTAGTTAAAAGTACCTGCTTACCGCCCATAAAACATTCCACACGTCTAGTATATCTTGTACATACATATTATACGATTAATTTCGCTCTTACAAAATCAGGCGCCCCGTCAAACACATACATGTACGTATAAGGTTTGCAGTTTATATTATTATGAATGTATGTATGTGTGAAAGTATAAAGGCTGGTGTATATTATGCATTATATATTGTGTATACTGTATAGTTTAAAATATTATATGAAGTATTATAAAACGAGAAGGGCAATTTCTAGACGTTTAAAACGTTTATTATAATAAATGTGTGTGTGTGTGTGTATGTAAAAAGGAGTGGCGTGTAGAGAAGGGATGAGAGGTATAATATATAAGTATAAAGAGTCGGGTGCGGTGAGTGCGTTCAAATCGATGCGTGACTCCGAACAAGATTGATGACGTCATAAAACGGGCGTTGTGACGTATGTCGGAAATTATTTCTCACTATACTCCACCACTAACGGCACCCAACTGGCATCAGCGTATTAGCTCCAACCTCCTATGAAGCAAAATACCTATGTAAAAAAATAATAATAATAAAGCTTCGGTATTCCTAAAACTAGTAAAAAAAATTGAATTCAAAAACACCAAAATCGAAGAAAAATCCTAAGTTCTAAGATAGGAAAAGCAATAAATATAAAATTATTTAGGTTGCTTTATAAAAAAATATATTTATATTATTGTCAATAAGTTCAAACAATATTTTAGATTAAGGCGTTATCCGAAAGAGTACACTTTACTAATTTTTTAGCCCATAAGAGCACGAAAAAACCAGCCGAAAAGAGCTCACTTTTTATTTTGGTATTATCTCCCAAAAGAACATGAAAATATAACAGAAAAAAAAAACATATAATTGTGAATGTAAGTAAATAATATTCTTTTTAAGCAGAAATTGTAAAGCTAGTTGCGAGATCTCACTAGTCGTCTAACTTTTGTTTAATACCATCATTATTATTGCATTATAATATTTTCAACTTTGGCTTTTGAATTCCATCGAAGATTGGTTGTATAATACCTGAGTGAAATAATTATATTGAGACAAAACAATTAATAACAGTATGAAAATTCCATAAAAATAAAAATTGAGCGATTCCAACTAATTTTAATTTCTAGTAGTCTTCCTTCGGCATTTCAGTGTATTTTTTTCATTTTAACCCTAAGGTAATTTATGTCAAAAACAGACATACGTCAAGTATCAACAAACAAATTATTTGATTAATTCCTGCAATTTGAGCTACTTAGGGATTATTAGTTAGAATTTGTATTTCCAATTATCCATCATGAAATCAAAATAATGACTCCTCCTAATATATATATGCGTTATCTACTAAGCGTACATAATATATTTTGTATAATACAAAATAATTTAACCTCGCGAGCCCGTGTACACAATGTTGTCTCTTATTGAAATGTTAATTTATCACGGATATTTAATTGTCGAATCGTTATTCCTCTCTAATATATTGTTATTGTTATTGATAATTGTTTTAACAATTAATATCATATAAATTACTTCGCTGTTCGGGCCGATGACCCACGTCGATGATACCTATCGAATGTTTTATATCGACACTTGATTAATTCTCTGTGTTTTGTGGTAGGTGTGCGGCGAACCTTTTTTAAAGACGCTTGTTTAACGGTAAGAACCTCGTAAATTGGGGAATTAATAATGAGACGATAGGGAAAAAACGTTAAAAGGATGAATGCTTTTTGAGATTGATGAACGCGTAAAGTTTTGTGCTGTACATTAATATCGCTGATTCACTTTTTAGGTTTGCTCCGGAGTTTCTCGTTGGTTTTTGTTTATCTCCTAGATCTTATACGAATTACGTGGATTTATGGTAACTAATTTTTCATCAACCGTTCGTTTAAATTATCAGCACACGTTCCTTATGATGAAGTGTAAGCAGTAGTCTATAGCCAGTGTTATAAAATATTATAAGTGTAAAATATAGTAATATTAAAATATAATAATCAATTATGGCGGAAACATGACAACAAATAAAAAAGAACTAGTAAAATTGTATGCAAAAAGTTGTTTTTAATATTATTATTTATTATTAAAACAGTATTAGAGCTAAGAAGGAAGTACTTTTCTGTCTGAAACAAAATTGTTGAGCTCAGATTTAAAGAAAAGATTCGGTGAAAAATCGTTTGCGCACATGATAATATCTTATGTCGTGTTAGACCTTTTCCCCCTACATTACAACATAATCTACTTACTTGGGCATACATAGGTATAATATAATTTTATACTCTTCATCAATATATAGATATAATTTAAACAATTTATAATTATAGATAACAGTTTACAAATTCAAACGAAACTCGATTTCAAAATAAATGCTCTTTAGACAAAACAAAACAACTCCCAAAGAAAACAAATATTAGAAAAACAACAGCTTTATTTTGATTACTTACGTAAAAATTGATCTCTTTACTTACTCGTATTTAAAAAAAACTTGCGTGTAAACTACTACAGTTGTGAGTTATTTGTGAATTTTTAACGTTTAAATTTATTTTAACAAACCGTTTTTTGCCGTTTTGCAAATTTAATAATTTATAGTTTTACGTGTAATGATTGTAAAAAATCCTTCATTTTTCAACTCGCCAGTCTATGGCATTATAATTGTGTCAGATAGAAAGTCCTAAAGACCTAAATCTTAAGGGCGAAGAAAAATGTTGTATCAATTTAATATGTATAATTTTTTATAGTTTTAACATAGTAAATTATTTAAGCTAATATGTTAGTGTTATGCTTACCTGAAAATGTGCGCAAACAACTATATTTACCTGAAAATAGGGTTTTTACTGTTTTTAGTTAAGTACGCAAACGAGCTGTCTTTTAGGTAAACATGCCAAATTAAGAGCAAAAGATAGATAAAAAGGTGTTCGGATGCGATTGAGAATGATAATGAGGACAACTGGTGTATGCAAAGGTGATGAAAGGGATTGTGTCGATTAGAGGTTTAGCTGTTTAGAACAAAAGTGACCCACCCCAAATAGTTGCGATGTAGTCGAAGGAGAAGAAGAAGAAGATATTTCAAAATCTCATAAATATGGTTTTGTATACTTTATTAATTTAATCACGGTGGTGCTTGACGTGTGCTTGATAATAAACTCCAATGTAATCGTTTTTACTGTAATTTTTAACAATCGATTTAAAAATAATTAAGTTGGTACATTCGGAACGCATGACACGGTACGAATACGGTGGTACGAATGACATAATTATACCAAAAATCGAAATTAGAGAATGGAATACCGTGAAACTACTATTACCATCGATTTCTTGCAAAATAATTACATGCATTTATGCGAACAGGTTTTAGACTGGTCCCGATAGTTGTAAAAACAAAGAATAAGGGGAGTTTAATCTAAAGGAAAATGTATAATAACTATTTTAAATCTTTTTCTATTGTGGTTTCTGTTCAAACCCAATTAAATTATAATGTTCTTTAATATACTTCCACTTTGTTTTGCGATTAAATTAAGTCCAAATAAATCATGTTTACCGTATGCCACGTCAAGTCAGTCAGATTTGAACATATTGATTTTACTCAGACAAAATTTGATGTGATTTTTTTTTAAATATCATTTTTTTAAACATATTATTTTATACATTTTCACGCAAAAACAATGGTCTTTTTGTTACGCTGACGTTTGTGAATTGTTAGTAAAATGCTTTTAACAGCAGTAATTATTTTTTAAATATCGGAAACGCTCTTTATATTTTCTCTCTGTTATTTTTTGTGCTTTGAGATGCCATTTATTTTATCGTTTTAACGTTGGAATATTATTTATGAACTTTGTTCTCGCATAATATAATTATATCTAAGCAAATTTTTTTCAGCAGAAAGTTTAGAGCATTCTAGAGGTTTAATAGGTCTTACGGTGTAATATACACATTTATTTATATTATGCTTGAACATTTTTTCTGACTTGAACGATATTTGTTACAAGAGACCTTATCCCGAAAATAATAACGACCGAATCTTGTCAAAGTATTTTTATTAAGTTCGATAAATGGTTTACTATTAAATGACATGGTTACGATTATTTATCAAGGATTTGATAAAATTTGACTTTATTTGACATATTTAGTTATGTCCACTTATTAAGAGGTATTTTATTATTAGTTTTTTATTTATGTATTTTGTTTTAATGGCATGTGGCATTTTATTAAACGACATACAATCACGTCTTTATCCATACAATCATAATAGAAGGTGTACATAATATACTGAGCACAGGTGCTATGAAGCCACTTCCAGTAAAGAGTTTTCTAACCTATATTGGATCGTATGACTTCTTGCGCTCAAGTCACCTGATGTCTTCAGAATTACCCTACAAATAACAATAAATTGCATTGCACATGAACTCCAGTCGTGTCTTGTGTTTGTGGAAAAACTTGTTGATTTCATTTGCTACTATAAGACAGCAACATAATGCGGTGAATGGTATCGTTTGTGTTCCAAGTACCGATATGCTACAACAATGGTACACAGAACATGTTCTGACAACGTTGGAGGAGTCCGATATTGGTTTGGCTTGCACTACCCCTCAGTTAAATGCAATAACTTTTTTTGGACTTATGTCCAATTCGGCTTGAGGATGTACAGGTGACGTTTGTTGTGAAGTAATAGTCTGTAGTGTCTTCCGACTAACCAGAATAAGTTTATCAATTTTTCTTTGGTTTGCAGTCTTTTCTGTCGGGCGTGAGGTTTCAAATTGAAACGTGAGTATAAATTAAGCGAGTTGTACTCAGTACGCGTAAAGACGTTAGATACATTTTTTTTTTTTAAATCGCTTAACATATTTTTGTAGGCGGGTAGGTATAGCAGCTGAATGCATTCTATGGTTTGAATGTTTGAAAAGGTAGGCAACTATATAACTATAATGCATACGCTACACGCAACAGCAGTCGTTTGAGAACCGGTTTCCAGCTGTTATCGTAGATAAAGAATATTACGGTATCAACTATCGACTGTAATGCGACGCATCGTGACGTACAACAGAATCAGCTGTATGATATCTCATATCACACATTTGATTATTACAATGCAGCCAGTGTTCAGTAGACGGTAGCCCTAGTACCCACTCGGTAGTCGAACGTCACGCTTTGTTATCGGTGTACGCGTTGACCGGTTATTTCAGTGTATTTTCTTTTCTTCAGTGAATGTCTGCGATCGTAGCGAGTCACTAATGGTTTGCTTTCGGCTGCGTACGATTTTAAAAACCATGTGTCGTCTACGTGTCGGTACTTAAAAATAATATATAAGTATTTAGTACGCGTCCATTGGATTACTGTTTTGGTATAGCTACCGGGTAAATAAAAATGACATTTTATCATCTGGATACTGGATTTTAATAGTTTAGCCTATAGGCTTAGTTCTTGGTCCAACCGCTTACATGACTTTGGATTAATTGGCCGAACACATGTTCCAAGATAGATTTTTTCTAAATTATTGATGTTCAGATCCTTTTCTAGCAAAATCTATAGATAATGACGTGCGGTTGGCTGATTAAAAAACAATCGGAAACCTATTATGTAATATTCTATTATGTATATTTTCTCTTGACTGGAAAGCTGTTTGAAGTTATTATTCCATGAACTAAAAACAATAGTTTCAAACTATCGGTTCTTAATATACAGTATAATGGCGTACATAACATTTTTATATACTTCATAATAATAATATTATCGATCATCTTGGTCTGTCCTCGTTAATAACACTCTAATGTTACGCATGTCAGCTATTGCTTTTAATATTATATACGCAATGATTAATGTTATTACTTATTATAGGCGGAATAATTTGTATATAACATAGGTCATAGACGAATATGTATACTCCTGGATAGTAGTGAGTTTTAAAATTAAGTTACGTAACGGTTAAGTATAAAAAGTTGATTAAAAACGAATTCTATACTAACTCTGTTCAACACTTTTGATATCTACAAAACTTTTAGTAAAAATGTAGCCTTAAATATGTCCAACCACTGAATAGGTATACTAAGTTTGTGTCGAGGCGCGGATTCAGGGAGGTGGGTCATGACCCCTCCAGGAATTAAACTTGATCTTCGCATTTATTTAAAAGCTACTAGAAAACTAAGGTTTGATCGGTTAAAAATAATAAAACCTGACCTTATCCACAACAATACATCTACAATTTAATTTTCCCATGAAATTGAATATGTGCATTATTCCCATAATTCGTTTGTTTTATTATCGGCGTTTTATTTCAGAATTGTATGTCTATATATGAGTCAAAACGCCTAATACTTTTTGAAACTTACCGTGTATATCTGCTACGATGATAAGAACGTTCACGCTTTTTTTTTGGAATTTTTTTCGATTATTTTGGCCATGGTCGTATAAAGAATTTTTAGTTTTTTCTTTACTGTTCTTTTTTATTTTTTATTTATAATATCTTCGGCAATCAAAATAAATTATTAAAATCAGTTTCTTATTTAAAATAATCTTAGCTTTCTGAAAAATTAATTTTTTTTTCGAGTAACAGAAAGTCGTTAAAATTTTCTCACAAAGCTGAAAAAAATTGTACATAAAATTGTCTATTAATTATCCAAACTGGGTTCTCCATAAAAATGCTTAGAAAAACTATAAAAAAAGTAGTAAAAATTCATAGAAAAGTCGAAAAAACGGAAAATTATCTAATTTTAACACATAATTCTTTCAACTGTTTTGATTACTGTGTTATTTTCCCAATTTTTCCAAATAATTATGTGTAAGTATTTTTTTTACTTTAATCAATTTGACACCCTTCTCCCAATTTTATTTCTAGATCCGCTCCTGTTTGTGTCATAAATAACTGAAAATCAATATTTTAAATAAAGAGGCCAAAGGACTAAAATCGACGAATAGACGTTGATGCTGGGCAATGTAATCACTTATTTAATCATGATATTAAACAAAATTTACAATAAATTAATTACCAAAAAAATTAATACTAGCACTGCTGAATGATATACGAAACAAATAAATTGATAATATGAATAGGCTACATATTATTTTGTGTTGACAAATATTTCCTAAAACGTATTTGTCTTCCTATATTGTTATAATGATGAAAGCTTCTGTTATCTGTTTATAACGATTGATGTTTTGTTATAAATATTCAGTAGTTACATAATAGGCAATAGCCAACATATTATTACGTCATAACGATGCACGGTCCAATAATTTGTATTTTTAATAATAAAAAAGAATTAATTAATTGCTATCAGTATGATAAGTTTACATTAAAATTCTAAACAAATATTAAGTAATATATTTTTTAGTACTAAATCTAATTGTACTAATTAATAATTTTTATTATTATTATGTATAAATTTAGATAAAAATATGTTTTATTTAAAATAATAAAATTTAACGAAATTTTTTCAGAACGCGGCCGTAATCGGTATTTAAGGAATATCCAGCAAATAGACAAGAATAAAATATGAAGACACTGTTCGGGGTCAAGGTAAGATAAAACTTATGGATTTTTATATAATAAATTATCAATAAACATACATTCTAATGGAATCATATACTTTTTTACGCGTGAGAGTTAATCGCGAATTTTACTTTTAATATTATCGCTTCTCGTATATAATAATATTATATAACAAGCATAAGTTATTAAATTTCACTTACCGAGCATATACCATACATTCCTATAGGAGAGGGGTATTCTAATACATGTGATGGATAAATATTGAATTGCGTATAGAGCTTCATATTATAATCGTTAAGTCTTTGTACAGAATTATGGCGGGATTACCATTAAAATTAGTCAGATGGTCAGTAATAATAATGATGTTGGAACTATGAGACGCTTGGTCGTGTGTACACAGTACATGTCATGTCGCGTCGTGTTTGGCCACATAAATTATTGTAGGTACATATGTATGTATATAATACATTCTGGTATCGTGTACACGATTCATGTTTTGAGTTGGCTTGAAGAGGGAGGAGTGTGGTTTAAGGGGTAAGGATAGCATACACGTGCATTGCTTTATGGTTCCATTAATCATAGACCGGGCTTGAGGTACATTTGACAGGTTTTCCTACTTCGTGAGCCCTCCCCTGTAGCTCGTTCGAAGCCAATTCGGATACTCTTTTGCTTCCCCAACCTTCCCCTCCCGCACCCATTTATTTCCCTAACGATTTAATACTAATCGTCGTGCCTGCACAAAAGCATTTTATGTCAATCGCAAAGCTAAGTAGCCGCTAGCTCTTGTGTTTTACGATTGAGTTTTAATGTTGCATTAGCATTGTCGTCTCGCCCACTGGTTTGACGGGTAATGGGATCGAAAGAAAAGAAGAAAAAATTATAGTACAAAATACAAATGCAGAATCAGCTTGATACATATTAGTGACGGGAATCCGAAAATCCGGATTTTTCAAAAAAACGCTTTTTAAGTCATTTGAAAATCATATAATTGTTAAATACTATTACAATATAAAGATGTGTACCTAAGTAAAATTTGTTGATAAAAATTTTTAAAAAAAACTCTTAACTTTGTCTATAAAATGCTTTCGGATTCCGGATTTTCGGATTTCAACAAATCCGAAATTCAAAAGGAGTTTATCTCTTTGGTGTTTTGTTTTATTTTCTCATATTTATCAAAAAAATGTTACTTAGATATAAAGCTTTATATTGTAAAATTATTTAACACTTAAATGATTTTTAAGTAGCTTAAAAAGCGTTTTTATGTGAAAATCCGGATTTTCCGATTCCCATCACTAATACACATATATTTTGAAAGGCAAAGTTACAAACACATAATACAATATAATGACAGTTGACATATTGTGTGTTATAGTTGTGTGCATAATCGTTTATAGTTTATTGAAAGTAGATAAACCCAATAAGGTACAAAGTAATTTTATTCTGTAGACCAAAATTAAAATAATAATTTTATTGTTTTTTGCTTACGATACTTTTATATTTAATATTTAAATTGAACTGAACAAATAAAACTACCAAGAATCGATGAATTGACACAGTTAACCATACTATTTATAAAAATTTTTAATTAGAAACTAGATGATAATTTAACCCTTTTGTTTTAATTTGTATTTGTATTGAATTATGTTGCACCTGCGTTATTTTTATTGATAACATTTTTAATATACTCGATCATAAAACTAAAAAAAATGCATAACATAAGAAGCCTACATTGTAGTCGGTAGTAGTACAGTGTCATACTATTTATACATATTACATACGCAGGAAGATATTTCGAGCAAGCTAATTTTCTGTTATCGTACTTAGCCGATCGAGCTGAAAACCACTTTGTTTCATTACAGTCACTTTCTGACATATTTTAAAACTAATAGACATTTTCCTCGCAACATACATACCGACTGCTGCTGCACGCGGTGAAAGCATTATTATTATACTCTTGGGCAATGACGTTGTCAGAATTTTCAATTTTCTCAAGGAGAGGGGACATCTCTCGTGTATACTTCTATTGTCTTACAGTGAAAGCTTTTCAATAATTTTTTAATTCGGTCGCAATTTTTTTGGTTTAATAGTAGTACAGTCGATCGTTTCCATATCTTGCTTTTGCTTTTCATGAGCTTTCTTTTTGTGAAATTCGATAACGAACGACTTAATGCCAGTAGATACAGTAAAAGCTGGCTTATATACCATATCGATTATAAAATAATGAAACTGCCTAGTGTGGCTCAGTTCAATAAGTTATTAACTTAATAAAACATGGTATACGTGGTAAATAAATAACACGTTCGTTAGTAATGGTATAAACGCTGTATCCTTGATATAATTATTAGTTACTAATCCCGTATGCTAAGTTAATAAAACGTACCAGTAAATTAACATTGTGTGAAAGAGAGTTATAAGTTAAATGACAAGACTTCGTATGTACATTTATAAGTACTAAAGAATTTAGCATTTTATTTCTTATGTACAACAAATAAATAATGATAAATATTTGACATTATTATGACGTTATTATGTTTAATGTCTATTACTTAATTTTTTTTTAAATATAAAATATATAGTATTTTTGAGTCTGGTAATTTATGAAACCTCGTAGAACTTTAATTTTCACCGTGATTCATTATACTACTTGAGAACTGAGGTCGAAAAGTAATAAATATTTGTATGATTGGGCTTGTTAAATATTCAACGTAGTTACGTAAACAAAAACATAACAATTTGTACATGAAGAGCATTGTACTCTCTAGTGGCGCCCTCCCTCTGGGTTTTACCAATAGCTTATAAGTATTTGCTATATTTTACTCATAAATAATAATTGGTGTATGTAAGCTGTATATTACCAAATCAATATCTTTTGTTCCTTAAAATTAAATATATTTTTTTTTTTTTTATATTCTTTTCTGAAGAAACGAAGTCTGCAATTATACATATCGCTAAATTTTACCATGTAAATAATAACAATTAATACTCAATAAGTAACGCGATAAAATTGTTGAACTCATCTGCGTGGCTAATCTGATCACTCGCTATCCATTCAGGCATTCAGTCAATCATGCGAGTTCCAATAACGTTCTCGCATCATTGGTCTGCGGTCGTTTTTGGGTTTTCATAAAAACACTAACTCAAAAAATGATCGTTCTTACCATTAATCACGACCGTAGTTAATCGTTACTCGCCATTAAACCGACCTAAAGATGGGTTTGGGTTGCCAACATACCCTGTCGCCATAAAGCAACAAGACAAATGTACAAATACTATAAAACACACACACACACATATATATAAATATAGTGGTTTCTGATACTGTATGTTGGTATATGGTGTACAGCTTTCAACCCGACAAACGAAAAACTACTATATGGAAGGATTATTGTTTAGTTATGTACTACGTAAAACAAATGAAATTTCACTGCAATTATAAAAAAAAATTATACGATATAAAATATTGAAAAAAATACTTTATTTTTATTTCTTTAATTATGATTAATTAACACATAATTTTATTGTCTTTCTTTCTTCTGAATAATTGAGATTGGTTCTCAATTTTTATAGAATACTATACAATATACATACTATAATATAATACTATTTATTAGTTAATATATTATTGTTATTCATTTTTTTCTTTATTGCGTTATGTCCACCTAACACGCACAACGAGGTAATCATGCGTGATTTTACTGCGAGCTAACATTGTATTTTTATGATTTACATTTCAAGTGTACCTATAATATTATATCATTTTCTTTCCCCTGTTGTAAGAATCCAGCAACGTATACCGTCATTCTTTTTTTGATATTATTATATACGCGTCACATACACATGCAGGTACAATTTATATATACAGGGTAACCCATCTGATGTAAGACACTCCTCGGAAAATATGAATATTTTGATAATTCATTTTTTCGTATACTTGTAGGTATATATTTTACAAAAATTTTCATCCCGAATACGTAAAACATTCATGGATCTCATTTTTTGAAATGGTAACATATGTTTTTAGCTCTATAATTATGTAGACAAACATTTTAAAAATATTTTAGCGTTTGAATTTTTAGTTTTCATCCATCCGTTCGTTTGCTATGACTTTGTAAGGATATTACATTTTCCCCTATTTCTTAGGTTATCCAAAAAACAGTAGCCGTAACTGTATTTAAATAGGTAGATAAAAACCGATTGTGTATTATTGTCTCAACACATTTTATTGTGGCGGGTTACCGCTTATCGAATAATGCGAACATAAATATGAAATTTATGAGCTACTGTTTTTTTGAACAACTTAAAAAATACGGTAAATATAATATCTTTAAACAATTATAGAAAACAGACGGATTGATAAAAATTAAAAATTCAAACGCTAAAATGTTTTGACATTTTTTGCCTACATATTTATGGAATTAAAACATATATTCCCATTTGGAAAAACGAAGTCGTGTTAGTTTTGCGTATAAAGGATGAAGATAACAAATTTACTGAAAAATATATTTCTACAAGTATACGAAAAAATCAATTTTTTAGATATTCATATTTTCCGAGAAAATGAGTGTCTTACACAACTATAAATAATCATATAATTTAGGTTTTAAGTGTTAAAATTAGTTGACTACCAAATATTTAAATGGCCATAGGATATCGTGATAAAAATTATGTTAAGAAAAAACGACTTTGACATTGATACTGTGGCCGTGGTCGTGACTTGTTGTCGTTCACATAAGCTAAAATTACACAAATTTTTCAGTAATTACATTAATTATTATGCTTTTTAAACTAATTCTATTTTATTTGTATTTTTTATTTTAAAATTTAATTTGTGTGGAACATATTTTGCTCATATTAGTTATATGACTAGTAACTGATATTAGGACTAACAACATTGTTCTTTGAAAATAAATAATTTCAATTAAAACAATTTTTGAGAGAGGAAATCTGCTTTCAATACGTACAAACATCCGATTTAAAACATTTGTTTTGGTGTAAAAAGAGTAATTAAATAATAAAAAATCTTATAAGATAGGTAATGATAAAAATACATTTTTTTCCCTGTATGGCATGTTTTTGAACTAAAAATGGGACTGCGAGCTGGCTTCTAAAATATAGTTTTAGACACATGTGTACTTAATATTAATTACGTATGAGCAAAACAAATTGCTTGTACTCTTTTTAAAGTTTGTGTGTTGCTCATTCGATTGACATAGAATTTAGATTTTTAGGTTTCTTCACAACTCAGTATGACTATAAAAAAGTTACTTAAATAACATGTTATTTAAATAGGAAAATTAAAAAAAGACTAATAGTGGGATTAGCACGGGTTAAAAAAAAGTTGGAATAGATTTTTTTTTAACATTTAGAAGAGAATGGACCACTAGCAGCTAACATGTATACAAGGTGGTGATTTAACGTAAAACACTAATTTTCTCAGAAAGCAATAACAATAATTATATAGTTTTTCTTTTTGAAAACTTTTTTATTTATGTTATTTTACAATATTATAAAATTACTAAATAATTACCTTTTTTTTAGTACTAACTAGAATTCTATCAGCTTTTGAAACTTAAATGGAAAACGTATATATTATTTAACCAACTTTTTAAATGAAAAATAATTTTCTGAAAATGTTGACTGGCCAATTGAAAACCAGTTTTGGATAATTTCTTTTAAAGTTATTAGAGTTTTAAATTTAGGACGGGAGGTGGAGTTCAGTTGAGTAATACGCGCAGATAAAAATAATACTAATAATAGGGTAGTGTGAACCCTTCATCGCGTAGTAAAAGTAGTTATCCAAAACTGGTTTTCAACCATACCTTTTTAACAAATTTTTCTCATTACAAAAAGTTAATGTAATATTTACGTTACCATTCAAGTTTCAAAAGTTGATAGAACCTAGAACATACTAAAAAAAGGACATTTTCAGGAATTTTATATTACTATAAAATAAACAAAAATGTTCTCAAAAGACAAAACTATAAATTTTTATTTGTGAGAAATGTGTCTTATGTTAAATTGAGTACCCTGGATAATATATGTCTATTACTAACTCTACATTCTCGCCGAGGCAATACGAGGCGAGGGTTAGTCTCACCTCGCGTTGACTTTTTTGGCGAGAGTCAAAGGACACGAGGTTTGGTGGCGAGGCGAAGCGAGAGTTTAGAGTTAGCATATGTGACATATCCACAATGTATGGTTTTATTGTTACGTACAAAGTAGTGTTAAAGTCACTGCGTTAGAATTATTGCATGCGATATTTGTGTGTAAATACAAGTCAAAAGCTTAGTGGTGTATGGACTATTCAGGTGTTGGTGTCGACGTTTGGTGTGAGGAGTAATAGCAGCAGCCGGCGCGTGGTATCGCCGCTGCACGCCGCGGGCCGGTCTGGTGGAGCGCCGTGCGACGGCACCACCCGCCGTGGATTCGTTGTATGAAAGTGTCGAGCAGCAGTGGCAGAGTTTGTGTTGGAGGAGGCGTAAACGACAGCGGCGGCGACGGGGACGACAACGAAGCTGGAAGCCGCGGTGACGGCGGTGGCGGCGCGCCCTGCAGCCCCTGCAGTGACAACAGTGGCGGCAGGGGCCTGGTAGCCGGTGTGCTGGTCAGCGATCAAGGCGAAGTGATCAGCGACCGGTATGTGGGAGTGGCGAGGCGTCAATTTGCTTCACGCCAACCGTCCGAGCGCGGCTCGACCAAGGCCGACCAAAGCGACAGCGACGACGAGACCACGCTCAGGCAGATGCTTGTGAGGTAAGACACGTTAGTTGCATGCTTACCGGTTTCACTGCGTCAATGCTGTATACATACATGTATTAACTTTTAACCCAATTCCGCCCTCCGGTCCTCTTTGACGTACAAGATGTCCTGTATAAAGCCCCATACACACGTAGCGATCGCTTTGTCCAATTGTTGACAGTCATAGAATTGACAGGTAAATCGATAGGTTAATAACAATATTTGTCGTTGAGGTAATGGTTGATAAGTTGATGCTCAGCAAGTATCAACGGGGCGACGATGAAGAAAAAAATGTATACAATAAGTTTCGTACGTTCCACCAAAATTATTTATTTTTTAGACGTATTTCAAAATGATGAATTATACACATTTTGACAAAATATAAACAATACTCATTTTTTTTTTTGTATCTATGTAGTATAGCGGTTATATGTAGCAGCTCTGGCTATAAGTGCACACAGTATTGACTTTGTATTGTTTGGGTTGTTTTTGAGACCCTTATCTTATTTTTCGATAAACCAACATGACATATTCAGTAAAACTAATCAAAAGTTATGAATGATGACCGGTATAGTAAATTACGATTATTTTAATTTTATTGTTTGTAGACATTTTGTTTTAAAATTATTCATGTGTTTTATTTGTACCACAATGGCGTTTGAATCGAAAAAAAAATTTCTATGAAATGTAAGAACAATATCTCAACAGAGTGATTCAAGGATAAGACACTCAATATCTTTTAAAATAATTGAAATTTGTTAGTGTTTCTTTTTGAATATTACCATTTTTTAGTATTTTCCAGAACATTTAAACCTTAAATATAAATAAATAACATTTTAATCTAATAATAATTTGCTGAACATTTTGATTGGTCGATAACTAGTTTTGGATAATTACTTTTAGAGCTATTAAAGTTTAAACTGTACAACGGGAGGAAGGGTGGAGTGTAGTATTATTTTTATCTGCGCGCATTACTCTACCGCACTCCCCCTTTCGTCCTTAATTTTAAACTTTAATAACTTTAAAAGTAATTATCTACAATTGGTTATCGACTAGTCAAAATGTGCAATTAAATCTTAACTAAAAGAAGTATTTAAGTTACCATTTAAATTTTGAAATTTTATAGTCGATCAAGTTCTAGATGAAAATAAAAAAAAATACAAATTTGAATATTGCCTAATATTGTAAAACATAAACTAAAGTATCACCAAAAAAAACTTCAAAATTGCACATATTTGAAGAGAAAATTTGTCTTATCCTGAATCACCCTGTACAGAAGATTAAGAGCGATTTTGATAAAAATAAACACTTATTAAATTTGGGCTTAGGAGGTATACGTAGTCTAGGCAGTGTCTACGTCAAACTAAAATGTTACCAAAACTTGGTATTTCTCTAGATTGAACTGTACAAAATGACAAACAAGTTAACAATTTTGTCGTCTTGTGTATGGTAAAGCGTAGATTGTCGATATGTTGATCAATTTGCGTCTAATCGATAAACCGATTGTTACGTGTAGGGGGAGCTTAATATTGACAAGTCATTTCCATAGAAACGTATGTGTTAGCTATCCGAAAACTGCGAGATACCCTGTATATGTGTCGCGTACACTTTCGAAGAGATTAAAAAGGTAATGGGGATCTTGTATAACATAGAAGGTGTACGGTATATCATAGCAATGGCTATTAATAATGTTAACAATGTATATTCGATACATTTGATTTAAAATAAACAATATTAATTTCTACGGTTTATCAGTCGACGCAATCGTCGCAGGTATTACAAATGCAATTATAATATGTATATAAAACATATATAAGATGTAATATGCATAATATTATATTATGTAAGCGTATGGACCCGAGTTGTAGACTAATAATAGCTTTGGAAATATTATTTGATATTCGTGTTTTCTAAAGAGAGGACGCGATGGTATGTTATAGTATGTAGTGTGAATGGAGAGATGGTGTTAGTATAATTAAGACGGTTAAAAGATATAGTGCACAACGAAGAATAAGGCAGTACCATTTTAACTGAATAGCGTTATGCAGAAAGCAACCAACCCACAAAAAAAAGTATAAAGCATAAATTTATACATACTACCCACAGATTTGCATAGAAACGTTTATTTAAAGTGATTCAGTTATAATAATTTCTGTAGAACTATGACCTCTCCATCTTCACTATGCCCCGACTCCACTATACTAGCTTTTTTTAATAATAAGAGTGTAGTTATAGTATTATATCTCTAATAATATATATTTTTGTAATACGATTCGTGATAATATTTAACTTTAATATCTCAATAGATTGCATGTACCTATTTCATAAACTATTTCAGTGAAATATTATAACAGCAATTACTTATTACAAACAGGTCTGCTCCTAAAAGTTTAACCTAAATGTATACTTATGGTTTTACTGGCGTTAGGTACTTTAGAAACGGCTCTCTACTGTTCACAGTGCTTACATTTTTTTGTCTTGTATTCTCCTCACGTACTACAGAGACGACTTACACAATGACCGTGGCAAAATAACAAAAATACACATCATAAAATCCTTGGCGTAAAATCTGCGTAGAGACGTGAAGAGTATGATGTTATGCAGAAACTCCTAAACTTTACTTCCCAAGTTTTATTTTGGTAATAATCTACCATTAATTAAACTCCAATGCAATATGACGCGTGAATTATATATTATAGCTGCGCAATTTGATACTAAAATCTGCGTTTTGCACGCTGCTATATCGTTTGAATGTTCATAAGGAATTTAATAGTCTCAATAAGGGGTTGGAATAAATGCGGGTAAGCTTCCAGTTATATTATTAAATAAATATTATTACCGATATTATGGTAACAGTGAAAATAAGTTCTTGAGTTGATATCCTAAGTAGTTTCATAGATTATATACGTACTGGTCAATTTTAGGCAATACCTTCGGCTTTATATTTTCAACAGACAGCCTAAAATGTGAATTTGATTAAAATCAAGACGTGGTACTACGTGATTTCTGAGTTCAGAGTTCTCGTTGAGAGTAGAATGAAAATAAAGAGAAAGAAAGGAATAGAAAGAGAGAGGGATTTTCTTTGTTTATTCCTTTTAAATCGACCAGAAACAAAATGCAAAAGTGTCACCACAAGACAATGGTGAAAGTTTCATAAAAGTTCAAGAGTTTTGAACCGTTCGACTTTGTCAACAGAGTTTTTTTATGGAAAAAAATTAGGGAAACTTTCTAAGACGCTATTTTTCTTTATTTTTATGAATATCATTACTGACTTACTGCTTCTACACACAACAGCTATGATACACGCACACCAGTTGTATTTAATAGGTATATTTTGTCACGTTTAATAATAATAGGGCTAAAAAAACAAAACCCGTAGACGACATTTTTAGAATATTAGTACAGCTTTTAAATACATTTTGATGTTATACCCCTATTTTCGGTTTTTTGAAATACCAAAAAGATATTAAAAAAATGTATTCTTTTATGTTTCTCATTGTATTTTACCACTTATATGAAATATATATTTTTATAAAAGTATTTCTTTATTATTACCTATAGGTAGGTACGATCAATGCATTTTTTGTCAATACTTTTTTTTCAAATACTCGACTTTTGTAACGTTGGATTAGCATTATTTTCTTGTGATCATTGTTTAATGTTTCTCTAACAAAATAGCGAAAACGAAGTATTTATTATTAATTTATTTCGATAACAGTAAACGAACAATAAATAATACTAAGTTGTGTTTAAAAAACTAATGTATGTTGAATCTTGCGTGTTTTAAATTTTCGAAAGCTCTACAAAATTTAACATTGCAAGACAGAGGTTGTATTTATAAAAATTAAAGATGTTTCGAGGAATAATGATTAATTCTTTGGAAAGTACTTTTTTCCTCATACTTTAATAGAAAAATTAAAAACAAACAAATTATACCAAATTGTTTTCTTACTATTAGATAATGTTTGAAACGATTATTACTTAACAGGAAGCTGTTTCTTCAAAAAACCATGTAGAAAATACGCTTATGGAAACTCAGCTTTTTAAAAGCAGAAGCGTTAAATTTCATATTTACAAATTTGTACCGTGTCATTATTATAACATAATATATTTGTTCCCTTATGTAATCACAATTGCTTACTGTGACGATCATTTTTTATTATACTAAATAAATGTCTCTTACTACCTAAAGAGTAAATCAAAACTAAAATTGTGTACTTCCGATGGAATTGTATGTTTGTCGTTACTTCCTAAAATAATTATCGCGTGTGTTTGAACCATTAGCATACCAAACAATGACGCATGGTAGTCATTAAAATATAAGACGTATAATTTTGTATTTAAGTATACACCAATAATTATTGCGAAAGATATTAATGGGAGGAATGCGTTGTTTACGACGTGGAACATGTTATAGTGGTACAATTTCATTATTTTAATTCGATACTAACGCCAGATTATATTAATACAACGATACTTAAACACGCGAAACTGCTTAACTACAGTTCTAAATGCGTTATCGCCGGGGTCGAATTAACCTGGACTAAACTGGGTAAAGCCCTATTGTATTTATTAGATGTTTGATTTTTTTTTTTTTTTTAATAGTATGAGCTATAAAACAAAAATAATATTGAATAGTTATTTTATAACTTGTAATAAAAATATATTTTATCGTTTAATAAATACTGTTTGTTTGTAATATCACCATGTTCTATTCATGACACGAGCAAGTGCTTTTATTTCTAATAGCCTTCTAATTTTTCTTAGTTATTATAACCCTTTACTCATGTCTCGTACCTAGTCATCTTATTATTTTTTGTCATAACATTGTATAACTAATTCAACATAGCCAATATATATTTATTTTGCGTTGAGTTCTTATTTGTAGGTAGAACATTCTGCAGTTTGCGTTATTGTGTTGGAAGTCGAATAGCTTTCCAACACGACTAAATCGAGTCCCGCCCCGGATTACTGCGAAAACAATTGAAAAACATTTTAACCGTCTTTTTCACATAAATTTCTACTCCCATAAATCTCTCCGGTCGCGTTATCTGTGCAGTAAACGTTTAAATCCGGCTAACGACAAAATAATGTATTTAAATAACACGATCGTTTATTGCATTTACGGATACTTATATGTCTACATTAAAAAGGGGACTGTAGTACATAGGTAAACACAACAATCGGCCTTTCTCTTTAGTAGGGACCCGTGTACATGCTATGATATTAGAGTAGGACGAGTGGGTAAGGGTCAGTGTGTTTGACGCTCACTGTCGCTAGTTCGACACTCGGTCACGGGCTCTACGTTTGCCGGGCGAGAAATCGTCTGATAAAATCTCATCACAGCTTCTTCAAGGCCCGTTAAGCTACATGATTATGTTTATCTCCTTGTTATGATATATTACTATAAAAACAACTTATATAATTTCGAAGGGGACTAAGGATTTGTTTTATGATTTATCATAATAGTTAATGTTAGTTATAGTTGTTACTGTTATCGTGTATTTTCGAATAACGATTATCAAAGAGCTAAAATTGCGTAGGGAATAAATCAAAATTGATAGACTTATTCTCCCAATTTTAAGTTGTGTAAGGCTTGAGCGTTGATATTATCATTATATCACACTATAATAGAAGGGGAGGCAAAAAGTCAAAGTTGAAAAATAATCCTATTAATTTGAATGATTTGTTGCAACCGGAATTGTTATAAAGGGTTTTCATCGTGCGTACTAAAAACTTACAGTTAAAGAATGAAAGCGTTACTACTAGCCTTATTTTTGTGTTTTTTAGCTGTAATATTGTACAGCTTTTACTCTTGCAAAAGTTGGCAATTTTGTGGGATTTTTTCCAATAACGTCTGTGAAGAACGAACTTGTTCTAATCCCCAATGTATCCTTCTCATACAATTTTTGGTGACCCATGTAGCATATATAACTTACGGTCGCTAGCTTGTTTTTATAAGTAACATGCGTTACCCGAGAGAATCGGCTGCCGTTTAAAGAATGTCTTATGTACCTGTCTGAGGTCATGCAACAAATAACGCCATAATGTATCGAAAGTCTTTAAATTTTTGAAAATATACTATCATTCTAATTACGATGCACATGGTTGTTTTACTTGGCGTCGACGGCGGCAAAGACTTCAGGAATTCAAGTGACCGAGGGGGCAGTCCTCGGGCTCCTGGGCACACAAACCCCCTCTTGTGGGTGAGGGTCAGTTTTTGTTATTGATTGCACGAGCGGCGGTTGTACACGCAAAGACCGCCACCACAGCCACACAATGTACTCTCGGTATAATACATACATAGTATACACACACAACAAATGTGTGCATATAAATATATATATATATATATATATATATATACCCTCATGTTAAAAGCACAACCGCAGCGACGGTAGGGGTCTGGCTCGCTTTACTCCCAGAGGCGCCGCCACGGCATTGCTGTGACCAGTCGACGACATTTTATTACCAAATAAACCCTGCAATACTCTGACGCACATTGACTGTACGGTTTTCTTTTGTACCATGTTCTTTTAGGTAATTCCCGTCAAAGTATTAAGGCATGTTAGATAGAAAACGGGTAACATACTACTATTGAAACAGAGTAAACGTAGTTAGTAATTCAAACATTCAATGAATATATTACTTATGTAGCTACTTATATTAATTTTTATTTCAAACGTAAAATCATATACTATAGGCAATGTTAATGTAACAATCAATAGGTAACACTATTATACCTTCTTTTTAATGGTCAGAAGGGGGAGATTGTTCCTCACAGTAATTTCCCTACCAGCTAAACAAAACTATACTACAACTATACTACACTACACTATACTATACTAACTACATTTCTGGATTTCGCAGAGGTAAAACAATTATGAAATCTAAAAAAAGACAGTCAGATCAATATGCGGGTGTTGCCTAATCGTTAGTGTATTTTAATGTATAGCTAGGGAGGAAGCCTATTATAATACTGTTTAATTCAAGAAGTATTATGCATAGTTTATTGAACTGGTATAAGCCAGAAGGCAGGAACTAATTGTTTTTCAATTATCTTTAACAATACCATTTAAATAAAAATAAATGTAATAGCAAGCGGTAATCGTCAGTATCGATGATGATTATTAAACTTAAATTACAAATAGGTAAATCTTTTACACCTATTAGTGTATACAATTAGTAATTTTCAACATTTTTACACGCGCTGAGATAATTTGAATTTTATAAGTATATAAATTATGGTTCAACCATAAATATTAATGAAGATTATAAATTACACTTTACATTTTTCTCTTTTTTATAAATTTACTAACGGTTAGCATTTTCAATTATTCAATAATTTGCTTACAAATATTAATAGCGTTTAAATAGTATATTACCCATTATTCACTAATTAATGATGATATAGCATCATTGGTACTTGTTAAAAACACAATAAATAAATGTTGCCTTACTATAGTAAAAATCAAAATCTTGCATGTTGAATTTATTATCCAACTAGTAGTAAGAGGAAGTACCTACGTCCTACTTGTGTGTGCACTATATTATTATACAGTACCGTTTTGAGAGTGTGTGCTAGTGAATTACTTGGAGTTAGTTAGACGAAGGTCTGCCGTTGACGTATGCGACCGTTTAGCGTTCTAGCGGTTATCAATAAAGTCACCACATAAGGAGTTTTTTTCATTTCGGCAGTGGATCTGTACCAAAGCTGTATCTCTGTATACATATATCTGCTGTGTTAGTAATATTTTTACAATGAACAATAATAAAATCGTCTATGGTTACATAAATCAATACGTGTCTGTTTGTAATTTGAATTTATCTTTGTTGTTATTATTATACATTTCATTGCGTATCGATGGATAAGTCAGAAAGACAACGGTTTATGACATTACACCGTTGAAAGCTCTATATTATTTCGACAATGCTGGCATCGATGTGAAAACTCGAGCTCATAATTAAATTTAAACGCAGTTAGGGCTGAGTTTAACGCTATCGGATAAACTATACAATATTTTAATATGCAGGGTTATTTAAACACGGGGGTTTGTACATAAATATCTGCTGTTATAAAGTATTGACATTTGTATGTATTATTAAACAAGACATGTCTCTCTTAATCAAAATATTCTTGACATTTGCATTACTAACTAATAGTGATAATGATAAAACCATAATTTTGAATGTGTTAAAGCTTTCATGGACTGTCTTCAGTTTTATGCTGACGTTTTGTTTCATTGCAGTGTCATCTTCCGAGGCATAGTCACCGTTACGCTGTCGTCACTATACTGACTGACTCACTTGTCGCACCGTGTAATATGCTGCTTAAGTTTTTGAAAGAACAGAGATAGGACCTAATATTTATATTCAAATAGAGAATTTGTTTTTTGATTTTTACGTAAGCGGGTTTCTTGGTCGTAGGTTCTAATATCATTGTAACGGAAAATCACTTATAATCGATGGCCATGAGTGGAACATCATCCTTAAAGGGGGAGAGCGGAATCCCCATTTGAATCCCGTGTTTGAACACAAAACTAAAACCGAAATTTCCGTGGAATTCAAGTGAACACATGTATAATAACGGCGTGCACGTGCCCTATGTATGTGTCTATATAGCTCATACATGGTGGATGGTTTGCGCAGTTTGCAACACCAGGTGACGGACATGAGCGCCAACCTAACGACTCGGCTGGACGAGCTGCAGTCGCGTGGGGTGTCGCCCAGCCCGGCCGCTGCCGCGTACTACGGCACCGAGCACAGAGGCCACGTGGAGACCAGTGTCGCGCTGTCCGAGATCCGAACGCAGCTGCACGAGCTGACCAGGTCCTTGGAGTCGTGTCAGTCGGAAGTGACCGAGGTGAAGCGCGACATGGTGGCCATAAAGAACGAATTGGACACGGTGCAGCAGGTCAAAGAGGAGATCGAGGAGCTCCGAGAGTACGTGGACAGGTTGGAGCTACAGTCGCACCGCAGGAAGCTCAGGCTGCTCGAACAGGCACGAACCTAAAGATATAATAATATACGTATATATATATATATATATATAGACTGTTTTGTGTCACGGACGTCTGCATGTTTTTGTTTTATGATATGTATTGTAGATATTTTTTTTTAATTTTTAGTGTTTTTGGAAGAGCCGTATTTGAATAGGAGCGTTGCCAAAATACTGCTCTAGTTTTTGGATGCATCGCTCATGCGTTTATTTTGTTTACGTTACGTTCGCTATTGCGCTTCGTTTAGTAGTATATATTGGCAATTCGTTAACGTCATAAAGCATTGACCGTACAGCACTCTGTTAAACATGATATCCATATGCGTATTCGTTAGATAATAAATTAAAACTAGAAATCGAATGACTTGTATGTATCTCTAGGACATCTGAGATTCTTTACGCAGATAAAAATGTGCAACATTTTAAGATTAGCCTGTTATATTGTACTAATATTGGCTACATAGAACACCCGACATTTTCGAACTTAGGTTACACTATACGGTTTTGAGTAGTTGATTATACCTACAAGTTTTGATTTTGCAATATTACTATATTGTGCCGTTGCAATTTCACCGATTGTTATCGTTTGTATTAAATTTGTTAGAAGTTTTATCATATTAACTTCGCTTGTGTGTAAGCGTTTGACACTGCACGCAATCTCGAAGCGTGAAACTTTTATTCCGTCCAAGTTTGTTCACACGATTTCACCGACAGATTTTGGCATCGTGCAATGAAAGAGCATGGCCAATGAACTCAACCCGAGGAAGAAAACGGTGGCATATATGATACATACGAAAATACTTTTTTATTTTTTGTACATGGACGTAGATATTATACTTAAGCTCACTACAACTATACAGTAAGCCGGCCGACATAATAACGTTACTTCGAGTTTATTTGAAATTTTCATAATGCGACCTAAAGAAGTTTTTTAATTAATTTTTGTTGCCCTTCCGCCAGACCAGTAAACATTATCTTACAAACGAATAGACGCGAAAATAAAAAAAGTTAAAGACTACAACTCCACTGTTTTCGTCTAAGCTCACTCACGCAGGTGGCCCGTTAAAAAATAAATCCACAAAAAAACAATGACAAATAACATTTTCAGAGTTATTATTTTTTAAAATTAAAACGGTACATGTAGGTATTCTTTATTTTTAATATTATGACAAATATCAAATTTTAAATTACCATACAAGTCAAATATGTATGCCTTAGGTAAATATGAAAGTTACTTCAAATTGGTCGGAAAGTGGTTTTTTTTTTTTTTTTTATAAACCGTACATTTTTTCATACTGGTATTATACACTTGTGTGCTTTTTATAATTTGTGGAAGTTAAATAAAACATTAAATGTTATATTTTGAAAATTGTCATGCTTCTTCTTAAATTTTCTTAATTTTTTAAATTATATAATTTTCTTCAAATTATGTTTTGAAATATGTGACATAAAGCTCGATTTTTATTAATACATGTTTTTAATAGCAATTTGCACTACCGTACTTGCGTTTTGAATATTACAGTTGGATTGTTAAGATAATTAAGGCCATTGATACAAACTTTTTACCTTCATTCGTAGGCGCAGTCGGTTGACTTGAAATGTAATTTAGCCTTGACGGAAACAGTCCGGGTGTCCAAGGATTATGTAACAAGAACAAAATATACATATTGATTAAGGTATAAAAAATTAACCGCATCACTTTTAATGCTATAGTCAAAAATACACATTTTCCACATTTGTGATTATATTTTTTACACGGTCTACTCTAAAATAACCGATCAAACCTGTGACGACCGTTTGTCGTTTTTATTGTTATTTATATCACAATTATTTACTTAACGAACGCCGAGTGTACAAATTATTATGATATATATGATGATAATAATATGTAAATGAGTCATAGATTGTTCATTTTGAATTGCTTCCGCGTCCAGTGGCCTTTGCATGAATGCGCGTTCAACTTATAATTATATTTTAGTTGATAACTTGTTGCTTGGTTTTTTTTTAAATTTATATAATATAATATGTATGTATTTAACATTGCATGAAAAAAAAACATCAGAAAACTCTAGATTGCTTATCAAAACACCCCGCATACACTATGTTGGTCAATCTTATCAATATATATGTGCACGTAGAGCGAAGGTTAGGAAAATTAATTTTATATTTACCAACGTTTGTACAAACATCATTAGATGACCTTGTTCTTCGTCATTACTGTTTTCCTTGATGCTAGTGTGATCATCGTCTTAACAATGCGAATAATATTAATATTATGTTATATTATATAACCAGTCATAATAACATGATAATTAGTATTCAACGTTGCAACATACGTCGTCAGTTTATTGATATTGTTTTTCTATATGCATATTTTACTTTTCCCCACTTAAGAGTACTTAATTTTTATTTTCCTTTTTAAATATCATGTACGAGTATAATACACGTGTATATTTTAAATGAGACTAGAAAAACTGCGATGTGAGTTTGTTGGTGAGCAAGTACATCAATCTTTTTCGGTCGAGATGATTCGCGAGGACGTCTGGAATTAATTTTCCCTGATTTCCTTTGATGGATCGCTGAAAATTATAAGCGCTATAGCCGAAAAACTTTTGGGCTGGTGCTCAAGCAAAATAAAAGTTTTATGGAAAAATCTGAAAAACTATATGAGCAACCGCTTAAAAGTAAACGCACTAAAAAACAAATATATAAATATATTTATATTTATCTTTAGACTCCTTTCCACTTGAGTTTACTTCAGCGTGAAAACTTTTTTTAAAGTTGGTCAGTTCTGAATGATTGCAAAATAAGAAAAGGCAACCTAACCAAATACTAAACTAAACTTCGCAGTGGAAAATTTATTACTTCTATATAATAGATAATATAGATAAAACAAATATATTTGACTCCTAAAATGTCCTTGAAATCGCGATTTCTTCAATACAGTTTTGGGAACGTGTTTTTTACCAGAAGATTTAAATACATTTAATTTATGCTTCTATGTGTAAACCTGTTTGGCAAAACTCGAATTATTGAAAGAAACACATTTTAAAGACACTTTTGGGTGTAAAGGATTACCTATATACGTTATACAGGCTTATACTATGTATATTGTATATGACTATTATTATAAAAAATACTTAATGTAATATATACTATGTATAAACATATTATATTTTACAGCATTCAATTTCTAAAATTCGCAATACAAACCATTGTGATCCCACGTAACTGCAACTAGGGTTGGTTTGTATAACGATGTCCTAACTTGATTAATTTTTGCATTGTAATGCATGTTTTTAAATGCATGAATTTTATTGTCATTATTTTATAGGTGTTGAATACCATAATACTATGAATGAGATCTGTATACTATAAATGTATGTAATGTATCAATATTTGTATAAATGTATTTTCTACCGTGTATGTATGTTAAAATTTGTTTTGACTTTTGATTTATGATTTATTCAAATTTTTTAATTGTCAATAAATTTTTAGCTTACAGTTAAATACAAATGTATTTAACATTTTATGTAGCTGTTTTTAGTATGTGATTATTTTTTTTTTTTGAAAATCTTTTGTTTATTTGATAATTTTGGTTTTAGGGGCTCACGTTTTTTTTATCCTACACGATCCTAGCGTCCATGTTGGGCATGCTTCAGTTCGGTTACAACACCGGAGTGATCAATGCACCCGAAGGGGTAAGTATTATGAGTGATTGTCTACTAAATTCGTGTCAGTTTTTATAACTGTATATTCTTCGTACAGAACATAGAGAAGTTCATCAAGGATGTATTTGAAGACAGATACAAAAAAAATATGGATAGCGGTAGAGCCGAGCTACTGTACTCGTTCGCTGTGTCTATATTCGCTATCGGCGGTATGCTGGGCGGATTTAGTGGCGGTATAATTGCCAACCGTTTCGGCAGGTTAGTTTTCAATTTAACATTGAAATTGAAACAAATCTACTTTACCGGACATCTTTTTTTTTAGTCAATAGTACTTTTCATGCTGATTACGAATCTGCAAAAATGTAGGCCCGCTCGTACTTAGTTTGGCAGTTATAAATATTTGAAAAAAAATACTATCGATTAAAAAAAATTTTTTAAAAAAGACTACCCGGTAAACTAGATTTATACCAAATTATTATTCAATAAATTTAGTTTATTTTAAATTTATGAGCGATTTAAAAAAAAATATATATATTTTTTTTTTGTGACAAAAAAATTAAAGGCAAATATTTTAATATTTCTAATAATTAACCTAAATGAGAAACAATTTTTAATATAGTTGATTAGTACTACGTTGAACCTCCATTATTATTTATGACTGCAAAAATTCTGTTAGGTATAGTTTTATACAATTTTTTTAATGATTTTTGAGAAATACTAGCCCAAGATTTTTGAATTGCTTTTTTAAATTTGTTTGTGATTGAAAACTGTATTGAACTTTTATAAACATGTCTTGATAGAATTCCCCAAACATGTTCAATAATATTTAAATCGGGTGAACGTACCGGCCAGTTTAAATAAGGAACAGAATTAGTTTCAAACCCTGATTTATTTCGAACAGTGTGAATCGCGCATTGTCCTGTTGAAAGATAAAATTTGACTTAGATATGTGTTGAAAAATTGATTTTTAAGAAGTTTTCGAATAAGTTTTGGCGAATATACCTTAATAGAATAATAAACCTTAATTAACTTATAATCATTTAATTACTAGTCATGTTTATGTATTTAAAATATGTACGTGGGAAAAAAATAAAAAGATAGTTCAGGAAAAAACTGCAGATGCGAAGGCAGGGAGTATTGTTCTTTCTCTCGATTAATATTTTAGCATTAATTAACCACAGAGTAAAACCTTAATTACTTTATTATCACAATTACTTTTATGTCACATACATTGAAATATTGTGCTTTGTAAATTTAAACATACTATAAGAACTGGGTTTAATGCCACTTTATTCCTTTTTCGCTAACAAAAGATTGTATTCCTTGTACACCAATTCTTTATGCCGTGTGATATAATAGATTTTACACAACAATTTTAACATGTAATACACCAATAAAATAACATTTCAGAAAATCAGAAAGCGTTATTAGAAATGAAAAATTAATAGAAAACTTCATCATTGTTCATTCAATAATTTTTTTCGTTATAGCATCAAGAAGATTAACAACTATACTGGTGGTTTAATATTTATTTGCAACATAATTAAACATTGAACTTTCGAACACTATATTATATTTTTGTTATCAGTTGCTTATTAAATTTATCTGATTGTTAACAAAGTTAAAACAATAAATATCGTATCGTGTTACAGTATAGAGTACTCAAAAAATGTAAACTTTTATAATTATTATGGTAGTATCGTATGACAACACCTAAAAATAAACGGAAATTAAATTAACTTTATATTGTTTAAAATTCAAAAAACTGGATGGAAAATATATGTTAATAGAGTACAGATACAAATACTTTAACAAGTAAAAAGTCAAAAAGTTTCCTTTTTTTTGTGTGTCTGTATGTAGGTGAACTTATATTTTGTACATAACATATTATTAAAATTTGGTATTGAGTATAAAATATGTTTGTATGTTTTGATATAATTAACTTAGTTGTTCCCTGTTTAGTTTTATTTTTTGTAGCAAAATGTTTTTTTGTTTTTTTATTTCCTCTATTCTTATTATAACTATTACATAAAGATACCACTTGATATCTCGTAGCTTAAATATTTGAAAAATTACAATATCAACGAACAATGTAGATATAACATGTTATCCTTAATAATAAATATAATAAGTAAAGGATAGTTCTTTTTTCATCTATTGATGCATACTAAATCAACGAACACCTATAATTTTAGGAAAGGAGGTCTGTTGTTAAACAGTTTTGTTGGCATCGGTGGCGCCTGCTTGATGGGTTTGACTAAGTATTTCAATTCCTACGAAGTACTGTTTGTCGGCAGATTCATTATAGGAGTCAATTGTGGTATTTAAATAATAAAATATAAATAATTTATTATGGTACCGGTTTAGTGATAACGAATATTAAGTGTAATTTACATTGTTTTGCAGGTTTAAATACATCACTAGTGCCAATGTATATATCAGAAATAGCACCGCTCAATCTTCGAGGTGGTCTCGGCACTGTCAATCAGCTGGCCGTGACAACCGGATTGCTCATATCCCAAATACTGGGTATAGAACAAATTCTGGGTACAGACGACGGCTGGCCTGTGTTATTAGGTATGACATTCTTACATGTTTGTCCCGTGTTACGTCACCTTACACCTATTTTTGTTTACAGGATTAGCTATATGCCCTGCCATATTACAATTAATTTTATTACCCGTTTGCCCCGAGTCTCCTAGGTATCTATTGATCACAAAACAGTGGGAAGAAGAAGCCAGAAAAGGTAAGAATATCGTGTAACTATTATTTGATTAGTTTTTTTTTCTCTTCATTTTGAACCGTTAGGTAACCTTTAATAATGCCTACAGTGTTTAATTAGTATTATCCGATGCAGTCGAAATAAGCACAGTATCATTTTTACTACTTGAAATTACGTAGCCTGTAAAAAACACATTATTTGTATTGTGGCATAGCCTAAAAGAGCACACACTCTGGTTATCACCGAATTATTATCCGTTTATCAAAACCGTACATAACGAATGTATGGTATTCAATAGATTTTCTAGTAATATTAAACTATATTGATTTAACTATATTTTACTAAATTATATTAGGGGATAAGGGGTATAAAATATTATACTATTTAATAAGTACATTAGCTATTTATATGGTATATAACTAACTTACCTAATGACAATTATGTGCTTAAAAATTTATTTTTAGTATTAAGGTTATACGAATAGGGTTGATCGTCTGTCTATAAAAATGTATTGTCACAGTTACCCATGTATCTCAATTAAAATTATATAATGAAAACAGCAATCTACAGCTAGTAATGCCACCTAAAAATTCGAAAGTTGAACTTTTTTTCATGTCCGCCCGATTTCTTTTAATTTTTACACAAATAAAAAGTGGTTGCTTAGGATTGAAGAATAACAAGTTCCTAGTATTTTGCCGTATTCTACGATAAAAATATTTGCAATTACGTCAAACTAATTTTTACCCCAAAACAATCAATTTGAAAAATATATTTGCCATTTTCGCCTCTTGCGTCCATTTTGATATTTTTGAAAAGTGAGTAGATGAAAAGTTCGGATTTTTTTTAGAATGGGATGGGAATTATAACAGTGAAAAAATGGCTTGATGAACGTCGGAAACCTCCACTGATCTAGGACAGCCAGCATCAGCGGGGGTTTCCGACGTTCAATGTATAAACATGTTTTCCAAAAAGAAAAAACTGCAAAAATGTTATTTACCAGAAAAACGAACGTCTTACATTGAATTAATCATCCGGTATATACATGAATTTATTCATCAAAATAATACAAAAGTATATCTGCCCACAACAACTCAAAAGTGGCCATAATACACAGCTTAACTAAATCAGTAATTAAATACATAATAAACACCCACCTAAATATGATCTGTCCCACTATGCCTCCCTCGACTTCGGGGCGACTTGATGACGTGCACGGCGCCTGCTTTTTCCTATGCTGCCCCCCGCTGCCCCTATATCCCTGACTGCCTTTCTATGTGGCTATATTATTATTGTTATTAATTTAATAGTTAATACAATATTGATGACATAGTGCACAGATGCATAAGTGCACTATGCTATTAATATCCATAGTTGTACATGTTCCTTTTTAGGCTATATTTTCATACGCTTTGGTATTATAAATTTGTGCTTTATTGGGCTATACAAAAATATAAAAAATGTGTTTTTTCATGCTCTTTTGGCTTTACCAATTTGTACTCTTTTTGGCTAAGCAATATGCTCTTTCGAGTAACACTCGTTTTATCGCTGGAGTGCACTATATGATTAAATTTGGCATTAAAACAACGAATCATAAAATATGCTTAGCACATTTTCTACTGTACGGTGTTATTATTACTCTATGGCTGCCTTGACAGGGAGTAAGCTGCTTTAAAGCTTAGTTTGATCGTATCTGAGGAGGATGATAGCTTAGAAAAACAGATAACCTATGTGCTCGACACTCGTGAACAGGAATATTCGGTAGGCTTTTTTCGGTAATATTAAAAATACTGTTATAGCTCTGAGGCGGCTACGGGCGACCAATCAAATCGAAGAGGACATCGAAGAGATGCGGGCTGAAGAACGTGCTCAACAGTCTGAAGCCACGATATCCTTGATGGAGTTGTTGTGCTCTCCAACCCTCAGGCAGCCGCTGATCATTAGCGTCGTCATGCAACTTTCGCAGCAGTTGTCTGGAATAAACGCCGTAAGCGACATACAAGACTAGTTAATAGTATAATGTTTTTTTTTTTTTTTTTTTAACAGAGCATGTTTTATGATTGAAAGCTAATCTTAGATTAGCTTTCGAGTAAAACTCGGTAAGTAGACAGAGTTATTACATTTTTATCACGGACACGTAACATAAAAGAAATAATTAATGCTAATACGACGAATTGAAGCTAGGGCAACCGTGTTCATTACACCTGTAACACTAGGTGTCGCTTTGAGAAGAATAATGAATTGTTAGGAATTGGTAGTATAAAACAAGAGTTAGGAAGTAAGGGAATGTGCATAACTGGATAACATGGATAGCCAAGAAATTATGTAGAAATAAGAGACATTTGTAGTCATTATAAACATAAACAAAAATGTAGACAAAAAAATAAAAATTTGTTGGGTGATTATCTGAATTTTGAAAGAAAAGTGGTGAACTTTTTTTATTTTTGGCCCAAAAAAGTATCTATAAATAGTTTTTGAGTGAGAACTTAAATTATATACGTGTTTTTTCGATATTTTTCATTGAATCATTTTACTATTCTAGGTGTTCTACTACTCGACTAGCCTTTTTATAACAGCTGGTCTGGCCGAGAACGTGGCAAAGTTTGTGACCATTGGTATTGGTGTAATTATGGTGAATATGACGTTGGTTACAATGCCGTTGATGGACAAAACCGGACGACGGACGTTACACCTTTACGGCCTAGGTGGAATGTTTATATTTTCCATATTTATAACGATATCGTTATTAATCACGGTAAGTCATACTGTTTCAATGGAATATAATGTAATGTTCTAGTTCTCCTATCGAACAGTGTATTTATTATGGGTTTACAGTAATAAACGCGATATGATTGTACAAATAATAAACTATTATTTGTAATAATAATCCGGCATTTTTTTAAGATTATACGGATCAAAGAATGTTGGGGTTATAGAAGAGTAAATTCATTATATGCCTGTCAGAAATTAAAAGAAGTGCAACTAAGAAAATAGCCAGCACGGTAGAACCGGGAACATACTAGCGTAAAAACTAAAAACGGCCACTGGCTAGAATGTTGTAGTAAATGTGTTTCCATAAAAATATTTCCTGAAAAACAATTCGAACTGTGATTATACGAGTAGATATAAAATTCATTTTGACCCGTTGTTAAAAAAAAACATTTGTTTTTAAAAGTTGTTAACTTTTTTAGTTTTTTTACATTCGTATTTTGTTTTTCTTCAGAGAATTTTTTAAAAATTAAAGAGTTAAAAAAGAAATCGTTTCTTTTTAAATTCTCATAAAGATCGGAAGTATCCATTTATGTTTACCTAAGATGTGGAGTCAAATCATGTTTCAGTCTCCCACATTAAAATAAAATGCAGGTTCCTTAATAATATTTAGAATAAGGCATGTATATTTTTTCATTTTGTTGCAGCTTTATTTTAAGTCACGTCTATTTGTTCTTTAACTTAAGCTTCTATTTTTCTTCTTTAACCAAATTCATCCTGTTACTACTAGTCTTAACTTTTAAATATTTTTTTAATCCTAAACTTTAATTATACGTTTATTTTTATTTTATTTTATTATAAAATTTACATTGCAATTCTGTTTTATGTTGACCGTTATGCTTTTTAATAAAATTATTATTTTACCGATTACAAAACACCGTTTCAGCCAAAGTTTCAAGAGTCACTATTATGTTTATGATTTTGATTTTTTTATCTTACATATTTGTTTGTGTGACTGGGAACTTTGAGTCTGGAACGTTGGGCTGGATACCAACGTCCCTTAGGAGTTTTTCGGTTTTGTACAGGAAATGATCGACTGGATGTCGTACTTGGCCGTTGTGTCTATACTCGGATTTGTGGTGTTCTTCGCCGTCGGACCCGGATCTATACCGTGGATGATAACCGCCGAGCTTTTTAGCCAGGGTCCTAGGCCTGCAGCTATGTCAATAGCCGTGCTCATCAACTGGGTGGCCAACTTTGCTGTCGGCATAGGCTTCCAACCATTAAAGGTAAACTTCTTACATCTCATCTAAGAAATGTACGTGGTGTTTTTAATTATATCTTATTTTATATTATAATACGGAAATCATTTTTTATATAATAAAGACACATTGTTCATATCGCTAATCCCAAATAAAATTTTAATTGAAGTCATGGAAACCAAATGAGCACAAGTGTCAACTTTCCAAAAACAAGTTTTTTATTATACATAATTATCTATAAAACCTTTTTTAGTTTAAAATGTTTCATTACATTTTATGTTGTTAAATATTGTTGGCTATGTTTCAACTTTCACATACATAATTAATACTTAATAACTTTTCGATGTTTCAGACTGCATTGGATAATTATACATTCCTACCGTTTAGTGTACTACTGGCAATTTTCTGGATATTCACTTACAAAAAAGTGCCGGAGACCAAGAACAAAACGTTCGAGGAAATATTAGCTCTTTTCAGACAAAACGGCAGGTTAGCATTTCAACATTTTTTAAACAATCTTTATTAAACAAACCGCAAGACGTAGCAGCTAAGGCATAGACGGAGATTGAGAGATGCTTGGAGGGTCTAGTCTCCCAAAATTATTAAAAGCCCTCCAAATTATTTGATCACTTATCAAAGTAATGATGAGGGGTGTGTGAAGCCCTTGCGGGTCATTTTAAGAAAAACGCTAGCCCCCCCCCCCCCAAATTAATTAAATCTCCGCCTATGAGCTCAGGCCATTGGCCACACATTAAGTTATATAGTTAGGTATTTACACCATAATACGTACAGAGTAGTTTAATTAAATTAATATAATATGATTCATAATAATAATGTAATTTAATTTAAAATTGTTTAGTTCAAAATTAATTTCAAAACTTATATTATTAGTTATAACATCATCATTACAACTAACTAAGTAAAATTAAGCAACTTAAAGGTCAAGTCGATAACACATTTTGTGAGCTTCATTTCGTATAATGATAAATTGTTGCAAAGTTAACCATTGACTCACAAAAGTAGGTAAATCCTCTATAATGTATTATATTTGTGCTATGCTTCGCATATATATATGAGAGAGAGACAGAATATTCACTATAGCCTTTTCTTAAGAATAATATATTTTTAAGAACTTACGTGGTAAATTATGTTTTTCTAATTATAATCTAACATAATATACAACATAATACTTGATTAAATTTACAATTACTATTCTAGAAACATGCATAATGTTTAAGATTTGATCTCCTATAATGTTTTTTTACAAATTCTAATCTATTTTTAATAATTAAAACAAAGATAACGATTTCAAAGTTTTGTTTTTTTCTAATTAACTTTTTAATTATTTTAATAATCTATTTACTCAAGAAGTATAATCCTATGATAATAACTTGAGGAATGGCTGTGGACTTAAGGGGGAAACCTGTTATATCTTTAATTATTATTTATTATTTATTATTCATATAGTCGGATTGTAAAATACCTACTTAAAATATAAACGACTTTACTGAACCTAAAAACCCATAGTTCATAATTTTTTTTTAAATTTTAAAGCAACAGCATTATGATATATTTTTTGAACATTTTTGTAGCAACTAACATTTTTTTTAAATGTATACTTCAGAATTTTGTGTATTATATTAAAAGTTAAAACTATACGTGTAGTTTAACGATAGAAATAAAAATATAAAGGTACATATATAAAACTACTATAGTAAAAAAATATATTCCAATTTTTTTTTTTAATTTTGCTAACACAGAGGAAGCGTTTTGGAATCAAGCCGCTTGTACGGGTAAGTGCATGAGGACTACAATAAGTGAGCTTTGATATATCTCTAAAGGGTTTTTATTTTTTTTTCTGTTTTATTATTTTATTTTTATTTTTTTGTTTGCTCGATTAAATACTTTGACAACTATAAGCACACTGCATACCTAGATAATATGTTCTATGTGTAGGTACATGAAATCATCCTATGTCTTTTTTTACACTACTGATCATGATATACAACATTTTTAAAACCGACAATATAAAAAATAACATTGTTAGTACACTTTGTCACTTCAACATATTTGTTTAAACCATCGAACCCGTTATAACTGCATATGTGTTACTTTCTACACACTCAAGTCTAAACGTATAGGTACTAACAATAATGAGCATGTATATAATGTAAAGAGTAAAAAGATATAGTTAATTACGATTTTTCTCTGTGCTCTACATACTATATACACAATTAAACACACCAATTATGTACCGGTATGAACTTATTTGGTTATTATATTTTTGTGATAATTAGTTATGATAATATTGTTAACTATTTTCGTTGTATTTGCAGTGATATTGATACACATATAGTATCAACGTCTACAGCCACTTTAGTTCGGTCAGAGGACACCCCATTAAACACAGATAAACCCATTTTATCATACAATAACGAATCAATTATTACTAAGAAATAATCACGATTTTTATTATTTATTTGTATTATTTTTTTTTTTTATTCTAAAGAAACAACATTGTTATAGTCTTTATTCATTATTATTTACTTATTATTTATTTATGTTTAACATTATTTAGTTGATTTTTAATTGTTTTATTTTTAGTTAAGTTTATTTATTATTATATTATTATTATTTTATTACTGTTTTACTTAAACATACCCGTTATTGATGTTTCTTTCATCGCTTAAACAAAATAAATTGCCATTATAGTTGAAATAAAACCAAATGCCGAGTGTTAAATGTTCACAGGAGTTTGTTAAACTATTCGAACACGTTAGACGAACATTTACCGCCCTCCGAAAGGGCGTCATTAATGGTGTCCGAGGAGAAACCTTTGCCTGACTCATGTAAGCGTTATCGGTTCGATTTGTTTTTTAGTTTATTTTTAAAAAAAGTTAAACAAAAATGACTATAAAAAATATGCATAAAAGTAGTTGCTATTATTATGCAAATGCGAGAAATACATTCATATACATGCATATACATATATTATGTATTATATACGTTGTAAATTGTTGAAATATTATTTTCAAACTTGTGTTATCTTTTATAGTGGATCCTATTATTGTTTTTAATTAAATACACGGACAAAACTAAAAAAATAGACAAATTTGGAAAAACGCATCAGTTAAATTGTGTTATTGGATAAATGCACCTAAATAAACTTTCGCGTTTATATAAATTAGTATTATTATTCGTTTTTCTATTTTAATATGCTTTTATTTCTCGTATAATTACTTATTTTTATTTTCGTTCATGAATTTTTATTTTTTATTTTTCATGCATGTGTTATATTTATTTTTCTACAGCGTTTATATCAACAAGGTTAGACTCCCAGCGTGTATTACCCAGTGCATATTTTAAGAGTATTTCACTAGGCGACATTACTAGAATAATTCGGAAAAAATATGTTGTAACATAGTTTGCGCAAAACTTATTTTTACTTTCTATGATAAAAATATGAATTACGTTTTATGCAATTTCTTTATTCAAGTTTAAATTCTACACATTCCATTTTATAGTTTTCCACTTGTTTTTATGTCTTTTTTAATCTTACTATTATAGTGTGTGTATTAATAAATGATTATTATTAACTTTAAAACTTTTTTTAATATAATTTTATATTACACGAGAGAAAATATTGTCTCCATTTAAACATCGTAATATATTTTAAGGGTTATTTTATTTGTACATGCAAAAAAAAGTATAAAACAGTACAAATATAACATTTACTAAACTACAGTTTATTAACAAGAAACACTACAATATAATAATATTGTATTTAACGTTAGAAAAAATAGTGTTCTGCCCTCAATAGGTTAACCTAGTCCCTGTATGCTTATTTATTTTATAACATTGAAAATAGTAAAATGGTATTTTCGGTATTATTATAAATAGTAAAAAGCTCCGCTACTGGACGTGGTCGACTTTTTAAAAATATTTTCGTCGAATATTTGTATTACCTACTTTGTTATTTATACTTTCATAAATTTCATTTAAAATAAATAATAGTTTGTAAAGATAATTTTGTTTATTTATATTTTTATATTTATACTATTTTTAAAAATTTTAAAAACAATATAGCTTGATTAAATCATAATTTACTAGATAAATAAAATACTTAACTAGTGCAGTATTTAAAATATGCTCTGTTGTGTGAACCGTGAGGATTTGAAAGTGCTACAAATTTTGTAATATAAATTATTTTTTTCTTAACATTTAGTTTGTAAGATTATAGGCTAAAAATATAAGTAGCCTAATAGTAGCTATGTACATATTTTATTGTATTTTTAAATATCTTAAAATAAATTGTAAAAATAATCATTTTTAAAATTGAAAAATGAATAAGATATCCATTAAAGAGTAGTTTTAGGGGTAAAATTCGATAATACCTACGTTTTATATAAATACAATATCTAAATATAGCGGGAGTAACGCTGTGGAGTAGTGCGCAGATAAAAATAGTATTTTTGTACACATCTTTCATCACTTATACTTTTAAATAATAATGACAACAAAAATATTTATTCAAAACGTTATCCAACAGTTAACATTTTCAGGAAGCCTTACTTGCTATTTTAAAAGCATATCTTACCTAATTTTTTATTTTATTTGAAAAATAAAAAGTTTTTATATATTTTATATTATAAAATATTTTTGGCCTATAAAATCGAATAAACTATTTAGAAAAATCAGAATAAAAAAATTTTCAAAATTTTCAAAAAACATAGCATTTGTAAAATGTTTGCGACCCATGCTGTATACTTACTATAGCGTTTGTGTTTTTCTTTCTTTAAATTTATATCTTTATTTACACGATAAAACGATGTTTGCTTGTTAAGTACAGAAATCTTGAGTTACGAGTATATTACTACTACTTCTACTTTATAATAGTATACTCGATGGTACAACGTTGACATCACAGTTAGCACTTAATTTCAATTTAACTCGCAGTGGAATCATAATCCCAATTACAACCCACAAAGGCGGTTAATACATTCAGTTTGCCTAGGCTACTAGTTAAGTAGAAAGCTTGTGGCTTTAGCATTTTTATTTTAATAAAAAGATTCATACCTCTAAAAATGAGCATTGAAGTATTGAATATACTATATCGGCGTTCAGTAGTTGATTAAATGATTAATGTTAAAGAGCTGTATTGTTCATAGACCAACTAATTGTATTTTTTATTGCTGTTTAGCACCAGTACAACACTCCCCGACGGACCCGGAGGTGTGTGCTGTATGCGTCAACACTGGCAGTTCCCTCATGATGACGTCTCCGAACGTAACTCGCCGGTCGAGTCACACGCTCAGTAATCACGTTTGCCAAATGGATTAAATTTTTATTATTATTAATTAATGTATGAAGATGAAAACTGAAATAATTTTTTTTACTTACACAAAGGCACTTACATATTTACATAAACGTACACGATAAAAGTGTATGCATAACATTTTTCATACTTAGTGATATAGAGGATCAAGTATACACAATAATATATACATACCTACCCCAACGTCGATATTAACAACTATAATAGGCTTCTAATAACTTGTTCATATATTCCCATAGTTTTAAACCTATCCACCAAACGTCTATTGACTGCTAAGACATCATTATATTATTTCCCCCCCTAATTTCGAATTTCCAATTTGGCGGGTTCGATTACCTGCTAAAGTCGACTAAAAGCAAATATTCTGTCAACTCTGAAACGTCAGTCGCTGGAATTCAGTTGATTCTTAGAGAAATTATTACTGTTATAAAGAAAAAAATAGAAAAACTCATCCGACGACTACTCGCAAATTAATTAACTTCCTTGACTTTGCAAACCGACATTTTATGCTGAACAACAACTAATGAACACAGTACAAGATATTTTGCTACAATCATACTCGATCTTTAAGTACCTACGTTTTATGAACAAAAATATAAATACAGTGTGGCATAATAATTATACACAGCGTAAACAGTTTTAGTAAATAACTGGAAGTTCGAAAACCAATCCTTTTCTGTAATAACAATATATTAGAGCTAAATATGTAAAGTAACTGTATCAGTTATTACTCGAGAGAGCATACTTATCTTGCATTTAGGGATAATAGTGAATTCTGAGAAAGAATTAGAAGTGTACCCATTTATTATGGGATAGCATATTATATTATAAACTCAGCAATACTGTCTACGTATCGTTTTTGTTTGTTTTTTGTGTTTCGTTAAAATTTAAGTACGCATTCTTATTGTAAATACTGTTATCGTTTCATTGAATATATTATTATTATTATAAATTATATATATATAATATTAACACATATTTGTTCATCTGTAAATAATGACAAAATTATTCTTTTTTTTTTATGTTACTATGAAACAAATATTAAAACAAAGCTCATGACGACTGAGAATCCGGTTTATGCGATTTATTATACTAATAAGAGGTTCACATTCGTTGACTATAAGTACTTAAGGAACAAATATTTTTCTCCCTAATTAACTCCATACATTTTTTTCCAACTTTTTTTATTTTACAAAAATAAATAACATAATATAATATTGTATTATTATTATAGTCAATTTTACAATTATAACATTGTTTTAGAATATATTAATATTAAATATTTATTATGATTAGGTCTACTGGATAATAATTAATAATAGGAGCCGTATATTTTTTTTCTCGAAAAAAAAAGACAAAAGTTATATCAGTGAACAAATCCCATTATTGTTTTTTCCCCAATTGTTGTACAAATGATACAAAAATAAGTACTAATTACCAAAATGATTTTATTCTAAATTTGTAGATATATATTGTTGAATTTTAGTAATTAGTATTCATCAATGTTACTCAAAAAATTACTGTGAATGTGTATCACATTGTGTATGCATACATATATTATAATTTCATGCATAATTCTCTATCTTTTGACTAAAACAAACAAATTTGCAATACAGTGTAAAAATATATGTAAAAACTACCAAAATACAGCAACTTAAAAAAATAAAATCCTAAAAGAGTTTATGACATGATATCTGTTTTTTTTATTTTATCCTTTGTTCATTTTCTGTCCTTTTTATCCTTCTCAATCACAACCGTAATAACTCTATTATTAAAAAAATTGAACAAAATTAACAGAAGATTCATTTAATGGAATAGGTAATGCTGATTTTTACTGATTTTCAATCATAATTAATTATTTATTTTTTAAGAGTACGCCACACCGGCCATTTCTAAGGAGTAAAGTATAGGTAATTTTTCGAAAAATCTTAATTTAGAGTTTGAAATATAATGTATATTTATTAATACAGTAATGAGGATACTTTGTTGATTGCCATTTATTTTGTCAGACTATCACAGTCATGTTTATAGGATAAATTACAATTTTTTTCCCATCAAAACTGCTTTGCGTGGATTAATTTTTCTCAGGCTTCATACATAGTGAAGGATAGAAATTCATACATATTATTTATGACAAAATTATCTGTGTTCCATCATCCGTATTTTTTCGATATAACTAATAAAACTAACGCTATATCATTTAAAAAAAAGTCCTTTCTTAATTAATTAATTATTCGTTAACTGGTTGAAATATTTAAAAAAGGGCATTGGTAGATCACAGACAATGTTGTTGTCTATATTATGTAAAAATTTGGTTTCTTAGTTTTGATTATAGTCTTTGTAAAATTAATCCGCGCAAGACGGGTTTTTTGTAGAAAATAACGGGTGTGTGACGTCCTCTTAAGATAATAATAAGAAAATATAGTGAGTTGCCATCTTTATAATTCAATTTTCCGTTCCTTATAAGATTAATATGTAGGGTAGATTTAAATAAAAATTATATCATTATGTTTCATAATTTAGGTTTTGGCAAAGATCAAGTTTGAGAGTTCCAAGGTAGTTTGTACACATTATAATATTATTCCAAACCTCACCAATTAAGTAGTTTATAATCTATCAATTTTTAAATAAATATTTATTTTTATTTAAATCTACCCTGGTTATGGGGTACATTTTAATCCAAAGGGGGCAAATTTGAATGTATCTTTTCATTATAATAAAACACAGCAAAATACAATTTATTTGTTTTATATAAAACTATTTTTCTGTATTCTACGTGGTAGAATATTAAAGTCTATCCCGTGGTCATAAATTCAAAGGCACCCCAATTCTCAATTATTAATACTTAGTATTATACCTATAGGTAATAGGATAAAATAATCATAGAAAACTCTACGGCAAGTCATGGAAGGAACGAACATGAGGAGACGCGCCCACAGTTTGGGGCATACCCACAGAATCCTTACAACTGGGACATAACCTACCCTGGAAAATTCTCAACCGTCTAAGGACACACGTAGGAAGAACTAAAGAAAAATTGAATAGATGGGGAAAGACAGACGATACGAACTGCGAATGTGGAAACAAACAAACATTAATCCATTCGTTTGAGTGTATAGGTATTTAATCATTCATTTGTTATCATGATTACATTAATCATTCAATTGTAATCATGAAATGATTTTTTTTTAATTGCCGTAGGCACAGTGGCGTAACTAGAAGGAAAGGGGGGCTGGAGGGCTTAGCGCTTTGACTAAAATTTAGCCCCCCCCCCAAAAAATATTACTTGTTGACTTGAATATCAGTTAAATTGTATTTTTTTGTCATTTAAAAATTGAAAAGTAATGATTATTAAAACCCAAAATGTTTTTTAATTATACAAATTCAAAAATTAACAGTAATGATTTTATAATGTTAGGTAGATACATTGATGGAAAACAAAATTTTGGATTTCAGTACATTATTTTGTACTTAAGATTATTGAATTTGTGTGTAAAAAATGTTCGCAAGAATAAAAAATCACATCTATGACATTTTTATTTTTGTTTATCTCATAATAATTCCTGTTATATGCATAGGCGTACTCTGGGGAAGGGGGGGCAAGGATAGTCAACTGCTTCTCCAAATATTTGTTCGAGGGGACAAAAGTGTCAAGTGCCCCCCCCCCCTGTTAAGAGTTATAATTACATTTATATTTTATCATAGAAAAATAAAACTGCTTACAAAGGGCCAAACAAGACTGGGTAGTATTGCTACGCTATATATTGAAAGAGACAGTTAAATTAATAATAATCAAGTAAATGACAAATTAAATGTAGGCACGTCCATTCGTGGTCGTCAACATATGTTAAAAATAAATAAAGATGTACCTAATACATACATCATACTTAAATAAATAATATAAGATTATTATCTATTTTCTATTATTTATTATGAATAAACAATCGATGCAAAACTTAAACGTATAGTAAACAAAAAAAAAATGTATATACAAAATACATTTTGTTATTTTTAAATGTTATTAGGTTATATTAATAACAGTACAATAATAATCATAATTCATAATTATCTGATTTGGTTAACAATTTTATAGGTATAAATTCAATTTAATAATAATAGTCAACTTTAATCATTAACAAATTTTGTCAGGCTTATTTGTCATTAAAAATTGTTTGAACTCTACAAAATCATTAAAAATGCAGTCTGCTATATTAGGATGTTCCTTTGTAATAATTTGTTTATCAGTATGAACTAAACATGCAGACCACCCAGCACTTTTGGCCCCTACAAAGTCAAAAGCATATGAATCACCAACATGTAAGAATAATTTGCGGTCGGTTTCATTACAAACAAATGACTCTGCTTTTTGAAATATTTCAATATCTGGCTTAGCATATCCAACCTGATATGAAGACAATATAAACAAAAAGTAGTCAGCGATTCCAAGGTTATTAATTATATTTATGATTCTTGGATCATAGTTCGATATTACTCCTAGCGGTACTTGCTTCTTTTTTAAATATTTTAATAAATCGATAGCTCCATTTTGCAATTTAAAAGTTTCTCCTGTACTATAGGTATTCATTAAATCATCAACTATAGTGATTATTTTTAAATTATTTGAAGCATATTCTTTTGGAATTGCTCCACTTATGACGTTTTGAGCAAATTTTCTCCAATAATTATCCCATCCAAGACCAGTTTTAAGTCCAAAATTTGGATGCAGTTTTGTCATATCTTTCATATTTCTCTTTATTAATTCTTCAAGAATGGATATATTTACTTTGATACCATGTTTATTAAGAACTGTTGAGTATTCTTCAGTCGGTGAACTTCTATATTTTAATAGTGTCCCAGTTATATCAAAAGTTATTAATTTAAATGACCGGAAGTTCATTTCTAAAAATATACACAAATTAATACTAATGAATAATATTAAAAATTATTATAAAATTAACTTAATTTTAGTTAAAATAGCAAAATATTTATAATGTTAAAAAAAATAATACCGAAATTTATAAAATACAAATATAATTTTTACTTGGTATTTAAAATACATTACATAACATAAAATTATGAGTTAAAAAAAATATATATTTTGATTATAGCCAATTCCTGACTAAATATAGTTAGTATTTCATAAAACAGAAAGTGTAAAAGTAAACGTATGCTATGTTTGTTATAACATTCTTAAATTACATGAATCGCTAACTACAGAAAGGGGACAAATCCATTTTTATCAATTTTAATTGTTTTATCATTTTAAACTAAGCATACGTAAGCACATCGTTTATTGCAAACATCTAAAAATAGCGCTTGGAATTTTCAAAATTGTATATTATGTATGTAAGTATGTATTATTTAGTTTTTAGTGTTTCCTAAAAACTTAGAAAATTGGACTTGTCCCCTTTCTGTAGTTAACAATTCCCAGGTACTAAAATAAAAGAGGCCATGACCAGTAATTTTATAATTGTACAACTAAAGATACATTTTAAAAGTAGTGAAAATTGTAAACGGTGAAATTAAGATGTATGTATAAAATATTTTGAAAAGAAATAACTGGTTTTAAATGTTAATTACGTAACATATAGATACTCTGAAATATTCTACATATTTTACATGTTGTGTACATAATATTAGATGCATATCATACATATTTTATATATATAAACATTTATATATACTTTTTTAATGGTTTAAATCATCATGTAACTTTACCGGACTTTAAGGCAAATGCTGCCATCACAAGATAGTTTTAAAATTTTAAATAATTTGTATAAATACTTTGACAGATTGTATCCTTAATGAAGGACATACGATAATAAATTTAACAGATTTAAATTAAAGAGAAAAAAAACTATGTAGGTATGTACATTTTTAAATAATTACTCAATACTCACTTGTTAATTTGTATACTTTATTTACAATTTCAATGTTATTTCTCTAAATCTTATTTGAAAACAATTGTGTAAAATTAAGACTTAACATTCATACTGACTACTGAGGCAAATTATACCAATATAGCTATTATTTAATTTTTTATTATTTAAAAATAAGATTATGTTATCAATTATCACCACTTGAGGGTTATCACATTGTTATTCTGTGGTGTTATCAAGTAATGATAAAATGATAAATGATAAAATAATAAGATTGAAATACATGCCCAACTTAACTCCGTCTCTCTCATCCATATCTCGGTAACATTATTATGTTTCATCGTTTATATGCGCAGTCCATTTAATAAAATGTCTGATTGAGAACAAATGATTAATTATTATAATTGGTTTACAAAAGTAGCTGTTATTTTAATTTAAGGTAAGTTATAATTAAAAACTGTTTTTAAAATTAAATAGTCGATAAATTGCTGTTAGAAATATAATATTTTGCATAATGTTCTATTATTGACACGCCTATTGTTTACGAGTGTTTATAGTTTTTAATGTTATGATTACCAATACATAACGGTAAAAACCAATCCGATGAATCATTAACACCTACTATATAACTGCTCCGCCAGGTTGCACAATTGACGTCTTGGCGCTTGCCAACAAAATTGCTGTATCAGTAGCCACCCACTGGCTCGGGCAAAATATTAAAAAATCCTTTATTATTTTTGAAAACATTGTTTGTATATTACTTATTTTTTAATGTCTATTTAATGTAATTTAACTATAATTAATACCAATATAGCCCAGCACCGGACACGATAAAAGAAAGATTTGTTCAATACTTCAATGTCCCACATTGTCATAATTGTTTTACAGTAAAAATCGTTTATGCAAATTGTTTTCTGGACACACTGTTAGTACTTTAGTATTCTTAAACTTACATTTTTAGCACAGAATAGATGAAAGAAGAAGGGTCACTTCCAATGTAAACAAAAAAGTGACGGACTATTTAGTATTATAACATGTTATAATATGTATCCATAACAAAATAAACAATAATAATGTTTAGATATAATAACATAGGGGTGTAGCCTTAGCCCTTAAGAAGAATATGGCTGCCTCTTTTTTGTGTGATAAGTATCTTCCCCGTGTTAATTTTTATCAGTATCCGGCGCCGGTTTAAAGGAACATCAGGGTCGCCATTGGCACAATTTATTGTCAATGTTGTATTAAACTGTATAATTTTTAACCTATAACTGTTGTATTTGTTTATATGATGAAGTATGAACATAAAATAAGTAGTCAATCTTGTCGAGTCTATATTACCATTGTCTATTAGCATTATGAATTCAGAATTATGATTTGTGATTATTACTAGTATTTCCTATTTATTTTTTAATATTTGACTTAGTTTAATTTTATAAAATAGTTTTTGGTCGATCAGTAGTAACTAGTAAATAATATTTGTTTTCAACTAATCGTGCCGATATTTGTTTACTGTCTATGCTATAAAATAGAGTAAGTATGTCCTTTATTATGTTTCTACTATTAAAACAATAATCAAATGTAAATCTTACAATCGAGAACAAAGTATAGAATATGAATAGTTCACTAAATATTGTTTGTATATTTTTGGCTTGTTCTAGATTTATGATGGAGACGTTAATAGAACAACAGCGCCGTTATCATGAAGAAAGAGAGCGTTTAGTTGATGCCATGGTTAAAGAAATGCTTTTCAAAAAGCCTACAACCAGAGATGTAATAAATTCCGAACACCGTCTTAAGTTATTACTTGATCAGTATACAGAAAGCACCAATAAACTTCGAGAGTTTTATGAAGACAAAGATGGTTTACGTAAAGAAGAAATTGCCTCAATATCAGGACCAAGTGAATTCACAGAGTTCTATTCTCGTTTAAAAAATATTAAAGATTTCCACAAAAAACATCCCAATGAAATATCTGTACCGTTGTCTGTTGAATTTGAAGAATTAAATAATCTCCGAGAAAATCCATCTGAAGAAATGTCCAATATGGTAGATTTTACTGACGAGGAAGGTTATGGACGTTATTTAGATTTACATGAATGTTATGAAAAATATGTTAACTTAAAAGGAGTTGAAAAAGTTGATTATATCACTTATCTGTCAATATTTGATCATTTATATGACATACCTAAAGATCGTAAAAACTCTGAGTATAGAAAATATATTGAAGTACTTTTAGAATACTTGCATGGCTATTATTTACGTGTCAAGCCATTGCATAATATTGATATCGAAATGGAAAATGTACTTACAGAATTTTCAGCCCAGTGGGAGGAAGGGACTTTTCCAGGTTGGCCTAAAGATACCAGTAGTGCATTGGCTAACATAGGAGCTCATCTCGATCTATATGCATTTTCTTCTTGGGAAGAGTTAGCTTCACTCGGCCTTGATCGCTTAAAATCTGCTTTGATGGCTTTGGGATTAAAATGTGGTGGAACTTTAGAAGAAAGAGCTCAACGATTATTTTCAACTAAAGGAAAATCTTCAATAGATCCGTCTCTGTTAGCTAAAGGTAAACCCGGAAAAATGAACCGCAATAAAGAACAAGAGCGACAAAAAGAATCGGCATTACAAGAGGCTCAAATTTACAGATTTTGTGAGCTTTTAGCTGAACAAAGGTTAGCTACAAAAGAAAATGTACAAAGGAGGCAAGCACGCACTGAAGGTGAACGTGACGATTCTGAAAATGAAGCAAGCGCAACTGAGTCTGAAGATGAACAGGGAGACGATATTCCATACAACCCAAAAAATTTACCTCTTGGTTGGGATGGAAAACCTATACCATACTGGTTATATAAATTACATGGATTAAATATAAGTTACAATTGTGAAATTTGTGGCAATTTCACTTACAAAGGTCCTAAAGCATTTCAACGACATTTCGCTGAATGGAGACATGCACACGGTATGCGATGTTTGGGTATTCCAAATACAGCTCATTTTGCTAATGTTACTCAAATTGAAGATGCTTTAGCCCTATGGGAAAAATTGAAAACTATGAAACATGATGAACGGTGGCAACCTGAAAATGAAGAAGAATTTGAAGATTCTCAAGGAAACGTAGTCACTAAAAAAACTTACGAAGATCTTAAAAGACAGGGATTATTATAAAGTCCAATCAATATTAAAAATATGTTTTTATTTTTTAAGTACCTGTATTCATTTCTATATCCAATTAGTAATTTGTAAAGTTTTGTAAAAGAAAACAAGATTTCTTTTTATGGACTATTTGTTGTTTTTATATATAAAAACTATAATAATTAATCAACATATTAATTTATAAAATAAAAAAAATAAATTTAATGATTTTTTAATTATTAATAATACGACTAGAGACAGTATGAACTGGTAATTAAAGTATACTGGGAATTGTAGTTCATGTATTTTTTATAGCAATAAATTAAAAATATTATGGCTGTAATGTATACAACACTCTCTTCAATTATTATATTTTATTATTAAAGAAACGATTTTAAACTGACTGATAAAACTCCCCCTCCATTTTACATTGAAAATTAGTGAAAGGATACATTTGTAAATCAATTTAAAATCAGCTGCTTTATATTTGGTGCATATTTCATGCTTTAATGATACCACAAAAAAAGATCATCATTCAATTTTGTTCAAAGATTTTTAAAATAGAAATTTCCTATAGTAATTGTGAGTTAAGAAATATGTCATAGAGCATTTTATTGCATAATTAAATGGTTGAAAAATCGTATTTCATTGTTTTTAGCGTAATGGAAAAAGTATTTGTTTATGGAACTTTAAAACGTAACCAGCCAAACCATGACGTGCTCAATGATGGAAAAAATGGTAAAGCTACGTTTTTAGCTGAGGCTAATACAATACAAAAGTATCCTCTTGTGATTTCTACAAAATATAACATACCATTCCTATTACACAAAGCCAGTACCGGTCATGTAAGTACAATGAAAACATAATTACTAAAAAGTGAATATGATAACACAAAACGTATTATTATCATCAATTTGTTTCAGCTAATAAATGGTGAAATTTACAATGTAGATACAAAAATGTTAGCGTTCTTAGATGAATTTGAGAACCATCCAAATTTCTATGTGCGTCAAAAAACTTGTGTAAAATTAACAAATGACGACATAGTTGAATGTTGGATATATTTTTTAACAAATTATCCTGACAATTTTTTACAATTAAAATATTTTAGTGACTACGATTCTTCTGGTACTCATGGGCTTGCTTATGTTTCAAGGTATCTGAGAGATCCTCAAGATGTTTCCCAGTTCCTGAATTGGAACAATCTAAATAAAAAAGTATGTTCATAAAATGCTACTGTTACAGTGAGGAGATGACGTTGTTGGAAGTATGAATTCATCAAGGTGATTAAAAAAACTACTACTTTAAACGAATGGACTGATTAAATTCAGTATATGTAATTCATTTTTCAAATACAACCTTCAGTGTATACAAATTAAAAAAAAATGTATAAATTGCACAGGTGCATTTTAAAAACATAAATAAATACAATAAATTACTGTATAATATTAAAGATTTTTTTTTTATATAAAAAAAATTGTTAAAAATGTAGAAACATTAATATTATAAAATTTAATTGACTAGACTTTATATTTTTTTATAATGAGCTTAGGTGCTAATTATCATCAACAATAAATATGGAGGAAAAATTAAACTAAATGTCAGTTACGGAACAATATTGATATCCATAGTTTTAATCCTGTAACATTGAATGTGCTGTAGAATAACTAATACCCCTTCTTTACGTTCAATTTCATTCAGTCGATCAATCAACATCCCTAAAATAAAATACTAAAATAACATCATCAAACAACTAATTTAAATGAAACACATTTTTTGGATACCTATTGTAGGTGCAGGCTGGTTAGTTGCCCATATGTCAATTAGCGATAAGAAAGGGCTAGTTGGTTCATTGTCAAATTGTTGGACTCTAGAATCTAGCCCAATATTTAGAGCAAACAATGCCCAGTCTTTACCTAGTGGGTGAACTGGATCAATAAGACGACTTAGTTCTTGTCGGCATATTGGACTTAACTCAGTTAAAGGTAAATCTTCTGTACTAGATAGTATATCTTCAACCTTCATGAGAAATGTACTAGTTTATAGTAAATATAAATAATTATAACGATAAATAAAAACAATTTTTACTAATTCACATCCAAAGGCGACCAAATCCATTATACATTCTCTTTTTCCTGTTAGTGGATTCGTAACATGAGATTTAAATTTGGATTTGCTTTTAATAGAATAGTATACATCATCAATTCCATAACCATGTGGCTGTGCATAGTGTTCTGACAAGTCTGAAGGGCTTAAGAATTCTTTAATTATTTTCATTCCTGGACAAGTTTCGATTAAAACCTATACAAAATAAAAATTGAATATAAATCAATTGTAATAAAAATATCAATTTTAAGTAAAATAATCTTACTAAATTTATGGAATGCAAAATTTCTTCCAGAAAATAAAAACATGTATAACTGGATGTTTTGGATCCACGAATTTTTACTTCAATACAATTATTATCTTGTTCAAGTGATATCATGCACTCGATATTATTAACACATAATATTGCACCACCGTACCATTGATATAAGAAACTATCCATTTCTTCGCAATAATTATTTTGCAAGTATCGTAATTCAACTTGTATTTGCATGAATATTGAAGTAAATAGCTCGACAAATGATGGCTGTGTATTTAATCGAACACCCCCATAGCATGAGTCATTTACATTTCCCCATGGTTTCCATAGGGTTTCGTCTTTTTCTCTAATTATGTAGGCTGGAAATTCATATTCAACATCTCCGTCATTATCATACTGTAAAAAATAATAAATAATAAACAGAATATACTTAAAATTCACATTATATTGATTATATTTACATATATCAATATTTTAGGTATCGTTGTTGGGCCAAAAATAATCTACATGCTAAATTTCCTATTTTAAGGTTTTGGTACCTCTCGATTCAGAAAAAAAAGAGCTAGAATATGATAAACCTTCTTAAGTTTTCCCTACTATTCAAATATATAGTAGAGGTTCGTGTGTTCTGAAAAATCAGGTTTAAGCACAGGAGGTTTTTCGGCCCAACGACGATATGTTTAAATTGTAAAGACCAATATAAAATTCAAATACTTGAACACATAATTTCATCGTTTCTAATAACTGTAAAACAGACATGGCGTCGTAGTATGGAAACATGCTTTGAAAATCATTTGGTTGATATGAACCCGTCATGCGTGTTTGGCTGGTTAAAAAGTCAACCGAGAACAATGTACCAATAATATTTGTACCAAACCAACTGGGCGAAATAACAATTAGATCTGGTTGTAGTCCAGATTTGAGATACAGTATCTACATAACAAAATATACAAACAAAATAAGCAATATTTTAAACTTTTTTATAAACTTACTTCTCCGTGATTTTGAAGTTGCACGAGGAGCATTTCTAGGTGTTGACTTGTAGCCAACGGATTTACTTCCAGATGAATTGTATCACAAAATGTTTTCCACGATAACACGGGAAATGGATGAGCGATCCTTCTTAGTTTAGGTAAGAAGTTAAGGACAGCCTCACAAAAACCATTCATTCGGGGAATATTCTAAAAAAAGAAAAAAATGTTTACTATTATAAGGAACTCCATAAATTAAAATAAAACCTGAAGCAAAATAAGAAAAAATGACCATCAGTGAGAAGTTTTGCAATTATACAGTGTTTTTCGTCTTGTGCGTAAACACCAACATTTTTTCTATAGTGCAAATAACACAGTGTAATGCATACAAAAAAAAACCCACAACGTGCCGTTTTAAAAAACCAATTTTCAAAAAAAAAAGTTTGCAATATTGATAGAAAATTCAACCTCAATAGTCGTAATTGAAGACTGAGCGCTATAATAGTTTTCCCTAGGTTCATCCAATAATTTATAACCTCCACGGATGAAGAAGTATAATTTGTTTAATTTGCTTATACTATTTATACCATCAATAACATTGCTTCGACTGTATTCCTAGGGAACAATTTGATAATAGTACCAATTATTGTTATTATAACTTATTATTTTAATTTCATTGACAGAAACAATTCTTAAAACTTTGTGTAATAAATACAAAGTGCTAGTCAGGCTAAAAATAATATTTTAAGTAAGTATCAACTTTTAAACTTTATAGTGGTTACTTATTTTCTTTAATCTGGCCTTACTTTCTCCTAAATATTGCTCTAATTAAACATTTGACTATATTTTAATTTAGAAATTAAATTAGTTGTTTGGCCCTCAAAGTAAATAACCTACGTGCAAAACGAAAAAAAAAGACATTTTTTGCAATATTAAAAAAAACTAAAAATATGCTTCCCAATAAAAAAACCATAATAATTGGTTACATTTATTTACTTAAATCATAAATGTAATTTTTTGCGAGTTGCATATTAATTTATTAGTTTTAACATTTAATGTTTATATAGATTGTCTCCTAAGCAATGATTTGTAAGATTTTTATACAAAATGTTATTTGTCTTCATAACCATAAAATGTTATGAAATACGTTGATTTATTTAAACCAAAAAATAAACCTTTGGAAAATTAGATGTTTTGTGTTAAGGAGTTTCTTTTACATTGTCTAATATCTAATATGAGAGTCAGTATTTTTATAATAAATATTTATATAAAATTAATAATTACAGTATGCAGCCGTTTTTTACAATCACTAATAGCTTCTTTAATGTTTTTGATGCTTAACGAATCAACTGCCAAAATGTCAAACATAATGATTCGTTCGTATACATTAAACACGTGTCCATATTCTTCTTTGATTTTCGTTAGTAGGTTATTCTCAGGTTGTTGACATATTTTTTGGCCACTGTGACTTGCTACTATTAACACAGGTATTAAATGACTCGAAACACCATTTTTAACTACAATAAAAATGATTAAAAATTAATTCATGGCATGAATAGTATCAAGTTAAGTTTAATTATGCATCTAACACACATATATATCCTGGAATATGAAGTCTAGCTTGTACAAAACTCAGCCAAAATTGTATGATTTTCAAACTAATTGCTAATGATTGTTGCTGATTATAAACAATTACAATTATTTTGTTAGGTGTGTTTTGTATAACATGATGGTAAGAATTATAATACGTGTCTTCACCAGAAAAATCCCAAAATGTGCAATCACCAATGCCTGATAACTTTTCCTTAAAAATAAATATATAATATTAGTAATACATTATTTTTTAATCAGAAACAAAGTGAGATGAGGAAAAAATTGATAACCTTCAGGAAAGTACTTTGACATGTTATATATAGCCTGGCAGCTGGCTGCGGAAAATGGTGAATAAAAAAAACAGAAGAGGCTATAACAACAACCCAATATGAGAGAGTTTATTTGATGCATGCAAATAGAATGATTGTAGTATGAATATGTGGAGATTTATGGGCATATAATCAAAAAGGAATAACAAACTAAGTCATTAGAAGGACGTCTAGAGTGGGCTTAAGGCAGAGATGGCGGATTGGAGTAAACTCGAAGTAACATGCACATAAAGTAATATAAATCATACCTTTTGAACCACTATACCCTTGGTACTATCATGCTTATAATAAGTTGGAGTATTTGAAACATACTCAGTAAGGACTATTTCATTACCATTAGTACATTGTGTTTGAGACAGAAATGTTCCTAAAAAATGTTTAACACGTATTTAATTAGTCAAGTTAATAAGTAAATAAAAACATATTTTAGGTCCGCTTTTCATTAATTTGTTGTCATCAAACTCATTACATTTTATGTTATATTTGAATGATGTATTTTTATAAGCCGTGTATAAAAAAAGTGTACTATATGTGTAAGTGTCAAACCAAGCAGGCATTACTTACTGTTATTGTTTATAGTCCTTAATGTGTTACGTGACTTGCCAAGTAGCATTGAAAAGAGTCCCAATTTCATTAATTTTATGATAGATGATTTTCCAGCACCAGATTGCCCAAAAAGGAGTATATTAGTATTTTGAACAAGTTCATCACTGATTACAAATTGTTGAATATAATTTTCTTTTGCGCTATTCTATAATATGTAAAAATTACACTTTACATAACTGTAAAAAAAAATTAGGCAATTGCACTTACATTATTTAATTTATTGAACAGTGAAATAATATCTTTTTGGTTATTTTTAATGGCAATAATTTCCGGTTTTATATTGTCTGAGTTGCGTCTTTGTGGATCACTTCCCATAATACACAAATACCTGCAATTCAATGAAAATCAAATGAAAAATCATATAAAAAATTATTTTTAATAATCAAAATACCTAATAATATCAATATGTCCATTTTTTGTAGCAATGTGTAATGGATAAAGTCCTCTTCCATTTGGATACTCTGAACTATAGCCTAAGTTAACTATAGCTTCGACAACACTTAACAAACCTTCTTGAGCAGCAATATGAATAGCAGCATTACCATCCTAACATAGTTAAATGAATTACTGTTAGTATTATTTGATTAATAAAAAATTAATAATCATACAAATAATACTACTATAATTAAAACAGTAGTAATTAAAGGGAAGAATGTTTCTCAAAATCTAGTTTCTAATAATAAATAAATTGTTCATGAAATCTCTGCATATAAAAATAATTGTTAATTGAAACAATTCATTAATATCATTACACCATTCAAAATATTAATTTAATTGTATTAATCATCAACATATAGATTAAGCCTTGTACGTCCAATGCTGCTATCATGGTTCCTTAATGAATTTGCTTTTAGGACGGATTGTCACTGACCGAGTATCGAAATTGTGACGGTGAGTTAACACACTGCCACCTCTTCCACTTGGCGATACGGTTTCATTTTGTTTAGTTATACATTTGTATAATAATCACATGTAACCATTGGTTAACCATATTTTAATTACACAATCCTGCAAAATACTAGCATTTTCTTTTAATTCAAACTAAGAAACTAGATTTTGATTATATTCAATGCAAACATTGTAATCTAATATAGCAAATTAAATTTATACTGGGTATAAATGTAATTAACTAATTCAATGTATCACATTAAAATGTTTAATTATTCTAAATTTACATTATTTATTATTCCAAAATTAGTAATACTTTTTCTTACATTAACAACTTTCTTACGTTATTAAAGGTATCTATATTCCCTGGTATTTTGTTAAGTAAATAAAGAGCAACTTCTTCATGTTTCTCAGAAATAGCCACTGAAAGTGGAGTATCTAAATTGTGATTTGTTATTTCAATTGTCATAATATGGTTTTCTACTAATTTAGCGACACATTTTAAAAATCCATAACGACAAGCAATATGTAGTGCAGTGTCACCATTCTAAGAAAGTTAAATAGAAAATTTTTGATTAAACATAGTAAAAACATATTCAATTAAAATAAAACCAAATATTACATAATTCTGGTTTACGGAAATTTCAGGTTTCTTGTTTAATAAAATTTTAATGATTGACACATGTCCATTTCGGCTAGCTAAGTGTAATGGCGTATTCCCGTTCAAGTCTACTGAACTAACGTTGGCTCCTTTTTTCAATAGAATGTCAACGATATTGTGGATCCCACGTGCCGATGCCAAATGTAATGCAGTTTGTCCTTCCTATACGAGAGAAAATTATAAAAATATATTTCATTTAATACTATCAAATCATTTACATCATTTTGAGTTGTTAAATTATTATTATCCAGGCCGTCGGTGCTGATCAAAGATTTGACAGCGTTTTCGTCTTCACCATCCTCTAAAAGTTGGAGCAAAGACATTTTGGAGCTGACAAATTATTTTACATCCATCTAATTTCGAGTAAATAGTGGTAATTAATCAATATTTATATGAAACGTTGAAAAAAATGAAAACTTTACTATACAAACTAAAAATACTTTTTTATAATTATTTCAATTACAGGCCAATCCTAAGCCCCGTGGCTATGAACTCTACTTAGTGCACTGTTATCAACGCTGTTACTTGTTCCAAAAATGAAATGATAACACCTAACTTTCCAAGATGTTGATATTATTCCAGCGAAATATGGATGTCGGTCTCGGTACACGTTAATTTTGTTAAAAAAAAAAAATTACTAATATTTACTCGGCATTTATAAGTTATATGGATGGCCAAATGCCAATTTTCTTATCAATAGGTTAACCTTTACCCATCTATTTTATATTTCTATGCTTAATTCTAATCTAATTTATTATTTTATATAAAAAAACGCGCCACTCTACACGTATAATATTTTATTATGTGGTCTGTGGATATAGAATAGGACACAGAATGTATACATTGTCAATAAAATTGTTAAAAATGCTAATTATATGTATATATTTTTTTTATTGTATTGATATTGCATGGTTGAATGTACAAATTATATGTAATATAAACTAGTAAGAATAAGAGTATAACACGTAGGTATATTAGGAATATTGTGTTATAACTTAAGTGTTTAAAAAAATGTAGCATTGAATCTAATAAATAAAAACAACAAAGTAATGGAAAGTTGTTTAATATGATTTTATTTTAACAATATTACAGCACGACAATTACTAAACAATATAAAATGGAAAAAGTTACAGGTGGCAAATCAGCATTTTTCGTTAAAATTATATTTTTTTTTACAAATATTTAATAAATAATATTGTAAGAGATTAGTCTAAAACTTGGAATACAGTATGCTGATGTAATTTATTTTTAATTATGAAGTACGCCAATTAAAAAGTTTTTATATAAATTCCTATACATTCAACACCGTACTTTTAGAATTAAGAAAATATTTCCTATTTAGAGTAACGTCGTTGTTATAGCAGCCTACATTTATTTGTTTTAATGTTTTATGAATTCCATTCAAAATATTGTAGAGAAATTTGTGTAAGCACATTGGTTTTATTTGAATAAAAAAATAATTCAGATAATATTAGTATGCAAATTAAATTAACTTTATTAGAGAAACAATAATTTTAATAACTTATAAACAAAATAATAATTTTATAGGTAACATAATATTAAATTTGTTCGAAAAAAAAACCTTAATAGAATAAAAGTCTTAACACATAAAATACTTTTGTTATTCAATAAAAACAAAATGCTTATTATAAAAAAAAAAAGTAACAATCCAGTCTTGAAAAAGTAGCGAGCAATTTTCAAAAATGTACTTGTGTAAATTCTGCAAGACTAAGAGTAAATATAACTTTAAATATGTAACTATATATTATGTAAGTTAATTATTAATTAATAAAAACAAAAAAAAGCCAGTCTATCAAAAAAAAAACTTAAAGATAGGATTTACCATATTAAAGTAAATAGGAATATATGAAATAATATAACAGTCAATTAAAATACTGATGAAGCAATAGTAACACACATTTTAATATATGAGATCTACTATGATAAATAACTTTATATGCATATATGGACTTCTAGTATTTTTTGAAAAGGTATGGTTAAGCTTGAAACGAACATTTAGTGTAAAATGTATTAATTAATAATACTCGGCTTGTAATACTTAGATAGAAATACATTTGAAAAAAACTCATTAAAATTAAATAAAAATATATAATTAATAGGATGTTTTTTAGTTAGGATATTAATTTATCACAAAAAATTATCTAAAAAATAAGCCATGCAAAAATGTATAGGTAATATGTAGATTAATTTTGGGCTAATAATGTAACTTAACACATCAACACTTGGAGTGAAAAAAAAACATAATAACAAAATAAATTGTTTAAACCTCAAATAATATTTTTGAAAAACTAGTAGAATCCAACATGTTTACTTGTAAAGAAATATACAATAATAAAACTTATCACTGAAATTCTGATTATAAAGAAGTAATCAATAAAACAATAAATAACAATAATTCACAAACAAATTTCTAAGATAACAAATAATTTTTTTTTATATATATACATAATGTTTTAGGATCATGTGTTTAAGTTATTATTTACAAGCATTGAATCGTATTATGCTTTAGTAATGATGTTTAATGATCATGTATTGTTATACCTTTTTTTTTTGTGTGTTCATCAGATGTTTTGCCTTTAATTATTTAATTACATGCCATATTTAATATCTAGACAAACTGAACATTTTTTATTTCAAACTATGTTTTGGCGATCAAGATTTAGTAGTCTATTAGCTTTAATAAGAACTCCAATTACGAGTAGACCACATTATTGCAAATGTAGTACCCATTACATCGGCCATGTCATTACAATGTGACAAATATCTTTTCAATAAACTTCTGTACCCATTACCAATACTGATTACTGTATTTCCTTCGCTAGCAGCTGTTATACATTTTACTTCTTGTTCGTACGGTCTAAACACTGTAATGGGTCTTGCAGTTTCTTGTTCAACTACTACAATACATCCCCAAGCCGTGCCCAAATAAAGTTCATCGCCAACTGTACACACGCTAGTTATCTGTAATATATTTCATATTATTACTACCAACTTAAAATTGTTTGCTGAAAAAAATGTTCTTATGAATTTTTAATTTACCTGACACTTTCCCGGACTTAATCGTTCTTCTATACTAATTGATTTTAAACTTTCTGAGCACGGAATAAGTTTAGAACAATCTAGTTTGTTCAAAATTTTTCTAGTTTTCACATTCCATTGATAAATTATACATCCTGTAAAAAACTTAACTGTTATATTTTACGATCTGAGTAATAAGACTTCAATGACACTAACCAGGATGTACATAAGACCATACTAAATTATGATCAGAAGAAGAATTCAATGACATCACTTGGGCCTCCAAACCTGTACTATTAAAGTGTTCCAGGACTTCATAATTTATAGCTACATTCTGCTTAATAGTGTAAACTGATATTCGACCATTATCTTCACCGCACCATAATTCACACGTTCTGAAAAATGAACGACCAATAGTATGGCAAAACAAAAATACATTCTTACAACTTACTTATTGTTATTAACAGCAATAAAACAAAACAACACGGTAGAGCTGCCTAATTCACTCATTACAAAACTTCCTTCGCCCATGGTTGGAGCAAGGGGTGACATATCGCTTCGAACAAGAAATATTCTACCATTTTCTAAGCCAACTGCTACTCTGTGTCTATCCTTAAGTGACGCTATACATTTCACTCCGACTTCTTGATCATCAGATATTAATTTGTAACTAAATATATACTTGCAGTCATTACTCCTAAACATTGAAATTGGAATAAATTTAACACACAGTTTCAAAATATTTATACACATAACTTACGAATAAGCGTGTATTTGTCCTTCAGCGTCACCCAACCAAACACTAAACTCATCAATTGTACAGATGGCTGTAACTTTATGGGCAGTTTTCTTGCTTCTGTAATGAAACCAATTTGTATTGCTGAATGCTAATCGATCAAGTTTTCCATTAGTGCACGGTAACCATATTTCATCACCAGTTATCTCATCATCTTCACCTATACAGAAAAAAATATGATCATGTTAATTATCATATAAAAATACAATTTATACAAACATGATTGGTAGGTATACTCAATACTGACCTGCTAACAAAAAAGGCGGTATATACCAAATATTAAAAAAAATAATTTTTATAAAGAATTATTAAGAGCTTAAAGGCGTATTTTTTATGTTCTTATCAAAATGATCTGCTGTAGATTCTTTGTAAATCATAGAATGGTTATATGTACATGTTTACACTCATTCCAAATTTTTTTTTAAAAAATTTTCTTTTCTCGAAACTATTAAAATAGCATATACGGCCTTCTAGGCTAGCTGGGCAGTATAATTAATATTAAGTAATAATAGTTGCCAATGCTGGGGTACATATACACAAAAAAAAAAAAGAATAAATGTTTAATAACCCAAACACTGGTGACTATTTGATGTTTAAAGAATCACTTAACATTAATGATTCATTTATCTTTTAATTCATTCATGTAATTAATCAAAATGACCCAATCCACAAAAATATTACACTTGTAGCATATACATATTATTTTTGTGGATAGGGTCATTTTAATAAATTATAATATTTTTCACAAGTTACTCTAGTTTGTATTTAAACATTCATGTACTTATTATTTTCAAATTATATTTATTTTGAAAGTCCAATTTTACTTACTCAATGGTAATGGTAAGGAAGTACAAGCTACAACATCTGCCGAATGACTTAAAGACACAACATCATACAAGTGTGTGAATTCTGGAGCCGACACTATAGAAACTATTTGACTGGCTGATGGTCGATCTTTTGGACTTTGTGACCAACATACAGCCATCAAATCAAGTAAATAACTTGGATAGGCCGTTTCCTTTAAATTCAAAGTATGAAAAATTAAAAAAAAATTGTTATGTAGCTAAGATCATAGTGCTTACAATCTGACTTACTCTAAATGTTAATGCTGGCCTATGACCTTCTAATATGCTCTCTTTTACAGATTCGTGGTTTTCAAAAGGCTGATGCATTGTTAATAACTCGTAAACAAACATACCAAAAGAAAAACAGTCAACTTTTTCTGTATACTCCTCTTCACCATTATATTTTATTATTTCCGGGGCCATAAAACCTTCTGTACCACCAAAACCTTTAGTGCCTGATGGCAATGATAAACGACTTATACCTGTATATAAAGATGAACATTTAATTATAATTTAACAGAACATTTAAAATTGTTAAATAGATTACTATTGTACAAACCATAATCTGCCATCTTAATGTGTGTAGTAACGGCAAAAGGATCTTGCAGTGGCACTGGAATAGACCAAACAAGTACATTTTCACTTTTTAAATCCCTGTAGATAATCCGTTGTTGATGCAAATATTCCAATGCTTTTGCCGTTTGAAACACTATTTGTTGCAAAACGTGGGGGTCAAATCTTGTGCCAGATCTACGATAATTTCTTAATATTTGATCCAAAGCTCCTATCGGTGCGAGATCCAGTATAAGAGCCAGAGGTTTTGTACAGACACCCAGTAATGGTACAATATTTGGATGTCTTAGATTCAACATGATGTTTAACTCTTGTCTTGCACTACAATACGACTTACAAGTGTATTGTAACGGGTCACGATCCCACTTAGCTTGAGCTCCCTAAATATAAACACACAAAAAAAAAAGTGAAAAAAAAGGGACCTTTTTTTCTTCCATATGGCACTTATGTCCAGGACATAGGCGCAACTAGACCTACATTTCAGAGGGTGCTAAAATTATATATACCTGACTAAATATAATTCTTATCTTCAAACCTTTAACTATAAAATAATATAGTTGAAAACAAGAATATTTTAAAACAAAAGACGTGAACATAGTATGTACATTGTTAAAATTGTATGGGTCCGGGAGTAGGCCAGAAGGCCTTAATCGGACGCCTGTTTGACAGAACTTTATCTGGGCATCCGCAGGTTCCTGCCAAGTTTTTTTTTTGGGGGGGGGGCGTTCTTTTGCCTTAGACAAATCCTGCCCAGTGAGAGATGCCACCTGTGAGAGAAGACCGGCTTTGAACCAGCGACAGTGCGCGCATTGGACTGCTGCCCTAGTCCACTCGGCCACTATTCCCATAAGAGAGCACTGATTTATTGGATTATAATATTTGTGTACAAAATTGACTATTCTAAGAATTAACTAGGTATGTTTTTTAAATACTCCAGAGAGTGTATGACAGAGTGCTAGCTGCCAAGAATAGTATTATTAGCAGTTTTAAGGGGGGTAGTAAAAGACATTTATTGTGCTCGTGGAACATTTTCTTATATTTCTTTTGATAAAAAAAAAATAAATACCCTAAATTCTCCTAATATTTAACCGAGCCAGTGAAAAGTTGATATTTTATATTTAATATATAACATTCAATTTTATTAAAAAAAAAAAATCTAAAAATCTGTAACCTGCGGGAATTGCTTAGGCGACGCGTGCATAAAACATGATTTGTGCTTGTATTATTATTATTGCAATAATTTCAATTGAACTTACCTTATATGCAATTAATGCGGACTGGCTAGCATTTGGTCCTGGCATTACAGGTTGTAGCATTTTTATAGCAATTTGAATACTATCTCCGGGTCGTTTACCTTTGCAGACGCCTCGAAAAACAAATCCAAATGCTCCTCGCCCCAATAATTTACCTCGTATAATGTCTTTGTCTTTAATAACTAGCTCTTGTCCCAGATCCAAAAAAACCTACATTTTAATTTGATGCATTAACAAATGACCAAATATCAATAAAAAATACATAGACGTCAAAAACAATTGTCTCTTACTGTATCAGGAGCAACTTGTGCTAATGGCAAATCTCCATGTTTAGGGCATACTACACATAATTTATCAACTGACGATGCAGCAAGTATACAATCTTCAACTGTCCACCCATAATGAATTTCACCATCGACTTGTTCATCCGAAATTAAGAGTTGACCATCAACTGACACTTTTCTACTAGACTGTGGGCTATCGTGTCCAACTCCGCTATCACCACCGTCTGATCCGTTATAGCTTTCTTGTGATTTACGTACAGCATTTTTAGTGTCTAATTCTTTTTTTAAAAACTCTTTCGATAAATGTTCAACGTTATTTGATTTTTCGTTTTCGTATTTAACATCAATTGGAACATTGTCGGTTTCCACACTTCCAACTAAACATCTAGGGCAAGGAACCAATCTCGTTACTAAACATTTTCCTTCAGATGTATGAACAAATCGAGTGCCTAGTGTAGGATACCAGTCTTCCAACAAAACATCTATATGATCTACCACCAAGGCTAACAGTTTCGCTGCTTGTACAGAAGACGGATCCAATACAATTGCTCTAAACCCTATGTCTTCTTCGTTTTTATTTTTTATTGGTCTCTTTACAATAACAGTATCAAGAGGTAAATATGCTTCTAGAATAGATGATGTTTTTATTGATATATCATACCATGCAGTTTCTTGATAGAGCTGGAACCTAAGTTGCCTGTAATTTATTGGATAATTTCTCTGTAAAACTTCCTTCATACGAAACAGCGTGATTTTGTTAGCAAATTTCAATTCAATTCCAGTTTGCCATAGTACCCAGTCAAAGTTTGATTGAAAATCCGAACATACAAAATTGTCACCATTGACTTCTGACGGAGTAAAGAACTTTCGTATTACTTCAATGATTGCATCGTCACCGAGCATACGAGTAATCAAACGAGACCAGAAACCCGATGGGAAATAAGACATCAGCAAAAGGCGTCGCACAGAGACTTCTGGATCAGAACGGCTAGTTATATTTTCTCCAATTTCTATGAAATCTTCTAACGGAGGATGAATTGAAGTTCTTAATTTACGACATTTTGATTTGATAGGAACTTTTATCAAAACTGGTTGAGTTCTTTGTCCATACATATCATCTTCAGATGGCAACAGTGATGGTATTAATAGTGATCTACTATCCCAAGTTAAAGCTACTTCAAATTTATTGAGCAAGTTGACCACATATTCTCTAGTACACGTCGAGGATTTTAAAACAATTTTAAGATCATCAAGTTTCATAATACCAGAACGAGCGAAAGGATTAATTTCTCTAATTGTCACTACATGTGCAAGCATATCACATAACCATTGTGGGTCTAAAAAATAAAGATCTTTTAAAGTGGCATCATCATAATGTAACAATACACCTAAAATTAATACATTTCAAATTATTAAATATATTTTTATTCTTATCTAAACCAAAAAAATAATGAATACAAACCATTCTCATGTAAAAATAAAATTGCTTGGTTTAGTTCAGCCATATCTCGGAAAGATTTATGAAATCTAGAAACCATTTCTGCATTAACTGCAGTTCTAAATTGATCTAGATTTAATACTGGGTCGAGGCCTGCGAGACGCCTTTCATTTCCTATATGACTCACAATGTCCTCAAGAGCTAAATAAGTAGCCGGAACTCTTTGTTCAAGCAAAAGTTCTTTGCTTCCTAAAAATTGATTAAACAAACAAATTAATATGAATAATAATACAAAGTAATAGGAGAAAAATAATTGTAGTTTACCAGGTGATCTCAGACTAAATACAGTGTCATAAATAATATTACATAACAACTTAATGTTATGTTTTGTTTTGCAACTAATTTCAATTGTGTCTAACACTCTAGGTAGTCCATATTTTTCAGCATCTACTATGTTTATGAACCTATCTCTTATTAATTGTTGTAAAATTTCTGAGTTGTATTCTGGTGACTTGTTGCTCATTACATCATAATGAGTGCCTACGATTATTACAGGAGAATTAGGAGCTCGAGCCTATAAAAGATTAAATATGAATTTATTATCAATATATTTCAAATGTATTAACAATTTAAAATTTAACTAAAATTACTTGTATGTTAACCAGCCACTGCAAAATTTCTGCAATTCCTCGGTGACCATCAGGGATTTTCCATACAACAATATATAAACTTCTTTTTGATAAAAAGTATTGATGAGTAGCATAGTATTCATTTTGGCCACCAAAATCCCAAGTTCTGAACATTACTGGACCATACTGAGAATTGCCTCGAATTTTCTTTTCGTACACCCAATCACCAATATCAACGCCTACTGTAGAAATATTTGTTCCTTTGTTTGTCTTTTGATTTATATTTTTATTACCCATACGTTTGGCCCAATGCTATGAAAAAAATTATGTTTAAAAAAGCTTGCACTGTGGTTGGGGCTTTGAGGATGGAGAATATTAAGGTCTGAGAGGTTACAAGTCTTTAGGAAATATCAAACTGAAAGTGATATAATAAATTTCCAAAAAACACTTTGATGCAAAACTGTAAATGGTAAAAACTATTCAATATTAATACGAACAATTTTATAGACAATAAATGTGTTTATAATAGTCTTAATTGATTTTACTTAATAAAAAAGAGTAAGTATAGATTTCGAAATTTAAAAAAAAAAAATGGTAATGTAATTTAATTACTTTTTAAGTTGTTATTAAGTACATGCCCAATTTACTAATATAAATAGTTACAATAATAATAATAATAGTTACAAAATTTGTTAATAATTTAGACTAGTTCTTATGTAATGTTTTAAATATTAAAAAAAATCTAACAAAACTACTAGCATACTAATATTATGTATACGTCAATATATGTAAAATATATGTCTAAAAGAAAAACATCTTTTATTACATTGGTCAAATATCAATGAAAATAAAAATAAATTAACATAAACAGCTAGTGACAATATTAAATGTTTAAATAATAATATAAGGATATAAGGATATATATAGGGATATATATATAGGGATATATTTGGCTATCCCTATATATATATAGGGATAGCCAAATGAATTTGTTAGGTAGGCATTTACTTACTGGCAACCACGGAAATTGATTTACGAGAAGATAAATGTTGCCAGTAAAATGTATGCATCTTACAGGGTCATTATAGATCTACTATAGATCACTAGAGATCAGTTTAATTTTCAGATCTTAAGTCCTAAACTACACTTTAAAAAGTTCCTACCCTTTCTCAGGGAGAAGTTCATTTATATTTTCTGGGGTTTACAATATTGATGGTGTACTATATCTAAAGAAATCCCACACAAGTTTGGAACTCATTTCGAATTTTTGTTAAAAAAGTTATAAAGCATTGTAATTTTTAGTTGAAAAATGTGTACATTTTTAGCATTTTTTTCTTGAGTTTGAAACGAAAAAAGTCTACTTCTACTTTAGGCCTTATAATGTACCTCATAGGTACAATTTCTGATCTATAGACTTGCTACATGAAAAAATCGGTCATGCTGATTAAAAAATACCAACATCATTGCATTAAACTATACCTTTTCAAGTTTGCATCAAAGCTAAAAAAGTAATTTAACTTAAACGTTTTATAACTAACATCTACAGGTTTCTTTTTATAGCTTCCGGTACCCTCGAGACGCAGCTGGTTTAGCAACGAAGTTTTACCAATTCCTTGAACTCCAACAATCATTAGCTTCATGCGAGCATAGGGCTTAGCATCTTCAAGAACTGATTTTAAATAGCCAATAACATCCATTGTTTTATATTTATTTGAATCAATCATGGATTTCAGTGGCTCCTGTAGGTTACATCCTCTTGTATTTAAATTCCACAATCGTGACAATAATCCCATTTGAGGAGGTAACTCTGCAACTTCTAGAAAATAATTTCAATATTTAATATAACTGCTTTCATATTATTAACTTTAATAACATAATTAACAATAAAAAAAAAGTGTTTTACCTTTATTTCCACTTATATTTAAGACTGATAAGTTGATTAGTTCGTTTATGTTGGATGGGATTTCTTTTAATTGGTTGTTACTCAGGTCTAACATACTCAAGTTAGGGAAAATTAATTTTGATCTCGAATGACCCAATGTTGTTGCATTAGTATCCTACATCAGAAACATATACACTAAAAAATGTGACTATTTTTTAAATATAAAAACGATTTACCCAATCATCCAATTCGTCAGCTGAATCATTTGAAACGGAAATGTACCCATCATCATCAGTTGATAATTGTATTCTTTTAACACAATTATCAGCCAAAATGAGTGTTCTCAGATTTTCAAGCCTTAAATGCCGTCTATGAGAACATACTCGATTTAAAATACTGGCTCGTAATGACATTTTTCGGCCTATATTATCCAATCGTAATATTAGATTTTATTGCAAAACTCTTTTTTTAATAGTATTTTATTTTCACTTACTGGTGCGTATTTTTGATGGTATAGTGGACTTAGGAACTTGACCGGTTTCTAGTCTGTAACATAAAATATTTTCTTGGTCTGGTGAAGTATCTTCCAAGTTGATTTGGGGCAAACTTGGCCAGACACATATTTTGTTATGGCTTAAATCCAACTGTTTGAGTGAGCTGGGATATGATGTCACATAACTCATAGTCCTCAAACTGCAAAAAAAAAAGTGTATAAATTTATAGATCCAAATTGTTAAAAAAAATTGTACACTACCAATTGTATGATAAATTAAGCCGAGTTAAATTAACTGCCAAACACGATAACACAGGCGGTATAGAACTAAATCTATTATGTGAAAGATTTAGTGATGATAATTGAGAGCTATTGGATTTAATCTCAGAAGTTTCATCAGTTCTTGAAATCTGTTCCATTATTTCAACTGTACGGTTCCAAACATTATAATGAACTAATGGAATACTTCTACAGATAAACAAGATTTATGTTAATAAATAAAATGTAAAAAAAATTATGCAAATACTGTTATACATACTCGTTGTCTATATCAATAACATCAGTTATTTTAACTTCATAGCTATTATCTAACAACGGAGCTCGACTAACTGATCGTTCACGTAAACTTTTAGCTTCTTGCTCTGACTGAGCATAAGGAAGTTCTTTAATTAGGTTAAACGACAAATTAAAATCTTTGAGCTTGGGCGATCGCCACATTTGAAATGGCACAGAATGAAGTTTATTATTTGATAAATCTAGTGTAGTTAATGAAGGTAATCGGAAAAGATCATCTGGAATCTTATCGAGTCTGTTATCCTGGAAGTAGAAACATATAATTTTATATTCAAGATGAATAAACAATACAAATTTGACAGTGAATACATACTTGTAAATAAAGTTCTTCTAAAACACTAGCCGTGTAAACGGATTTGTAAAGTTTTGAAATTTTTTTAGTTGTTGGAGAAGTTACTTGACTAGTGTTAAAGTCTGGTAGTTTTTCTATCTTATTTTGTGCCAAATTCAAATATCTAAGACTTTGTAATTGAAAAATAATAGCAGGAATTTGTGTGAGTGAGTTGTTTGATATGTCTAATCGAGTTATGGCAAATAAAACAATTTCTCTACTTCGGGGGTTCATTTTCAGTCTTGGATTAATATGAAGAGCTGCGTCAATCTAAAAAATGTATATATGTACAAAGATAAATAAATGCTATCCGTTAAAGTATTAAACAAAACAAAGTTCTCACCAGCCATTGTGATTTAATGCATTCAAGCTTACATCGTTGACTATGCCAATTAATCATAACTGGCGTGCTAGGAAATATATTACTGTACGTTAAACTCGATAGACCGCCAAATTGTGAAGCAATATTATCAGTCATCGCTTTTTTGTTAATTTTGTGCTCAGGGTCAGCAAATGCTTTAGTTCCGAGTAGTGTGGTAATCAAAAATTGATTTCTTATAGACATTGCGGCCGCAAGTGCCTTACCTTCATCATCCCTAGCACCATGTTTTAATAACAATTCGACAATAGCCACATCTCCTTTTCTACACGCTAAAGTTAGGGAACTACAACCAGCCTCATGAACTTCATCATTTCTTTGCTATAAACAACAAATACATTACATCAATAACACTTGACTTTAAAATGTATAATGAACATTTATATACTTTATAGTCAGCAGATGGAGGCAATGTGAGTACATTAGGATCTGCACTAGCTTCAAGTAATGCTGCAACAACATCTCTATGTCCATTACGAACAGCAACATGAAGAGCAGTTTCTGGAGCTTCTTCATTACAATAAATATTAATTTCTACTGGCTTCAAGTTTTTCTCATTTAAGTCTATTTCTTTATTTGGATTTCCCCTTAGACGAGATACAATTGACTGGATTCCTTCTGAAATGCGATTTCGTTTTGACAAATCATTCATAGATTCTTTTGGAGACGATCCATCAGCACCATTAACCTAAATAAAATATATTAAGAAATTATGCAATGTTTTAACAGTTAAATTAAAATGATTAGTAAAAATATTTAGGTATTATCTCTAGTACTCAATTTTAGTAACTAACAGTTTATCTAAATTTTTTCCTAAACTATAATTGTAACAATCAACTATTATAATTGTCGTACCTTAACAGCTCTCACTTGATACTTCAATAAGACATCAACTATTTTTATGTTTCCTAACAGACATGATAAATAGAGAACAGTTTGACCATTGACATCTTTAGAATTTACATCAAACGGAACATCATACTCCCAATTATCCTTTCTATAATTCAATTTTATTTAACACATATATTTTTAATTAAAAAAAAATGTTTGTTTAGGACTTACCTTAATTTAATAAACAAATTAGATGGGTATGGGTACTTCATTAGAAGTTCCAAAACCTGTATGTTTCCGTTTATGCATGCTGCATGAATAGGTAACCATTTTTCAACAGTAGTTTGACGAACAAGGTCGGGATATTTCTAAAAATAAATATTTTAAGAATATTAGTAATTATGATTACAAATTATAAATAATTTGTTTAAATACCTTGAGAAGTAATTCGACAATATCTTTTTTCCCTTTGAAGGCAGCTATATAAAGGGGGGAGTATCGTGTAACAGGATGTATTTTACCATCCGCTTTATGGTCGATTAACAGCTTAACTAGGTCTTTTCTACCCAGTTCACAGGCACTAAAAAAATTGCAAATACACATAAGTAACATAATACAACTCCTATATTAGTAAAAATAAGAGTAATTTGATACAGGACCTTTTTGTATTTGTCATGATGAAAAAATAATATAAAAGTTAAACTAAATGACTTATAAATTTGGTAAAACTTGTCTTCAAAAAAAAATATATATTGGTATATATAGTTTACTAACCAGTATAAGAGTGTGGAGCTACCATTGGGTGCCATATTGATGACAAATTCGGCGTTATTACCAAGTTCTGACAAAATAGTTCTGACTGCATTAAAATCTCCTCTGCAGATGGCATCTCGAAGTGACATATGTACTTCATTTTGTGATTCTTCCCATGCATCTAAAAAATATACAACGTCATGAGGATCATTCACAAAGCTGAAATATTTGGCGATTTTTTCGCACAAATCGCCCGTCATTCTAAAATTCATTTTCTAAACCCCAAAAAAATATTTTCCCACCACGTTCATTTGTATGATGATTCACCAGAAAAGCAAGTCAATATACAATAATATTTTGCGTGATGTCTTACCGTATCGTTTGGTCTCGTTAATAAAATAGGCGCATACATCGACACCTGTTTCTATTTTCAAACACTTGTTTATGAACGGACTACCGTTTGGCATTAACCAACTGAACATTTTCGTATCATTGCAATGTATACTTAGGTGCGCAGCTGGCAGCGGGAGCGACCAACAAACACGCGCCGAAAATTATCGGGTACGAACAAATTCAAAATGTTTATACTTTAAACACTATAATATAATATTTGTATTACTAATAATTCGCCGTTATTATTTAGGAATCTACGGCACGCGGTTTGGTGTTACAGGACTTGGGACCTAGAAGTTTGATTTCAAACGGACGTATACTGTACAACTGTGCTGGCGCAATAAAGCGAGAGACCGTGGACAGAAAAACGTGCAATATAATAATACAATGTAAGCAGCAATAGAAATTTCCAGCGTAAAAATATGCCGTGACTGATCTAGCGTGGACCGGCAGAGACCTTGTCGCGCAAACGTATCGAAAAACGCGTACATTCCATTTTCAAAAACTATTCAACAGTTATTGTCGCCGAAAAACGTACATACATTATTATACGAGTATATAGATAATAACTTGTGTGAGAAAATATTCGCACACACACAAACACAATTCGCGCACACAATAATGAGATCACATTCCCCGCACTATGTATTTTATTTCCACGTAAAAACCGCGATCCCGTGAAATGTAACACGTTCGAATTTTAACGGAAACTGTATATTTATACATAAATAAAACCGAGCTGTCATATACACGGGTATAATACCGATATACCTATGTGTATATCGGTCCATATAATATAGGTTAATAATTATGAGTAATTTATATCGTAGTATTCGGTTTAAATGCAATACGGAAAACTATTGTTTGTTAGCTTTAAAAATCTAAAAAATCTTAATATGTACGAATTATATTACATCTCGACTCTATACGACATCATAACTCGACGAACCTCTGGTGTAAGCTCTATGGAAAACTAATTTTCACTTTCTCCGTCTGTTTCGTAGTAAAACCGCTGTAATGTGATTAACGTTATAGGTTGCAGTTACTGCGCGAGAAACAATACCTAATCGTTTTTACTTTATACCCCGATCCGGTCGTGGTTTTCCGTTTTTACAACCGAACCGTGTAAGCATTGAGTTATAAACATTATATAACTAACGAATGAAGTGGATTTTAAACCCATCGACCTGCTGAAAAAAAAAGCTAACCGGAATCCTTAAAATCACTAAATGTACTATGTAGTTTTGGCAGTAACCTTTTCCTTAGAATTTAGATACTAAACCTATTAGGTATAATATTAGATTTCCACCTAGACCCCTCTGTGATAATTTCTTACTGTACAGTGGTTTTTGCTGTATATATTTTTTGTTGTGTTTAGCTTTTATTAATTTAATATTAGTAGACTGTGCGCGTAGCTTTTTTAAGATTTGATCCACAGTTAAACATATTTTTTAACTTTGAACGGTATAACATTCCGAAACTATAGAGTATAGTACCTACTTCTACATTTGTTTGGGATAATCGTAATTCAAATGTACATAAAAATACGCGAATCCAAGCTAACGAATGGATAATAATATCCGTGTATTCTTATACATTTTGTGTATTTCGAGTATTAATGTAAGGAATACACAAATTAACGCGACCAACCATACCTCTCCAGAATAACCAAAAACTATCCCCACTTAGAGATAATAGTTTATATTAGTTAATTAGGTATTTAATTAACGGGTCTATCCATTCTTCAATATAGCTAAAACACGATCAACATTATGGACAATATCAAATAGGTATTGATCAATATATTAAATTAATCGTGTATCGACTACTTTACACTGATGTGTAGAGGCTAAAGCATTTGTTGTACGATTTTCAAATCAGTTATCAAACTTTTTTTTAAGGAATAACACGAACTAACACAGCTATATACACACAATTTATCCTTGATATTGATTTCTATTTTCTATTGATAATTTATAATTTTGCCATCGATAAATTCACATCAAAGCGTTTACTTGATAGTAATTTTGTCAAAATATTTATATTAATGATTCCAAAATATCGTGAAGCTATTTTTATAACATAAATATATTGTTTTAAATATTTTTCAAATATTTAAAAAATACTAATATTAAATTTTCTTAAAAGTAATTCCTTCAGGCCTCTCTCGATACTACTATTACTACAGCCCGTTTTCACTGTGCTGTTTTTTTTTTGTAAAATGTATATTTCCCGGGATAAAGCGGGAATGACAGTTTTAAAAAATGTATAATGTATCATAGACAAATTATATCTAAAGAGCCTTGTTAAGTATTAATTATTAATTCAGGCTTCCTAAATATACCTTACACAATGCAAGTTTTCCGTTTTTAAGAGCGAACTTTTCAAAGTTAACCATTGTAAACAACTATAAAAAAACATCATTGTAAAATCAATACCTTCTCAGTTTCACCATGAAGTTAAAAAATAATGGGTACGACATTATATGGGATTGTATTTATGGCCATGAAAGAATTCTTATTTATCAGAACGTGTTTAAATAATAGTAATTAAGTTCGAGATTAAATTGTTTGGCCATCCCATATGATTATACGCCATATGTTGATGATTAGTTCATTAAGGAATCTTTTTTTATTCTTACAACAATGTTTAAATAAAAATTCCGATTGATAATTATACGATTTTAATGGTATAGATTATTAAATGCGTTTAAATGTTATTATTATCTTTCACAATTTGAAGTTGTAAAAATTGTATAGAACCTTAGTACGTGGCTAAATGAAGAGTCTCCATGAATCTATAAACACTATAATTATTTTGTTGGTTACCTATATTTTAAAATTTTAAATTTTATTAAGAAAAATTTACTGGAGATTTTGATTGGCCGACAACCAGTTTTGGATAACTACTTTTAAAGTTATTTAAGTTTAAAGTTTAGGATGGGAGGAAAGTAAAATCTTGAGTTAAAAATAAAAAATGTAACAAACAAATTTTTAAAAAGTAAAACAAACCGTGGTGTTTATATAGCACAAATGAGTACAAATTAATTTAAAAAATATTCACTAGAACAAAAGTTATTTAATTTGTTAATTCTTTGTGGGACACCCTGTGTGTATATATATTTAAGTGATTAAAGGTTATCTACTTTAACCACCATCCCTTAAGGGGTCATAATAAAAGTAGGTTATATACTAACTACCAACCCTCAAAATCGATGAATGAAAGTATTAAGATATATTACACGTTTTAGCAAAAACCAAAATATTGTAACATTTAAATAATTTTTTTCGGAAATTCACAGTTGACAAAGGTGTTATCAAAATATTATTATTACTTTTTAAATATTGTAATTGGATATGTAGACTAAAGTTTTGCATCCTAAAAGCTATTGAGATTGTCAACACCTTTATCCACTCTATCACTTCAGATGAAAAATATGATATTTTTTTAAACAAAATAATAATAAGCAATAATGTATAAATTTAATTTACGAATAAGTAATATATAAATGATTTTAATCATATGAATTATTAAGATTTTTATACCTACTTAGTCTGACATTTTTATATTTTATTTACTACGTAACAAACTAAAACTCTAATGCTGGGTAGCATAAATTTAATGGTGCATTAAAATTTAAAGGACCAATCACGGGCCACTAAATTATGTTTAAGGGATCACTAAATATGTATTGGTTTATTAAACGTTTATGCAACCCGGCATTAATATCGCTTACTTTATACTTAAGAGGGCGTCGTGATTTTCAGTGGTAAAACATGTTTATGCCAACTGAAAATAACACGCTTAATTTTGGTTTTAGAGTAAAAGCACCCATTATAAAATTAAAAGAGAACAATATTTAAAATTTATTTTTTGAAAAGTTACAGTCATTTAAAAATGTTAAAATAGTCGTTATTTCTAAACTATGTATTGAGCGTTATACTTGGAGTAATGAAAAAAAACGCACCGTCTTGCCCTCCGGAATATTGTTCTCTTTTAATTTTATGATAGGTGCTTTTACTCAAAAACCAAAATTAAGTGAGTTATTTTCAGTCTGCTTAAACACGTAAAGATGAAAAAACATTTTAAAATCGCTTTCAAGGATGCTATAATAGTTCAAAAAATAAATTAACTACCAAAATAGAGTCCTAGTTGTTGAACTAATAATTACACATCACAGTTTAACCTTTAATTAAGATTTTGTTAAAAATTGCCTAACTGCTTCGCTCAGCAGTCAGTATGGTCACGGCATTTGAGCAGTCGAGACCACTACTGCCCTGAAGATGGACTCTGCAAAGAGTACGAAACGTTGGCATAAAACATGTGACGTGAATACATCCGAAACTTACTCAATTGAAAAAAATTATGTGTACGACTTTTATTTAAAGTCATTGATTGAAATTTAAAATAAATTGGTTAAATCTTATGTTATTGTTGCACATGGCAAATTAAATAAACAGTAACAGTACAAAACTTAATATAATCATTTTTTAATAATTAATAATATATGTATTGAATGGGGACCCTTAAAGATTTATAGTTTTTCAGCCATACAGTACTAATGTATGCATTCATATTTTATTAACTCAAGGAAATGCACCAAGCTGGACTACTGTAATTAATTTTCAATTATAAATCAGTGGTGTGATTGAAACAAAAAGTAATCTGTATATACAAATTTTGAAGAGTTAAAAATTATAAATATAAATACAATTTAAGACAAAATAGTGATTCATGTGTTTTAACTCTTTTTCATTTGACTTGTTATTTTATACCTTATTCTTTGTGGAATTATAGTCATTTATATTTATAATAATAGCTCAGATTCAAGTTTGAAAAAGACCTCAGGATTCGGGTATTTTGTCTAATTTTTTTTTGCTTAGCCCATATAGTACATTCTAGAGAAGGTTCTAAAAGAATTCACTTATTGACCGGGTTATTAGATTGTTACCAGACTATTATTATCATAATAATATTGTATATTATAAACAAATAATTTTGGGGCACTAATAGATTATGGTTACACATGTCAGGGTTGACCAACAACCAAAACTGACACTAAAAAGTGTCGTTCCTTATATTATTAAATGACAATGATTCATATTAACATTTTATTATAATATTCGTATCACCATTATTCTTATTACATTGCTAAATGTTTGCTTACCTGTAGCTTCTTTAAGCAACTGACTACAATTTGTGAATCCAGCATTATTAGCAATATCAAGTGAGGTCAGACCATTAGAATCTTTTATTAAAACATTTGATTCATAGTCTAAAAGAGTTTTGACATTTATAGGACATCCAATTTGGGCACTTATATGTAATGCTGTCTGAAATAAGAATAAGAATATAACGGTTTTAAATACCATATGTATACAAAAAAAAAAATATATTTGTAAAATATAATGATATGCTTCAAATTATAATGAATTAATTTTAATAAAGTTTATTATAGTTTTTATGTAAACTAAAAACCTTTAGTACAACAATGCAATGAAAAGTATAGTTTAGACAATACATTTTGTTGTACAATTTACTAACAAGATAAACAATTATAAGGGTTTAAACAAACTAAAAAATACCTACTCTACAATCGCCTCGAGGTCCACATGGAATGTCCACTTGTGCTATAAATTTGTATTACATTTAAAATTTTGTTTTAACTAAAAAAAAATAACAGTGTTAACTATTACCTCCAGCATCAAGAAGAATTTTTAGACAACCGGAACCTTCATTTGTGCATGCTGCATGAAGCGCAGTGCGGCCCCAAGAGTCACAGCAATTTATGAATTTTTTATGTTCATCATCTTTTAGGAGATCTGTAAGAAAGTCCACATTGTCCCACAATGCAACCTTAAAAAAGTTGAGGTATATGTTAAAATGTATGCTAACTTTAACAAAATATCGTTGGTTCTTGCCTGATGCAATAAACGACCAGGAAATTCTTCGTCTTCTGCCATAACAATATGGAAACTGGCATGCAGTAGGGATATTTTTGCTTTTTTAGCATCTCACAATGCTAGCAAAAATGATTTTATAGGCGATTCGATAAATACATTTGGCAGGGATCATGTCATTATGTACACACCTAACAGCTACACACTTGTGCTAACAAGCAATAACAACTGCAAAGCGTGTAGAAGTAGAAATTTAAAATTTGATTTTTATTTGAATCATTTTAACAATTATTATCACCATTATAAATATATAATAGATAAAAGATTAATTTTCAATTTATATTTTGCTATCATATTTTGTTATCCCCTCGTATCATTTTTCGTTATCTTAATAATTGTTATTACTAGATGTTGGCTGCGTGTTTCAAATATTGGCCGTAACTTCGATTTAGTATTATCTATTTTACAAATTGCAATGAATTAAGAAAACATAGGTCAAATAGTACGAATTGTATTCTGCACGTCCTTGTGCTTTAATATCGGTTTAACTTATCTTCGTGTTTCTATTAATTTTCATCACAAACATTTTGTTAATAATAATAGTTTCCCATACACTGGAGAACACGTGAATGTGATTTATAGACAAACAATTGTTGAAATCAAGCAATTACTATGAAGGGTTCATCGGTTTTCAAGAAACCAAGTATGAAGGTAAAACATTCAAATTCTCAACTTTATTAATAAGATAAATGGCAATACAAATTTAGCATTTAACCTTTGAAAGGTCAAATTTTTTAAATTGTCAAATTAAAATTATGTTCGAAATTGTTTAGTTAAATTATTTTAAATTGTTATTGTATTTTAATTTAAATTGGTAATAAATGCCTTGCTTATGTATAAGTATTAAAAAAACATAGAATGACAGTAGTAATGCATTTCTCATAATAATTTATAAATAAATAATAATAATTTAAAACAAAATTCTATTTGTTTTATTAATTTTAAAAAAAGTATGAACCCATTTTCAAATATAATACAAGGTGAACTTGTCGTGAACCACTCAATATCTCACTGGGTTTAATAAGAAATTACAATTTTTCTTTAAATAGTGTTTTTATGCAATGCGATCTCAATTTTCCACCATTTTTTTATTGTTTCCCCAACTTAGTTATTTTAATAGCAACTTTTGAAACTTGAATGGTAATACATAAATTTCATTAAATTTTTTAATTGACTGGTCAATAACCAGTTTAAGATAACTATTTTTGAAGTTATTAAAGTTTCAAGTTCAGGGCAGGAGGGGGTGTAGTTATTGCTCTGACAGACAGTTGAGCACTGTATGCGGACATAGCGATGAAAATCACGTCCGGCATAGACCTGGGGGACCCTCGACATGTCCATTACATCAATTAGAAGAACTAAAGCTAGGTGCTGTCAGTTGGAAAAGGTGGAGAGGCTGCCAGGGCAGCAACTAAACTGGAAGAGAAATACGGCAAGCTACTAGGAGGAGAGGCGACAGTCCAAGATTCTGCGATGCCCGTTATTTTGGAATCATCAAAATCGGCTGCCTGGATACAGCAAATTAAGTACTAGCAGTCATATGCCGGAAAGGCATAAAAGAAGAAGAAGTCACTTTGAGGAGGCTCATTCCCTCATATGGCGGTGCCCAAAGAGCCATTTTGACAGTGTCCAAATTGGCGCAGAGGAAATAATGAAGAGAGGCCATGTAAAAGTCATATTCTTATCCTGTAGAGTCCGACTACAAGAACACAAGTTACAGCAATATTTTAAATGCCACGGGTATGGCCATAAAGCGAAAACATGCAATGGACCGGACAAAACTAAGACGTGCGGCAGCGAGAAGCTTTTTGCAAAATACTCAAATTCTGCGCTGCGCAATGTGTACTTTGCGAAGACCTGAACAAGAACGCCAACCACTACTCTGGCAGCGGGAGGTGCGAGGCGTACCAGAAAGTGAGAGTCAAGGAAAAGCCCGGCAGGGTCTGAGACATGAGGTGAAAAAAGAAGGAAGTGCACTCAACACCATATGGCTTGGCAGCATCTGTGATGCGTGCAGAAAATGTGATTGAAGATTAATAGAATTAAGATTAAAATGATTGTGTTTTTTTCATTTGTATATAATTATTATTGATTTCACAATAAACAATGTACGTGGCCCTGAAGTAATACTTAACGGCGAGTTCCGGGGCCGCCTACGGTTCTCATAGTGAAAAAAAAAGGGCAGGAGGAAAGGTGGAGTGTAGTATTATTTTTATCTGCACACATTTTCCAACCGCACTTCCCATCCCATCTTAACTTTTGAACTCTTATAACATAAAATATTATAGTATAAAATAGTTATCCAAAACTGGTTATCGACCAGTCAAAATTGTTAATACATTATCATTTAAAAAGTTAATGAAATGTTTGCGTTAATATTTAAGTTTTAAAAGTTGCTATCAAAATATTAAGTTGGGAGGGGGGTAAAAACAAAAAAAAATTGTGGGAAATTGAGATCACATTGTATAAAAATTGGAAAAAAAATGAAATTCTTAATTAAACCCAGTGAAATATTGAGTAGTTCACAATAAGTTGATGACCCTGTATAAGATAATTTGTTAGCTATTACTCAGAACTATGTTAAGGGCCAATTCTGAATGCTCAGCTGCCTAAAAATCTATGAACATACGTCATGATGTATGTGTAAATATATAATAGTTAATAATTATTATTATTGGAAACCATTTATTAATAAACTATGTTTCATCTATTTCTTATAATCAATAAAATGAATTTACTCTTAATATTTTATAATTTTTTAATTATATATTGATTTGTTTCTTTTAAAACAAAATGTATAAATCTTACCTTACAGGTTTATCTTCGAACGTCTTAGTAAAATGTATTCATTTATCGTATCAATGTAAATGACATAGTTTTGCTTGGATTTCATTTTTAAGAGATCATATGGGAAAACAACTTTACAAATAAAATTATTACAGATAAAAAGTATTGAACTGACTGTTATATGACCTAAGTTTTTCCAACTTAATATCCTATGTATTTTGTTTTATTATACCAATTAACATTACATTTTTATCAGTGCCCCCTATAATTATACTATGACAGTTGATGACTACTACCCACTAACAATCACTTAAAATTAATGTATTTTAAAGTTATCTGATAAATCATTTTAATTTTATACCTTCTATTTTTAATATTTCGTTATCAATTTGTTTATTTTACTACCTTAATAATTTTGATTAAACTTAATTTTTTTTTTTATTAAATGATTTGTTGATTTTTGTTTTACTTAGTTATGGTAAATTACTCTATACATATCATGTATTTTACACAATATCTATAAATTTGTTTTATTTGTATGATATTTTACTTAAAATAATTGCACATTTCCTGTAAACTGTATGTGTGTCTATTATTTACATTCCATGAAACCAGTTATATTATGTTAGTTTTTTAATAACCAACAGCTGAGCACAATTCAGTAACTAATTTTAGAGTGCCTGACTCCTAAAACTTGTCCAAAAATTAGTTTTTTTAAATACTATTATGGATATAATACCATTGTAAAGTTTTAAAGTAATTAACCATTTTTGTAATTGTTTATTTTTAATTTGTTAGGAAAACCACCCTTCTTTTTAGCTACTTAATTTAATATGTATTTGGTATCACTATTTTCAGAAAATTATTTCTCTATTGGAAAGTCGTTTATATTCAAGTGCATCTGAAGCTTCTTTTGAAACTAAGGTTTGTGTTTAATATCTAATGTTATGTATCCAATTACACATTTTCTGATATTATAATTTTTTTTTATTAATAATTTAGCCATTTAAGTTACACAAGTTGGATAGTGGACCGAGCACTAGTGTAACTTTAAATTCTGAGGATGCAGTTAAGTACTATACCCAAATGCAAACTATTCGCCGTATCGAGACAGCTGCTGGTAACCTATACAAGGAAAAAATTGTTCGAGGTTTTTGTCATTTATATTCTGGACAGGTACTTATTTACTATAAGAATACTCAAATGAGGTAGGATAATTATATAACTTGTCGGTTATCATTTGTATTTCTGTTTTATTATATTAGGAAGCATGTGCTGTTGGAATGAAAGCTATGTTCCGAGAGCAAGATTCTATTATCACTGCTTATCGAGCTCACGGGTGGACATATCTTATGGGTATCAAGCCGTTTGGCGTACTAGCAGAATTAACTGGTCGGAAAGGTGGAAATGCACGAGGAAAAGGTGGTTCTATGCACATGTATGCAAAGAATTTTTATGGTGGCAACGGGATCGTTGGAGCTCAGGTAAACATACATTTTTTAAACTAACTATAGTCAATTGTTATCTTTACCTATTATTATATTTCTTTTTATTACAAATAACTTTATTTTCAGGTACCCCTTGGTGCAGGCATTGCATTTGCCGCTAAGTATTCGGGTACAGGTGGTGTGTGTTTTGCTTTATACGGAGATGGAGCTTCTAACCAAGGACAAGTATTTGAAACTTACAACATGGCTAAGTTGTGGAACATTCCTTGTATATTTGTTTGTGAAAACAATGGTTATGGAATGGGAACAAGTGCTGATCGGTCGTCTGCTAGCACTGATTATTACTCACGTGGAGACTATGTACCTGGTATTTGGGTAGATGGCATGGATATATTAGCTGTTCGGGAGGCTTCTCGTTTCGCCATTGACTATTGTACAAGTGGCAAAGGGCCAATAGTATTAGAAACAGCAACTTATCGTTATTCAGGACATTCCATGTCTGACCCGGGAACATCATATAGGACTCGAGATGAAATTCAAGAAGTGCGTCAAACAAGAGATCCAATTACGTCTTTCAAAACAAAAATCCTCGATGCCAACTTAGTTACAGCTGATCAGTTAAAGGTAACAATTTTTTTGTATAGTACCTTTAGGATATTTTGAAGTACTTGAATAATTTGAAAAAGTATATAATTAACGCAAAATATTGATTATGTATGTTTAGGCCATTGATAGTTCAGTAAAAGCTGAAATTGATGACGCTGTGAAAAAAGCTAAAGCTGATACTGAAGTGCCATTGGCTGAATTGGCTGGTGATATTTACTCAGCACCACTGGAAAAATCAATTAGAGGTGTAAGTCCGTTCCAACCTCTAGAACATATTACAGTAGGAAAAGCTGTAAATTTGAATTAACGTTAATTAAAAACAAATTTGTAATTTTACTAAAATGCCTCTATATAAAAGTTATTTTTTATTTGTAATAAATTGTTAAGAGTTGTTTTTGTGTAGAAATTCGGCATTCCTCATGAGCAAACTATAGTCAAAATTTTATATTGTTAAAAGTGTTATATTGTTTTTCAATAATCAACAGATGTTGTAAAAATACAATGATTTGTATTTAAATGTTTTACAATTTAGCAAAAATTAAAATGTATACTCAAGCAATAAAATATTTTATTTGTTTTCGATAATTATTTACATATTTACTATATGATTAGTATTTGTTAGCATAAGCCTAAAAGTTTTATAAGAGGAAACTACTACCATTTATTAAGGAGTAATGAATAGACAACTTTTCACAAAATTGTTAAGATCTTAAACTATAGTATATAATTAATAATACAGTAATAAAGATCCTATTTACTTCAAATTGAGTCAAATTTTTTCTATGCTTTTTAAATATTCAATAACAATCCACTAGTTTTAAGTTTATTGAAAAACACTAAAATAACATGTGTATTATATGGAAAAAAAATTGCTCTGCTTAAAAATGTATAATACTATTTTCCACTATTTTTAACAGAGTTCTTCTATGCAAATTTGGTAGTTCTAAAATAGTCCGATTTTACTGTTAGTCGGTCTAAATTAGTGTAGATAAGATTTTTATGGAAACACATTTTTTATAAATATGGATTTATATGGTTGTTGCATAATGCATTATAGGTATTAGGTTGTTGTTCCGATTCCTTAAATTTTAATGTTGTCTTAATTTGCCCAATAATAAATAGCACATTCCGCTTCTGGGCCATTGCTACTTATTAATTAACAAAATGTAGGTAATATTTGACAAACAACTTGTTTTACTACATTTCTTTGTGTCAACTGTCAACTAATTTTAGAAAAAATTAAATTGGCTTTTTGGTGTAGTTATATTAGTATATATATTTATCTACGCGCCATTTGCGTGGTGTATAATGACGTTACAGGAGAAAGTCGCACGGTTCGTTGAGTGGACCAGCAATTTGTTTTTATATGAAATAGGAAGTCTTGATAATTGACATGGACGCATTGAACTTCGATTTTTGACTACATCAGCATAAACAACAACAAAATATGCACAAATTGATCATACAACTTATTACCTATATTATAGCACCCAGGAATTGAACTTTAAAAAACCAATGTCCACGATCACTTACAACTAACACAAACATCCCGATTGGCACCGATGAGATTATAAATTACCTAAATGTTGGCCCTAAAAAATAACCGCTTCCGGGCTCTTATATTGTTCTTTTTTTGTCAATATAATTTAATACCTGCATTACAATATTATACAGATAATATAGCTTTTCATTTTTTCCTACATTTTATTTTAAAATAAGGTCCCACGTCTATTATTACGAGTGAAAATGACCAATGGCAAAATCTCTCGTTAAATAATAACCGGGTAATCATAAATTATAATATCCTGTAATTTTCCATTCCATAACTTAGGGAAATTCTGTTGAAGAAAAGAGTTCCTTTCTAAGATTGCCAAGAAGTATAAAACACTAAACAGTATACTATTCGATAAGAAATTTAGTCGAAAAACAGTAAAAACCCTGTTGTTTGAAGAGCAGGCGATAAAAATGATTAAATAAAGAAATATTAACGAGAAAAAAAACTCGAAAACTTTCGTGTCGCATACCAAATTAAAAGTAATGGTATATTGGTTTATACAATGAGATTATAACAAATGAAAGGAGCAAGTCGAAAAACAAGATAAGATAAATACGATAAGCATTAAATTATATTTTGATTTATAATGTAATAAAATAATTATTTAGTAATAATTAATTATTATAATGTTATATGTTAACACGCACAATAATGCAATTAGAGAGCAAAAAATATGAAAATACCATTTTAGTTGAAGTCTAGTTAATAATACTTTACATATTATGATGGCACTCTTTTTTTACAATATTGAAAATAAAGAGAAAAAAAAACAGTACAGTGGGGTCGGGGCATAGTGGTGACGGAGAGCCTCTCCGGGAGAGGTCACAGGTCTACAGATTTTATTATAACTGAAAGTGATAAAATTACTTTTAAATAAACGCTTCGGTGCAAATCTGTGGATAGTATGTTCAAACCAGTTATAGCGGTTTAGAAGATATCGTGGGACTAGCAATAATGTACTTAAGATTTAATATTTAGTCTTGTGCAGGGTGGATACGATAAGGGTTGATCTAAAAAAATGTACTGTCATAGTTACCCATACATCTTAAGTAACAATATAATGAAACCATTTGCATTACCTGTTGACTGTTGATTCACTCACACATAGCGACCTGAAAGCTACGGCCAAAGTGTCAATTTACCCTATTTTTGTTGTTTTTCCTTAATAAAAATAAAATTTTCTACAGATTTTTGAGAAAACTGTAAATGTTATAGTTCCATTTTAGATCTTCGGTTTAATTTTCAGATCTAAATCTCTAAAACTTTGTTTGAAAAAGGTAAATAAAGAAAAAAAATTCTATCCCTTCTAGAATCTAGGGGAATGGGTTTATGATATTTTTTTGGTTTGTTAATGTTTATCGATAGTACTATGTTTGAAGAACAATTCATATAAATTTAGAACTTTTTCGACTATTTAAAAAAAAGTTATAGAGCATCGTAATTTTAAGTTGAAAAATTTGTACTTTTTGGGTGTTTTTTTCAATTTTGATAGGGAAGGGTTGACTTTTTTAAATTTGTGGCCTAATAAAGTACCTTCCAGGTATGATTTCTGATCTATAGAGTTGCTACACGAAGAAATCGGTTCAGCGGTTTACGAGATATCGTGGGTCCAGACACAAAAAAAAAAAATAAATAAAAAATAGGAACACATCATTGTAAAAATAATACCTTCTCAGCTCCGCACCGAAGTTAAAATAGCTATACATTTTTAAATTGAGTAATAATAGACGTAATATAATTATGACACATTTCAATAAAAAATAAATCACGGTGTCAATAAGTGTGGAGATTTTTTTTTGACGGATGTACCGTTAATAAGTATAACATTAGTTTAATGTTTATTATTAAGAAATATATGCGTATAACAACGCAATGAGGTCGAGTATAATAAACTTGACACAATAATTAATGTATCCGTATTTTCCTATGACGTTTACAATTACCATTTACAGTTTACATTTAACGTTAGTCATTATATGTAAATTCTCTACACTATAATTATCATCACAATTATTTATAATGGTATGTATATATATATTATATTATGTATCATTGTATATTAAGACATGACCATACCTACCTAAACTAGTTAGTTGTATACGGAGGCTATAGTGCGCTCCCGATAGTAAATTCCGTGAAAACATGGGAGGGAGGTAAAATATAAGCTCTCAAATCACAAAACAATAACAGGTTTCTTGTTACTCTTATTTTGTTAACAGAACTATTAGTTTGCACTTTGCTATAACCTGCTGATCACTAATTCAGTTAGACTACAACTGTGTCTAAGGAATACGTATTGAAATCATGGTAAGTTATACTAGTATAATATGTTATTCTTATTTAGTATATTTTATATTTATTATACATAAACTGTACGTCTAAGTAAAATTTGCTTATACTCAGGAATGAGCAGTATTTCAATAAAAGTATTTTAAAAAACGTTTGATCAAATTAAAAAAAAAATACTGGTAAAATAATATGTTGATTGTTGCGTACTGAATTGTATAATTGTAAGTACTCACTTTTATTTTTAATAATAAACCAACATCTACCTCAACATTTTGCAAGTTAAGAGATGAAAATATGAATATAATTTTACAAAAATATTAAGGTAGTTCTTTATTATCATTTATTATTAACGATAAAACCTAAAATGTGTCTATCACTCGAAAAATGCACAAAAAGAGTCTGATATCTAAATTGTGCTATATATTTTTATAAGTATTTCGAATGATATTAAAAAAAACTGTTGTGTTAATCTAATATGGAAAACCCCACGTTTACTTCGTAAATGGACTATTCAGTTTTACAAAATGTATTTTATTTTTAAATATATTCAAAAAAAGATGTTGTTCCTACTTACTCAAATTTATATTTTGATGCTTGTATTTTAAGTATCTGTAAGCATACAATTAACAGCGTTTTCTACTACAATAATTGCTTTAATATCATAAATTAAGCATTATCCCATCATTGCCTGTATTTTTTTTAGATTTTTTATAGATTATACAAATTTCACGTGTATCTTTTTCATTAAATTTGTAATTTCAAATTGTTATGTAGTATTATATTGTACTGTAATATAAGTTATAATGTATTTAAAATTAAAAAAATAATTCATCTAAGTTAATTTTCTATTGAAAGCAATGATAATAAAGCATGAAATAAGTATTTTTGATAGGTACACATACGTGGACAAACCCAATATTAATTACAAACATTTTATCAGTGTTTCTTTTATATTAGGGGTTCGCCCGTCGTTGGGGGTACTTCATAAATCCGGGTAGGTCACAGGTTGTGAAGTACTGTAACTGGCTACGCCGGCCACGCTTACGGCCCTCCCTGTCGAGTGCTGCGCAGTTCGGCGAGTGATTCTGGCGACAGTGGTAGCAAACGAGTACCTATACATCTTCGCCAGTGTTATAAATGTTGTTTTATAATCATTTTTTTTTTTTGCTCCTATGCGGGCCCCTGACCTACGGGCAACGGCAGCACGGCTCTTGTGGGGCCCTGAATAAGATAGTACGTAACATAACAAATGTAGATTGCGTTAGAAAAAATTTAGTTAAATATTATTAATAAAATAATCATTATTTTATTTGTTGAATAATAAAATAAATAAATGAATAAGTACTGTTATATTTTAATGTTTTTAAAAGCTTAGTCGTTTTTACAGTATTTTTTGTTGACAAATATTATATAAACTATTTCACGCAGATTTGATTTATTATAATAATTTAGATTCGATTGATAATATTGTTAGTGAAAATAATTTCGTTTGTCTTATTGTATCTTGACCGTTTTTTAAAAAAAAACCTTCTATTTCGCAAGTCATTAAAAAAAATTCTTAATATAAGCGGAATACAATGGAAAACATTTGGAAAACTTATTAGCTACTTGCCCCACTGTAAATAATACATTTTTTTTTTTGAGACTTGGGCTCAGCTAACGTCCTAGGTCTCTGGCATTATGCCTATAGTGCCTAATGATTAATCTGGCCCTTAAAGAGAAAAATGTTTAAAGCAGAAAGAAATGTCCAGTTAATAGTAGATTAAAATGCCGAGTGTCTGGTATTGTTGATTAATAGCAGCTGGAGTAAGAAATGGTTAAAAAGTGTTCTATACATAAAAACAAACTGTATAGAAATAACATTTACAATGGTTATTTAATGTATAATTTTACTTTATCTTATATAAATAGACTGTTAATAGGATTTAAATTAGCTTTAGGGTATACTTTTTAATTACCAATATAGTTAAACTGATGAATAACTTGTATAAATATTTTAAACGTAAGTACCACACAATAAACATCATTTTAAGCACTTTATTTTGTATTGTTGTTTAATTTTTCTATAACATTTTTTAAAATTAATTTCGCGTTATCGGTATTTAATTTTAAAAAATGGTTAATATTGAGTATAAGGAAATGTTAATAAAAATCTGAGATACAAATGTAAAATGGGTTACGATTTGGCGTGGGATATTTACCTAAGGCTCATATAATTTATATTTTTTTTTTGGATAGGAAAGAGCTAAAATCCCCTAAGTCTCTCTCTATGATTTATCATAGTACCGATGATTTTATGATTAATTAGTTTAGAACATTAGTAATAAAATGTATAAACCATTTTTAACGGAAGAGAAATTATTTCTAAAATATATTCAAATTATATACGTTTCTCTTTAAAGTTCAAATAAAATAAAATAAAATGTTTGTATTGTTGATGTTAAAATAGTTACAATTATTTTTTTTGTTCAAAAATATTTAAAGTCCGCTAATTGATTAAGCTTGATAATTTTCAATGTGTTGTTGTTTTTAAATATACAATAGATATCTTTATATATATTGCATAGCAGTTTTTATTTTCATTAGATAACTTAGTATATTATACAATTAATACGCAATAACGTGACTAATAGACATTATTATATTGTTTGCCGGTAAGCCATATAAATAGACCAGGCACAGTCAGTTTGGGGTGGGAGGAAAGGCAAAAAAATGCAACTGTTGTAAGTACTAATAAAACATTATAGATACACAATATACATTTAGTTGTATAAAGTACGAATTATGGGAAAATACACAACATGCAAACCGCGATTATTGTAAAGACGAGAAGTTTTTGTTTTAGACATTTTTAATGTTAGTCTGTTAGTTTATAAGTCATCAAAATGTACGTTTACCTGTGGTGTCCTTAGGAATATCATGTGCTAAAAATGTACATTAGATATATGTATATTACCTACATTATATTATATATATTAAACGTACACATTTAATAATGGTTTCCATACGGTAATTTATTATGTATCTAAGTGTTATAAAAATATTTTTTTCTGTTCTCAGGCAAAGTTACATTCAACAGTAGTTTTTGCAGCATTGATGATGTGTGTAAATGCTCAAAGACCTTTTTATGCTTCAGGAAATTCGTATCCTAGCGTACTACCCCAAAACCAACCGAACAATTCAGATTTGAACAACAGGTTTGGAGAGAGTTCCACCACAGAAAGTTACAAACAAGATATAGTTCCTGGATACAACGTGGATAGAGAACTGGTGGACAGGATAAAAAATGAATATCCTACAGACAAACAGCCTTTTTGGTATGTGAACGCAGCATATTTGAACAGCTCGAGGTATCCGCAACAACCTTTACCAGCACAATCACCTTCAACTGGACAAGTGTCAGTTGCACAAACTATACCTTCACGAACGCAATCATTTCAAACATTGTCGACACAGTCGTTATCGTTACAACAACAACAAACTTTACTAGAAAGGTTACGTCAACAAGAAATGCTTATAGAACAACAACGTCAATTGATTTTGCTCCAACAACAGAATACAAGAAACCCGAACTCCCAATCTTCGTTTCGAAAAATTCGATCATGAGCTCATTGATTTACGAAATTACATCAATCTTACACTATAATATATTAATTACTTATGTTTTAAAACTAATACCTATTTATTTTACAATTTTTTTATTGCGTAACATAAATTGTATAATGTTATTTTACTTATAAAAGTAAATTTTGCACGTCATGTATTATAATATTGACAACATGTTCGTACTTATTCTTACTTACATGTAATAATTGTTTTTAGTGAACTAAGAGTTTATTATAATATTTCGGAATAATTTATTAATTAAAAAATATCGAGCTAAGTACCGTTTTGACTTCAATGGTACTCGACGTGATTTCAAACTAAATACAAAGTATACAAATTTCAGAGCTCTGTAGAGTTATATTATTGGATGACCACATCATTAAGCTAAGCAAATTGAAACTTTGGTAAGATCTTACAAACCTAATCATTATTTACTAAATTATGTAATAAGTTAGTTCTAAAAATACATTAAATCAATTGCCAAATCACTATTTCCAGCGCGGCTAATTCTAACTTATATTTTAGTTTTTTAATTTTATTGGAATATTGCATACACAATAATTAATTTATTTCTACAATTATTTGAAAAATTAGAATAGGAAAATAAAGATAGGTTAGAACATAATATAATAGAAATACAACAATAGGTACTTAAATATAAATAAACATAAGTTGAAAAGCCATCCTCAGTAATAAAGGAAATAGTGAGTAGGATAGAAGGTTCGGAATTGGAATTAAGGATACAATACAGAGTAAAAGGAATGGATAAGGCTCATAGAAAACTTAAGTAATCACGTTTGGAAGACAAGGAAGGACAGTCAAAAAGGATATGAGGAAGATCGAAAATACTCTCCTACATCATTCTAGTTTGGAGTGTACAAAGAGTGAAGTTGCTTAGATCTAATTTATAAGCGTGAGATGGTAATAGGGAATGACCGATGCGTAAACGATTATTACAAACGACCACAGACCTAGATAAATTCAAATTTTTAATCTAGATTTTATTGAGGATTTTGGGGACTAACTTCAAATTTGGAAGCAAAGTTTGCAGGTAGATTACTCCAATAAGCGGACCAAAGGTAGAAAATGTGACGTCGTAGGATTGGTATGAAATCAGACCAAAGGCTAATGTGACCTAGTTGTCGAAGCCATATTTAAATTAAAAAAAAAAAAATCAGACCAAGGAATGAACCCTTTTGTTCCAATGCATATTACAATGTACACACATTAAAAAAAAAAATGTTTTGTGATAATATTTACACATGTGATAATGGTTTAAGTTAATATAAAAATATCAAGTAATTAGGAAATTATAAATGTTGTATTAAATCATTAATCATCCATATTATATTCTTTAATTTATCTGTAACGACACCGGTGGCATCGGTGTTGTCCTTTTTATATCCTAAAATCTCTGATGGCATCTAAGATGCCTTAATCATTCACCTTGTTTCCGAGTTTGTTCAATTTTTCACTAAGCCATTCAATTAGAGTTTAGACTTACCCGACTAGATGTGTTTGTTATCTCATTAATAACATTTTAACATTATAAGTTCATTATAACACTGAAAAAAAAAACTAATTTCTCTTAACAATTCTTGTTTTTGCGTACTGTGTGCAGTTATATTTATTTTATTTTATATATATATATATATTATTATATTATTAACTTTGTTGAACCCATTCGTCCCAATACACATTTGAATGTTCATACTCATTTCACCTTTGAAGCCTGATACACATTGTGATGTGTATGAGGCTACTACCTAATTCTCCCGATTCACATCGTAATGTGCATTGCAATATCTGTGGTTCAAGTTTTAAGAATCATAAAAAAAATGGCACTCAGCCTATTTGAACAGTAGTATGAAAGATGGTAAGTATTAGAAAAGAATATGTTTTCTAAATTTAATTTGGAACCGAAAGGGTTAAGGTAGAAGAAAGGATTTTATAAATATAGGAATTTATAATTAAATAGGAATTTTAAAAAGTGATGGTAGGTTAGTTAACTATTAACTTTCATTAATTCATTCAATCCAGGTTATCATTTATTCCTACTATTTAATTATATATTTTACTACTAAAAATTATCATAAATTGAAAACTACCATAGGGTCAATATATAGTATATATCTAGTACGTTTTATCGTTTAATATTTAATATAAGTGAATAGTTTATAATAAAATAATTTTGATAGTCAAAGCTAGACCAAAGGTTTTTACAACTATATATTTAATATAATATATTGTTGTTGTAACATAAAATTATGTTTGGTCTGTAAAGCTTTTAAATAACAGTTAATAATAATAATTATTACAAAAATATTTGATTAACAAGAACAAGTGTTTTTAATTTTTATAGCCAAACAAAAAGTGGAATAATTACTCACTGTATTACAGCTTGGATAATTATGTTTGTTAATAATATTGAATAGGTACTTTATTAATCATTACATTTTTAACCTTTTTTTTGTTCCCAAAAGTTGTATTTTGTAGAATTTTTCAGTAAACCAAATGTTTTTTTATAATTATTATAAACTAATCGGATAAATTATTAACAAATTTATTATATAAATTATGTCTTTTCGAAAAAAATACTCAATCGTTTAACTCATAAATAAATGAATACATAATCACCGTTCTTTATTAAGTTTTTATTTTTTTAACAATTTTTTCAATAATATTATAGTATAATCAATATTATATGTGCGAAACAAAAAAAAAAAAAACGTTTTGTACAACTATATGATTTTACAATCAAACAGTTGTATTAATCTTGAAACCATTAAATATATTTTACTATATTAAAATTATAATAATATATTAATGGATAAATTAATACATTTTCTTTGTAAATATACATAAAACTATACAATTATATTAAATAACAACGCGAAGAACAAACAAATAGTATATTACAAACAACTAAAGATAATTAAACAAAATACTGTAACTAAATTTCTGTTTAAAAAAATGTACACCCAAATTAAGTTTGAGTTCGGTTGTCTAAAGAGTAAATATAGTGAAGTGTACTAAATTTTACATATTGATAGCAATGTAATACTAAAAACGTTGCTATGTTAATAATAAGTACTAATCAATAATCAATAAAATGAAATAAGAAATCGCTAAACTCATTTCACAATATATTATAAGCTCTATTGTAATCAGATATATGTACCTAATCTCAATTTAGTAAATTATAACACTAACGATTACCTATAGAATATATTTATACTATAGATAATTATAATCAATGATTATATTTATCAACTAGTTCAAATAATATTTTAATTTAATTAATTGGAATAACAACAACAAGAAAGATAAAAATAACGTTAGTACAATGTATCTTATCATTAGATATTATTACAAATAACATACAAATATTGTTATTTTTATTTAGTACGTACAGTACTAGTGGTAAGGTCCACAATAGTTTTCGATAAATATTTTATGTAACTTACATGTAAGTATTTTTAAGAGATATTATTTCCAATATATAATATAATATAGTAAATATTTTAAACGTATGTCTATTAACTAAGTTTAAAATGACTAGGCAATTTTGACAAAAAAAAAATGTGAATACGCTGTTGAAGATAAGTGAACGTTTTATTTATTAATATTATAATGATACAAGATTAGTGTAATGTAAGTTGTCAATTAAGTAGTTTTTAAATAGACTATTTAAATTAAAAAAATGTAATTTAATGCAAAAAATTCACCATTAAATTTACAACAATTTAAATCATTGTTAATAATATTCTTAATTTATATAGTAGATACATAATAAAGAGCTTAAATTATTAAACAAATTGATATGTTTTATTTCGTTAAATAATGAAGTCTTAGCTTTAAGTGAATTACAGCAATGATATGTTTTTGTTCCAATAATACTAAAAACATTGATATGCTTAGTTTCATTTAACTTAAAAATGTTCTACAATGCTCACCTCTAAAATATACATTCTAGTATTTTAAAATGATACATAATTAGATAATACGATCGAATATATAATATGAATGAAATATGCATGTATTAAAATCCGGAAGATCCAACATTAATTGAATTTGTGATATTCATAATTGCAGTCATACTAGAGATTAAACCTAAATAGGTGTTATATTTTCTTTTAAATTTAACACTTCTTTTATTAAATTGATGGTTGATTTATATATTATGATATTAATATGTCAGCCAAGAATAATACATGTTAATACAATATAACAGGAAAAACAATTCACAATTTAACATAATATAATAACAAATGACTAGAATTTGGACTAGAATACATTGCAGTAAATAAACAACAATACGTACTTATAACGAATGCAATTTAACAAAAAGTGAGGTAACTTTAAATTTCAAAGTGTAACTTGTTTTATCACTCAAAGATATGTGTATGGTACTATTATTTATAGTATTCTATTCTAATGAACAACATTTTATGTTTAATACGACATTTCGATATGTACGAGTTTCTAATTTCTTTTAGTGTATGTCAATTTTTGCATTATCGACAGACTCTGTTCTAAGGCCGCTGTATATGCACTATTGTTGGTAATTTTGGCCGATTTAAATGAAGAGATACAAAATACAATGCTGTTGTTTTGAGGATTGTAGGAGACGCCATATCCATCCGGCACCACCGGACCGTAGCCCATGAAGCTATCGGTCGAAGTTAGTAACTAAAAATAAAACAATAGAACTAAGAATACTAATAATTTAGGTGCTTGCTTGGTTTTGAATTAGGTTGCAACATGTACATAAAATATTAAAACATAAAAATTAGTAAATAGAAAATATGAATTCTATTTATTTTAATATAAAACACTGTAATATTTCAAATTGCTCAGTTAAACTGTGAAAGTTATTAAAAAGTACTGACTTGACTTGTAGATAATGCAAAACTATTTGCTATTCTGTATGAATCGTCTTCGAATAAAGTACATGACAAAGCATTTTCTCTAGCCGCTTGTCTCAGACCCAATAAGTGTACGTCTATACCCATTCCAAGAATATTGTCAATCATAATATCAGTTTGTTTTTTTACAGCCGTTTCAAACAGTTGCATTTTCTCATGCTAGAATTTAAAAAAATGAAACTTAATTATATTAAGCTCCAATTTCATGTTCCATCCGGGTTTTTGAGAAAATGTTTACATCAAAAGGTAAATACATACTTATAGATAGTTAAGAAAATGTTTTTTGTTATGTGTATTGCAAATAAGTTCTCTATCACTCTCTCCGACCAACATAGGTCTTATATTTATTATTGCGGTAAATCAATGCATTAACCAATTCTATTTTTCTTTGATCTGCTAACTATTACTCATGATTTTCTAAGAGACACTATTTAAACCATAGTTAAAATACAAGTGCGGGTATTTACATTTTAAATAATTAAATCATTTTTCATAAATTATAATCACTTAGTTTTAAAAACTAATTTCGTTATATTATTAACTTTGGTTGGTCATTGCAGTTATAATAATTCAACGTTCCATAAGAAAACTTGCACACTTTATAATTTTCTTTGCTAACATAAAACCACACTTTAACTTAATTTAACAGAGAGTTGAAATTTGGGATTTCGTTTGGCAATGATACACGCTAGTTCTCAACTTGCAACATACAACTTTTCAACTTTATAAAATGTTCAAGTTTTTGAACATTTTATAAACAAATTGGTTGCAGCGTGTAATTTAAATATGTGTATAATGTATTTATTATATTTAATTACTTCTGTCACTGTGTAATATATCTTCTTTGTACCCAATATGCCACTTTCTGTAACCGCTGATTGGTTCATAGCTTTAGCCCATTCCAACGCTTCTACAGTTGCTGCTCGAATGTTATCTACTCTTCCAAGTCTAAAACGTCGAGTGGAAGCACTTTCATATGTAGCCACTAACTTTCCGTGTAACCTTAATCAAATTGTTATTAATTTAAATAAATATATTCAGTGTCATAAATTAGCTGTTTTTTCATAAACACCTAAATATTTATTTTGTTAAACAATTTAAATCTTAACTTTATCATTTATGTTGAAGTTGGCCGTATAAATAAAATTTAGCAGTGTAAAAATAAGTATAATGTAATACCTATATTTTGCTATAAAGAAAATAATTGATATTATATTATAATTATACTAATAATTAAATAATCTAGTACACTAATGCTGAGTTGCATAAACGTTTCTGGGCTCAATAAAACATTTGAGCGACGTGATTGGTTCAAACACGGTTATGGAACTAAAGAAATTTTGTATAACTAATCATAATATTATTTAATGACTCTTTTTTAATAGATTTAAAAGCCATAATATAAATTTGACTTACTTATGATAAGCTAGTTGCATAGCTAATTGAATATAAACATCGGGACTGACTTTGCAAGATTTGATGAATTCTTTGCCGTATTGAGTGAAACGGAAAACATGACAGTCCAAATCTTTAACTAATCTAAATTGACCAAAAAAATTGTATATTAGTTTTTTTTTAATAGTCTATTTAATTTTTTTTTTAACGTTTTCAGTATAGTTGTTTTAATTCAAAATGGCCTTGCAGACTATTAAGGGCATGGAGTTGTTAAAATATACATTTCAGTACCCAAGTAAAAGAAACAACCTATGAAATATCCAGATAATATTTGAATATAGTAGTTTTGATGAGTTATTAAATAAATAATAATTGAGGAAAGTATAAGCTTATAAAATATACGTTAAGTAAAACTGTTGCCCATTACTGCGGTACACGGGTACCTCTCTCTTCTTTTAAAAATATTCTGATAGGTTAAGGTTAAGCTTGAACACGAGACACGACTAAGCTCTAAGCTGTGTGTAATGCCACATCAGAGTGTCCAAACATTTCTTACCGATCTAATACGGAAGAAGCGTCTGCAATATGTTTGATAAGTTCGTTATTGACACTCCATATTAGTTTTTCAGGTTTTTCTACAGAAGCTACTGGATCAATCGTCTGTTTATCCAAGTCTTTGGTGCTCTTAATCAATTTTTCCATTAATTCAATGACCGCAATACCTTCGGACGGAGAATGTTCATAGCACAATCCATTGGCGCCGTCTTTACCTATAATCAACTTTAATCGACAATATTATGATCTGTTAGCAAAAGAAAGCTATGGGTTCTAGAAAAATTTAAATAATAACGCATACTGATTAAACGTCTTACTTGTATTGTCTTGTCAAACCAACGATTTCCTGAACAATATTCGCTACCTCCGCCGTGCAGCATTTGGTGCATCATGTTCGTCTCATCTCTATCGTTGGATAACCTGTAACCTTTAGCTCCGACCTTACATTTTGAGTTGAATTCGAGGCCGGGCGATTCCAAATCGAAGTTTATAAAGAATAAACATCTCTCGATCAACGCCAAATTATTGCGGTTTGAAGCGCTTTTTGACAGCAACTCTCTGCTATGAGCCCAATCGTCCCGTTTTTGTGATGTTAAAACACCTATGGGATACACACCTGCCGTATTAGTTGGTTTCTTAGCATCCAAAATAATATTCAGCATTTTTGTAGCAATTTGTTCTTCGGTCAATGGCGTAGCATCCTCGCCAGATGTCAAGCGCAGTACGTAAAACTGCATTAGGGTTGAATGCATTTATATTAGAATCATAATAACTTAGATCGTTGCATTAAATGAAATATTCTACCTGAGATTTGCAAGCGATTATTATATGTGGACGGGATAGCGTGAGGTCAGATTCGACATTAATGAGATTGTCTTTAACGAGTCCAGGTTCTCTGTATGATGTCATAAGTCTATAGTACTGTGCCATGCAGAAAGGTTGTCCTTTCTCCCTGGCAGTGGCTTTTTCTACAGGCAATGCTCGCCTATAGATAAATAAATATTTTTTTCAAAATAAATATACAATATTTTCCACGATAGACAATCGCTTACTTGTCTAGTATTCGTTTGAAGTTCATCATTTCGGTAACGAATTTGGCAGAAAACTTAGCCATTTGAGTTTCAGTTGACAAATTTGGCAGTGGAGGAAATACCATACCCGGATTAGAGTTAACAGGCAAACACGCTTGATTACATAGATACATGTCATGGAGCCACCAATCATACGCCTACAAAACAAAAATTAATTAGTGTACATGATTTCAAGCTGAGCAAGTTTTATAATAATATGATTTTTAAATATTTTAGTGTTATAAATATATCGATTATTATATTTGCAAATTATATTCATTATCATCAGTTACAGCTTAAAAATAGTAGATTCTTTCCCTTATAATAAAGACATTGGATCATGAGCATATAATTTGGTACCTTCGGTTTTTGACTCAACTCATATGTTAATGCCAAAATCTTAAATTAATTATTTTATTTTTTAGATTTTCAAGATTAACAATGAAATGAAAGCGTTACCATTTATGTTTCAAAAGTTGCTAATAAAAAAACCAAGTTGGGGGGGGGGGGTAAAACAAAACAAAATATGAACACAATATGAAAAAAAACATTTTAATTTCTTATTAAACTCTATGAGTTATTGAGTGGCCCATGATAAAAGAATTACCCTGTATTTAGATTAGTTTTAATTATGTTTATCCTGTACAATCTGCATACTTCTTTATATTTCTTAGCTTATACTTTAATATCTAATTATTTATATGGCATTTCATAGATAAATGGAAAACGCCCTTAATTATGTCTCGAGTAAACATAGTTCTATGTGGGTATTATATTATTATTTATCGTCGAAACCAAAGTATTATAGTTTATACATACAATACAAAATTATCATAATTGTTTGATCGTATTCTCCAAAGACCAAGTGCGCTGCGATAACCGCATAGAAACTGTTATTTATTTTTTGAACGAGTGGAAAAGAGTAAGTTGGTCCAGTATAATTTTTAGAAAAACTCGAGATAGTCAATTTAAATAATGGAGGGGGACTGAGGCGAACCTAGTATAGTGGCATACTTGCGGAAGGCTGTGAGTGTAAGTGGGGTACCCACCGGCAGCGGGGCAAACGCTATTCGGTCATTGGCAGCCCCGGCGAGACTGCGTGCCTCTAGCTCGAGGGAGGATACACCCTTACTTACATCGTTTATGCCACATACATATATATATATCCGTACATCCTAACCACGAAAAAAGAAACCCGAAAATAAAAGCTCCGTAATACTCATGATACAAATTGCGTGGTAAACCTCGGTAATCTTTATTCATGGCCGGTCGTCGCCGAGTCAAACGCAATGTGAATTATTCAAAACCAAATACATCGGAGAACTTCTTTTTTCTACTTTTACTCATGTGTAATTTGTTTGGATCCAAAACAGAATTGAGGATACACAAAAAAAAGTCCGTTTATCGCAGATAAAACACACACGATGACTTGTGGCCATATTATTAAACTTACTATTTTGGAAGTTGACGTTTTACAAATGTTATCTACGAACTTCCAAATAACCGACTACTGCATAGTAGTTTAACGCCATATTGATGATTTTTTTAGGATTCTCTCAAAGTGCTGAATGAGCGTTTATTAAGAGCGTGCAACGTACCCGCGTATCTCAATCTATTGCTTGTCGAGAGAACAAGTCTGAAGTCTGAGGATATACAAAACAAATCGTGACTTATCACTGCCGAAGCTTATATTATAAGGGGGTAAATGAAGAGGATCATAAAACAACTGTAGTTTTATTGTAAAAATATCGAGTATAGTTTTTGAATATTGCTGCGTTCAAATAATGTTTCAAAACAATATTGTTATTTTTTAAAACATAGTATAAACTAGAACTTATTCATGCTTATGCTTTCTTTGAAATAAGCCATACTTTTTAGAAGTCAGTGGAACCATATTTTGAGTTAAAAATAATATGAAAAGCATTTTCTGGTGACGTTATTGTTAAAACGTTTTATAGGACAGATAATATAAAAATTAGGTATGGATCTCTTAAATTCGAGTTGTATAGATTTTTTTTAAACACATTTGTTGTATGTAATATTTTTAGTTAGACCCTTTTTAGTGCTGCATTTTTTCGAGACTTAAAAACAGTATCGTGATTTTTTTTTTTTGTAAATTCGGATGTTGAAACTCCATTTATATTTAAAATACCAATTTCGGATAAAATTCAAAGTTGTAACCATTTTTATAGTTGCATACACCAAAATTGTTTTTTTCTTTATGAACGATCTTATTATCATTTCTGGTTTATGTTGGGTTAAATTTATTATATGAACAATTTTGCATTGTAAACAATATTTGATAAAACCTAAATCTATATTGATCTAGTTAAAATTTGGCTCTCGTAATCTTTTTATAATGACTTGTTTGACTAGCTTTTTCTATTTAGTATTTTTTTAAATAATAACATATATACTGCACTGTATTGGTGATATCAATACGTGTATATCAAATACACTGTATATAGTATAACATATATTATACTAAAATTATAATGCTTTTTAAATTTTACTTAAATAAATGATAAAAAAAACTTTTTATCTCGTTTCCAACATTTTTCACAGCTACATGAACTACGCTTTACTTAAATTTTGATGTATTATTACAAGATTTTTTCAGTATATGTCAGTCACAACAAAGGGTCGTCGTAACCTTACGATGATTTATGAACAATAAGCGGTTAGGGGGTGATATACTGTAACATTTTCTTTTCCCTTGAGTATAGCCTCAACTTTCAAAATTCGGGTTTCAAATTTTGAAGAAACGCTGGTAGTAAAATAATACATCTAAAATTATAAAAATAAAAAAAATGTCAATGTTTATAAAATATGAAAATGGTTAATGGTATAACAAAATAAAACTAATATTAGAGAGTGAAGATTGATAATGAAATTGTATTATTTTGTATAATAATGGTAACATAAATATATAACATGTATCTCGCTAAGCTTAATGTATTTATACCAAATGTATTTTTTTTAAATAGTTTTGGTGATGGTCATCCAAATAGGTACTAATGTGCATATAAAACATAAAAACAGAAAGTAAGATTGCTTTATCTTATTATCGTCTTACAATTCAAAGATACCTATTGATTTATAGTTCTTTATAAAGGTAGTAATGGTACCACTTTCAAACAAACATTTTTATTATCAGTTTTTAATTATTTGTGGATACTATAGCTGTCATCTTATTTAATATGTTTTTAGGTCATATTTAAAAAATGTTGAATGTTTTAATTGTTACTTAAGTATTAAGCCTCAATAAAGTCTTATGCAGCTGCTAGCATATAGTAAGTAGTCTGTCCAAAATATGAACGCCAACTGATGCAATAATTGTTTTATTTTAGAAAAACTATAATACATATAATATATTTTATCTCCATTTAAAATAATCCTCATTTGTTGTAAACCACTTGTTCCAATCTCCATTTTTATTGCTCAACCTATTCCTCGAATTCGTGAGAAGTTTGGTTCTTCGCCTGTCTCGTCGATTCGCGTTTGATGATGTCCACCTCGATTCAGTGCCGCCCCCCGCATGACTATTTCAGGATATAAAAAAAAGTTACAGGTGTGATATGGGGGTCCTCATTGTGATGGAATTAGGGCAAGAAACTAAAAAAAAAAAGCAAAACTAAATGTGTAGGTTGTATTGTCATGATAGATGGTCCAACCCTCGCAAATATGCAAAATCACAATGCGAGGGTGGCTCTGGGACCACGAGGTAGCAGAAGAACTCAGGACTTCGAGGGATGTTTTGAGCAATGAAACTAATGAGTACTGTTATGTTTGTATACTTAGCATAAATATTTATTATTATTATATAAACTTATAGAAAATAAATTATTAACTATAAATTATAAGAAGCATAAGCTATTTTAAAGTGGCTGAATAAATAAAATATTTGTTTTAAGAAATATGAAATACAGAATACCTGGTAGTTGCTCATGCGATAACATTGATAATATTTTGTATGATCTGATTGGTCTTCAATATTTCTATGCTGTTGAATGGGGGGGGGGGATAAGACGGGTTATGTTATGGGATTGAAAACGGGTGGGTTTTAACCCTTCACTGCATAATGTTCCATATATGGAACAATTGTATTAATTGTTTATATCTGCTCATGCTATACATCTTTGTACGCACAATGTTCCATAATGTTCCAAATTCTTTAATTAGCGTTTTCCATGAAACCAAAACTCAAAAAAAATGTATTTTAAATTTTTTAAGTAGTACTAAGTACACTTATAGCATATGGTTAAAAAAAATTTCATGCAGTGAAGGGTTAAGTAGTTTTATATAGGCAATATTTAAGAAAATAGGAGTTTTGATTAATAGGAAGCTGATTTTCATTAAAAAATTCAGTTTCTTGTAATTAAATTAATTAAATTAGTAAATGTTTTAATATCAAAAATACATTTTTTTACAAAAAAAAAAAATCAAAAATCCATTTCCAACGTAACTTAGTAAGGTAGCCAAAAAATTCATATATTTTTAAGAATTAAAACCAGACCATTTATCATCAGGCGGCTTTTTGGTCTAAAACGTCGTAAAGTAGACCGCTTACAATTACCTTAATGAAAACCGTGTACTCGACAGCGCCATTTCTTAAACTATTACTCTTTTTGTTATTTACACGAATCTAGAAGCTAGTAACAAGCTACCATGATAGGGATAAAACAATAACTTTAGTCGCGTGAAAAAGGTTTTATTCAAGACGACACTAGCTTTTTAACTTTTTTTTCTGTGTGAATTCACGATAATTTTTTTTTTCTGTGGACCGATTTTTACTACTTAAATTTCAACTGTGCTTGGTTTATATTTTATATTATCTAGTCTATTGTATCCATATATACAATTTATACTGTACTTAGCTAAAAGTTAATGCCTATAATATCAACAAACGACATAAGCTAATGATTTTCCTTTTATGGGTATGCTAGGTATCTAACTTAACCAAACTTGCTTTTACACTAGTACTCTAATCTCCTTTCACGGATGTCTGTTATAAGAACAAACGGTTACTTATTTCCAATGATTTTACTTACAAAAAAAAAAGAAAATTAAAAAAACTAGAGTATCGGCTGTATCGGGATTATCGGTAATTTATAAATTAGCTTACAATTTCGATTAAATTATTTTTTCCAATTCTTTGGTAGTTATTTCGGAGATCAACCTATTATGTTATGTTAAGTTAGGTTAGGGCTAATCTTAAATCTTACACTTGTAATCATAGCCATGTATTTCAAAGTTGAAGTTAAAATATTGTACCTACTGATATGATCGGACTAGAGGAAAAAAGGTACTTAAAGAGAAAAAAAAATTGTTTTTTTTATGTGAAATTTAGAATATTAAATAATTTATATCATTATAAGAGTAAAAGTATGACAAATTTTTATGTTAACCTAATTTATGCGGCTTAAGCTCCCAACCCCATTTAATTCTTGAAATCAAACTTTCCGCCTTTAGTCGTGTTTAACCAATCAACGTTAGCACGTGAATAAAATTTCCGCTTATCTCGTTTTTAGAAGGGTTCCGGGTCCTTTGGGAAAACTTATCATAGAACCAGACTCGTCACGTTTTCGACTAATTGGATTTGCTCGCGGCACCGAATATCCCTCTCCCCAATTCGTGTATAGTAACTCTGAACATTCGTTACTTCATTTGTTGGCGTGAGCTGAATTATTATTGTGCTTTGATATAGTAAAATGTTTTATATTTTTTCCGGAAATCAACCCTCTGGGATTAGACAAACAAAAATAGCCCCAGTTTAATAAAATATATGAACGCTTATGCATTCAGGTTTTGTTTATAGAACATACTTACCCAATTGTCATATTCTTCTCTGCGTTCAATCAATATCTCTTGTAAAATCGGTCCAGGGCCACTCGTAAATTCTGACACGAGCTTTCGTACGTTTTCTTGTTGTTTTTCATTTAGTATTGGCTTTAAAGTTTCTAAATATAGCTTCATGGTGCGTTCCAGTAACGGAACTGGCAATTTCGGTAACTTAACCTGTAAAACAATAAGAAAATGTTAAAATAAGAAAATCCCAGTTCAACAAATTTCATTAGTATTTGCTCGTTTTTGTTTGTGTTGTGGCGAAATCTTTCGTTAATATTTTATCTTATGGTAATCAATAAAACTATTAACTATATGCATTATCTATTATTCAAACTGATATTCAATAAGATGTTTGATATTATAAACTCAGTGGTGTGACTATTCAGTTAAATGAAGAATCGTTAATTAGTTAATAACTAATTACACGTGAAGATATGTCTATAAAAAAATCTAGAATAATATAATATTTAACAAATTAGAATACTAATATTTTTATAATTATTATTACGATGCAAGTTTTTACAAATTTAGATCCTCACATTTAACGTTAACTAATGTACATAGTATAGGTACGTGAAATAAAGCTGACAATAAGGGTATACTGAAAAAGGAAAGCCCATCTTAGTAGGAACGGTAGACTCTAAAAAAAGTACGATATCATGATCAAAATATGTTTTTACTAAACTGAAAGTAAATTGCAGTTGTTTTCTTTGCTTTATTGAAACTGGGGGGTGTTTCTGAAAATGTGTTTTACTGCAGTATATGCTGTTCGTATTTCGGCATAGTCTGCGGTAAGCTGTTATAGAATTTGGTTTTCAGGGTCGTTGAAGGATGAGGTAAGTTTAGTTTTCCAGTCATTTTTGTTTTTTTTCGCCGGGAGTGTTTTCGTTTAATCATAAAACTCCCCGGGGTCGATTTTCCGCCTCTGCATTCTAATAGAGAACACATGGTGGTGAATCCCACGGTAGCAAACAAAAAGAGCCTTTGCCAAACAAAGAGTGATCCATACCCCTAAAATAAATTCCATTAATTTTGATTACAAGTACAGCAAACTCAGGTAAATGTTAGTAGTGACGTCATAAATCACCGATTCTCGAACACCGCGGAAGAGAGTAAATTGCATTAGGGTAATAATTCACACTACGTATCGAGGTTTCTCGTCGGGGAAACATAAATTCGCATTAAAACTTTTAATTGACATAATTATAAGATGACATAATTGTCAAATACTTTAACATAAATAGATCACAATATGCAGTGTAGTATGGTTGTCAATGTAAATTTATAAAAAAGGACAAACAAAAAATCCTTTTTTTTTTTGCCTTAAAATCTGGTTAATGATGATCGTGTGCAGTGTAAATAAACATCCGTGAACTAGACATTTACGCTTTCACACGCTACTGGTGTGTAGCAAAAAACAAATAATTTGCAAATATGAACGAAATACCGATAGAATCGGTTAATCGGTCAGTTAGGAAAAATGATTGAACGAATATTCTAGTAACGGTTAGTAGCGTAAAATTGTGTGCGGCTCAAAAAGCAAACGCAGCGCAAACTGAAGTAATTCCTGTGTACCGAGTGGCGCAGTAGTCGGAAAGGTCTGGCAGCCAGGTAAAAATCAATAAGCTGCCCTCGGCACATAGGCCGGCACGCAACCGCGGTAGTCGAATTATATTATCCGTTACTATAAGCTTTACCCGGCGTATCGTTTGAAACCAGGTCATTAATATGCGCTAGGTTTATTTAGATTAATAGTCAATTATGGATATTTTATACAAACCACATGTATATTATTAAATATACATTTATATGTATAAACACACACACATACAATTCAGAGATAACTTGATGTTTATTAGAGAGCTAGAAGAAATATTTCGCAAAATAGTAAATTCCACTTAAAACTATCTTATACAACAATAATAAATTTAAAAAAATTATTTCAAAGATATACCTATCATTGAAACATGTTAATATGTATTATTTAATAATATCACTGTGGCCTCAGATTTCAATAATAAGTTGAAAAAATCTGGTTTTGTGGAATTTTTAGTGTGTTTTAATGATTGCTAAAATGTATTTCAAATAGAGTATTTTATTCGGCTTAGTTTTTTGAATTCAATACTGGTCTCAGAATTACTATACAATTAAAATTTTTTTACACACTTAAAAGAAAATTGAAAAATCCTACTAATGCGATTAAAAAAATGATGTGCTCCAATGATTTGTATGCTACTTCGGTTTCGGGAAAAGAAATTATGAAATGTATATTTTTTGGTTCTTGTATCTTAAAAAGTGATTAAATATAGTTACTGGGAAATTGTCACATTATTTGTACAACATTTTTTTGACAGAAAATATTAATTACAACCCAAATAGTTTAATAATATATAATTAAACTAATTGTTATCAAACCTTTAAAAACTAATTAAAAATATAGTTATATACTATTAATACATTATAACAGACTATTAAACACCTCTGTTATTTACTTATAAAAACATACCTTTGCTTTACAAATAAATCTTTACCAACAATTTAAATGGGAAATAGATTTTCTTTAGAAAACTGTGCCTTGTTGAAGAGTTTAATTCGTTCATTGAATGACATATACATTGTTTATTACACGTAAAACTATTGTGCAGATAATGTTAACACTTGTATTTTAATTATGACTACCTATATTGTTTTTTATTTGTAATTTCGTATAATTGCTGTGTTGTTGAGAACGGTACATAAGTCTGGAATCGGATTACTTTACCTAAGAAAATAAACTACAAAGTACTTAAATAATAAAAAACGTTAGCGGTTTTAAACGGTTCGAATTTGGTTTACTATCTGACTAACCCATTAATGTTTTCATAGCAACAAAAAAAAACATCTTCACATAATATTTTATAAGCAAAGTAAAAGTTTTCAGCTCGTTAAGAATATACCCGATGTTTTTATTTATTTTAGTCCGTCACTCTGTTTACTCAGCAGAGCGTTATTGTTCGTCCAATTTGTTTTTCTGCTTTTTGAACCACCCCTGATCCAATTAAACTCACAGACAGCTTCGTCAATTAGCGAATATGCGTGTATACTGTACAGTGACGTGTATAAGACCCCACTAGAATTCCCTATAGACATTAACTAGAAAAACATGATGTACGACCCTTTCCTATACCCCGGTCTAGACAGCAAACACGTTAAAATGTACACTGACCAAACCATGTTATCTAATGGGGAAAAATTGTCCACTATTTTTTATTAATTTATCAGTTTGTACTTATACAGCCTATTAAAACTTATCGTTTTCAAAATTGAGTAATAGTTATTGTAGGAAATGTTGTTTTATTATTTCAAATAAAGATTGGATATCAGTGGATTCGTATGATTTATCGTATTAGAGTGGAATTTTTTTATAGTGAAGGGAAGCAAGAAAATGAATTGTAGGAATATTAGGAGTATTGAGAATCATGGTGAAGTGTACGATTACATACATACCTCGGAGAGTTAGTTAAAAGATGGAGGTTAATTGAATGGAAGGATTGAAAACAATTAAGATTTGAGAATTTTGTCGATCCCCAAATTTGGATACCGTAAGTCATTGCAGGACGAATAACTTATTTGTATTTTTTATTTCGCTGTAATTAAATTGAAATTAAAAGTAAAGTACAACTTTATGTTCTAGAATGATTGGTTAAGAAGTACGAAGTATTTGTTTCGTGTCTAGTTACTATAAATATTAAAAATATGGCAATTTTTTTAGAGAAATACCAGAAAAGTTACTGTTCAATTTTTAAGTGTAATGTTGCATGTATAGCGATTTCTCCTAATATTTTCAGGGGTTGAGCAGGTTTGAGAGCTCTTTGTTATTATACTATCTACAAATTTACAAAGAAACTATTTTCTTTAATGTGGATTTACTTGTAAAAAATGATTTCCTACAAATCAGTAGCTGCCCGGCTACGCTTCATGGGCTTCTACTCAGCAAGAAGATTTTAATGTTTACAGCTAATGTAGCAGTACATGGATGTAAAGCAACAGCACATAAATTAAAATATGGGTACGCATTAAATAAAACAAACCTCTATCTATGTAATCAAATAGTTACTACGTCAGTGTTGCATCCAGATATATATTTAGGGAGTGCAATATTTGTGCAGATAAACCATGTTATCGATTGTTAAAAAATATACCCTTTTGCTTAATTAGACGCTGAAATTATTCGATTTATGCTAACGGCACTGCATCCAGTCTGTATCCCTTTGGGGCTGATAGATTTTGGGGCACAGTGTATGCATTGGCAATTAGACACGTGCCGCACCGGGGCATTATGCCTTTTGTTATGGTAAACGGCAAACGATGATGAACGATACTATACCATGCATGGACAATAATTTTGTTGGTTATTGCATTACGGCCAATTAAGTTCTGTAGTTCTGTTGTGACAGAAAATTAATGATAATAATCGGGTTGGTGGCGGTGGTAGGTGCGGTCATTAATCAGCTCTGACGACCGCAAAAATATTTCAGATGGCATTCGTGACCAACGCGATTTAATCGCATTCCAGTAATATTATTACAGAACTAATGTTTAGTAAACGAAAATAAATAAATAAACCGATTCAACATTTAAAACGCACTATATTGAAATGAAATTGATCTAAGTTTAATTTTTTTAACTATCCGCATAAATATTATAACACTGATTAGAATTAGTTTTGCTTGTGAATTTTAGTAACACGGTATTCAATTTAAACGTTGATGAATGACGGATTTTTTTGTTAAAGCATTTGGGTAGATTTTCGGGTTCAATCGACGTAAGGTGCACACTAGACTAAAAATAATACTTTGTTTAAATGAACGAAAGACTCATTCCTATACCACTTTAGTGAAAATGTTTTATTGTTTAAACTCATATTATTCCACGTCATCACGCATAATACAGATACGTGTTTAGGATAAAAATATTGGTAGAGCTCAAATAAAAATTGGATTTGAAATAAAATCAAAATAAACTTTTCGAATTAACCATTTTCAGTAGAAAATTATTAGCTAATAAAAACAATATTTAGCTCAGAGATCATAAGTGTCATTTGTCAACAGTAAAAATACATTTATAATTAATATCCTTTTTATTAATTCATATTTACTTTGCACAGAATTATGTTATTTAGGAGCCAGCAT